TTAGAACATGCTCAAAATGTTCTCGTGGTCGATACGTTCTACAATTAGAACGAGTGACAACGTACTAACGACGAGCTGGGCGTACTACGAACGGAACCGTCGTACTTCAATGCTACTAGGGACGTTTTAACAACTGTCTGAGGACGTATTGAGAACGAGGTAGAACTAATTGCAAACGGGTTTAAACTGATTAAGAACATATTTAAGACTGCTTGGAGTAGCAAAAATATAGCTATCACACCAAACAAGTTGCCATTGCGTTCTTCAAAACTGGTTTTAAACTGTGTGCGAACGGAATGAACGTAGCTGTTCGCATCTTAAATCCGCCACATTCAGTTGTCTTTTTAATCAAACAAAGTGAAAATATCAGATAATATAACTCATCTGAGACAATTAATCTTAATTGCCTGACAATATAAAAAGCGGAATAAAATTCGATATCATTCGTTTGGGAATTGGATGAAATACAATCTTCGCTAAAAAGGCTAAATGGACGAAATATAAAAACGCAAATGATTATCTCTCCCTAAAAATACCCCCAAGTCTGCGATATTTCCGAGACTGGATACAAGGGATCGCATTTCTCTATAGATTTCTGTTGGACTAATATACAAAAAGGTTTTCGTGCCCGTAATCTGACTGAATAAGTTAATCACGGCTCCGGATCATGAACCCAATTCCAATTGACGTTACTACCGCATGAGTTAAGAGTCAGCCTGTTCAGACTTAAGCCCATTAATGTTCTATCATGCGAAAACGTTTATTTTGATTTGATTTTCTAGTTTCGGTAAAAACCTTAAAGGGGTTTGTGTATTTTTTTCGTACATGCAATTTGATGACAGTGAACCTTATTTGAGTCACTGCTAAATTAATTTCTCGATTTCGCACCAGTGTATTTGACATTAATAAATACCTTTCATTATCATCTCTGTGAGGAGACCTGGCTCGAATTCCAATAGACTTTGTTTGGGTTTAACAACGTTTAGAATATATAAGCACAAATGCCAAAGGGAAGGGTGACTAAAAACTTTAAAGAAACCCAACAAGAAAAGCAAACTGTAAGTGTAAATCTGTCATAAGAAAAGTAGACCCTATATATCCCAAAACCATAATCTAACGTGAAAAGAAACAATGTCTAACATCCCCCTCCCCCCTCCAATCGAAAACCAATATCACAATCCAGGACCAGAACACAAAGGGACATTTCATTCATACTGAAGTCATTACAATACATGTTGAAGAAAAATTGAAAAAATTGATAGCCAATACTCATAACATCAAAAATAGTTGTAGATACTAGTACTCATAAAAGATAGAGTATTCAGAAAATGCACACGGATGTTTAGGATAAAGCTCTCTATTAAATGAAAAAGACTAAGCACAAAAAACACTTTGCTCGTATACCCCTGGGCCTATTTGGTGCAATCTGAAAGACACTGTTTCTGTAATATTTTTGAGTCAATCTCGTGTCAAATCAAAAGGGCGATGATTGAGACAATGTTTACACAAACAAATTCCAATTTTGCAAATTGTACAATCTGAACAATTATCGACAAAACGTTTTGAAATATCAAATACAGCTTTCTGATAATATAACACTCATTTGAAGAATATCACATGGCAACGAATTCCTAAATCGGACCAGCCCCCAAGTTAACGACCAGCCTATACCTTATATGAAAAGTTAATAAACATAGTTGAACGATCGTACCATCGTAGGCATCAATATGAAATATCGAGATATTGTGAGCTGGAAAATAATATGGCTATAATAAGTCCTTTGGTACCCAAACCATAGAGGGGGAGATGGTAGATCATTGGTTGATATTTTGGGAGTTTCGTCCTCAATGTATGGCCTGTAACACTTGAATGTTTTTTTGAAAATATTTATACTTTTTGGTCCTTCTTCTTTTTGCACGTGTGTTGAGGCATACATACCGAGAGAAGGATTGATGTGGGAGTTCATTGTTGTATGCGATTAATTGTAATTGAAGTTAGAGTTGGAATTTATTCGTGAAACCGACAGTTTGGTCTACATTTCACCAATGCTTTAGAATTGAGAAAGAGGGCTGTAGAAAAAGCGAATTAATGTATTAATATATTTTAAACGTCACTCATTTTAATTGGAATGAATTGCGTGGTAGCTTCTGTGTCTCCGGGGTATTAACTTCCTTATTTATTGGAACTGTCTTTCCGACTCGTTATTCGCCATACCCTAGATATTGGTTAACACATATGACTTAATTGAACGTCGCAAATTCGAAAATTGCATTATAATGCCAACCAAGCAAGAATATTAGATTTCTACTGCAAGTCAATTCCAGTGAGTCGTATATCCAAGATTATCGTGACGATTCGGAGGCATTCTATGCACGTTATAAATCCATATTGGGTTTAAACACCCGGGGTTATCCTAACATTGCGAGGAGCTCAAGAGAGTCTTTGCCTTTGTTTAATTACACGGTGGATCTGTTTCTGATTGAACAGCATCACGCTCCCAGTCACGTCTTTCAAATTGGCAAAGAAGGAAGATTATTTACTAATTTAATTCAATTCACATCGCATGAAATGCCTAAAAATAATGACAAATTGAATTGTGATCTACTTTTTATGCAAACAGTGACGTTTGCTCCTGACGTCGAGGTACTAATAATTACTGTGTATCATAGGCTTCAGTTGCTGTATTGTTTTGTTGAAACAATAGAAAAAGTCCCATGCTGTTCAGAATAAAAAAAAATTAGATGTTTTCGTGTCATAAACGCATTATGACATGAAGGAAAGTGTGATATATCAAATATCACCACTCGGAAAAAATACCACACTCGGCTCTGCCAAGTGTGATATTTTATCCCTTGAGGTGATATTTCGATTTATCCCACGATTAATGTGTTATCTGTACAATAACAGCTATTGATATTTCTGATATTATTGAAATCCGTGTGATATTTTCCAGAAAATCGTTTATCAAACTCATATGCGTGTGATATCGTTTATCTCACGCATATCCGTGTGATATCACATTTGCATTTCGCGCCACAATATTGTTGGAAATTTGGTCAGATAATTCATTAATATTAATTTAATTTTTTATTAATAATTTATTAATTTAGTCACAATAGTCACAATAATATGAACTGTTATAAAGCTGACATAAAACTGACAAAAAACAATGTTTACATGTTCATTTTATTTACTTTTAATTGTTAAAATAAAGCGTTTCAAATATTCAATTGATATTCTAATTTCTAGTTTATATTGTCTGCCAATGTCCTGGAAATTGGATCAGAACATCACAAGGTGATTGTGATCATGGGATAAACCCAATATCACATAATTTCTCGTGATATCATTTTATCGCCTCGTAGATATCAAATATCAACACTCATTCGCTTCGCTCACTCGTGTTGATATTTGGTATCAACTCGGCGATAAAAATGATATCACTCAAAATGATGTGATATTCTGTATATATCATATCACACTCTCCACTATGTACGATACGACGTCAGATACTGAACATCATGGCATTTTACTGCATTTTACACGTCTACTTTCTTTGAAAACCGCAATATCTCGACAGCAAAATCATATTTTTCTACAATATTTTGTCATTAGTTGAACATATATGTCCATGAAGTATTTTGCCTATCGGGATTTATAGTATAATTAAATTGGAACTTTTGAAATGAGAATCACGCAAGCCGTATTATGTGACTTTCTACCTAAAACGGATGTGGACTGTAACATTTTGAAGAAAAGTTAGTCTTGCTTAAAATACCCTGTACTCCCCCCGCTTTATCCTTCTCTGTATATTGCCAGGTAAAGATAGTGAAGGTGACGGGGGGATACAGTCTTTGAGCAAGACTAAAGAAAAGTGATTTTAATCTTAAACGAAAAATGTATATAACTTTTTCATTTCTAAACGGATCTTTCTTTAGGTACCGGATATCTCTAAATTAGAGCGAAAAAAGTAGTTTTAAAAAATGAATGAAGTCCCAACATCATTCTTCTAGCATTATATTAGAACTATTGCTCGACTATCTATTATAAGTGCATTTTTCAACAATTCTAACACACCGTCAAACTCAGACCTGAACATGATAAAATGTGCAGAATATGCACTCCTGAGACACAAAATTCCACCAATAAATTTTTACATGCTTTAGGGTCCCCTTTGTCAAAGGTCAAATCACAGATTGGCGGCAAAAACATGTAAAATCGTTTTTCTTATATCGAATATATAATATTTATTATAGAACTTCCAGAATAAACAAATTATCCAGGGTTTGTAAATCTCAGCTGTTTGACTACCTCAACGGTGAGCTGAACGACCTTCTAATATCTCATTGCCAGTTTGCTGTAATTCGGCTTCATATTCTTCTATATCGATGTGGATTGTCTCCCAGAATGCAATGTCGATATTTTCCAACAATTAAAATGTCGTTTTTTCTGACATTAAACTGGTTATAAAGTCGTAATTAACAGTCCAGACGATTTGAGCTTATATCTTGTTCACTTCTAAAGTTTTTTTGCGATTCCAAATCTGAAGTGAAACAATGGCGACTGTTAATTTTGAATTTCGTATTCACGACATCCTCCGAGGGTTCGTTTCTAATAACCGGGGCTTAGTACGTGTACCGAACGAAACAAAATTATATCGTGATGGCATTCTGGGAGGCAATCTTTCTTGCCTCTATATTAGATGTATTTTCATAAATTTTAATCTTAGAAAGCACTGAAGCACTGGAGAAATCTCCACAAAAATGTACCAGGAATTACCGGGGAATAAATTATCGATGTCGGCAGAACTTAACCATTCGGGACAATACGACCCCCACCTCCTAACTATCAGAATAAAGTTAATCTTCCGACATCAATCATTTGCCTTGGATCCTTGATCGCTTATTTCCCATTAACAGTATAAAAATGAATAATAATTAATTGTTATCCAAAGCATGTGAATCATTTTCTTAGTTCCTTAGACACCAATCTATTCAATTGTACCTATAGCACCATCACTTCATCAATTTATGAACAAGTGGTTTCATCCAACAGCGACTGTCCATTGGGACACATACATGTCCTGCCAGCAGATGATGGGATACACAAGTGTGAGCAACCACCATTTCTTGTTTGACACACCGATTCCTCTGCAACGTTATCAGTAAAACAGAAAACATAAAAAACTAAAAAACAATTGCCAAAGAGAGATTTATATACGTACTAAATATATACTAGGGTTGTCGGAAAAGTATTTTTATATTTGTTCTCATTTCATCAAATTTCATCTATTCTTTCTAAAACTGTCGGGCATGCACTTAACCTTCATGTGCAAAAACATCATGATAATGCGTAACATATCTTCTGTGATATGGTTGCTATAGCAACCAAGGGATAAGCGGGGTAGGGCAGATCTAATCCATGGTACAGGGTGTCAAAAAACGCAACCCAAAGAAATCGCTTTATCTTGGAAAATATTGATCCAATTTTGTTCATTTTTCAGGAAAGAAAGAGGAGATTGTGTACGTATAGCTTCCTTTGTTGATTATTTGTAAAACATGATGTCAAATTTAAGACATTAGTATTAGAAAAATACGAAAAACGCGAATGGAAAATCGCCATGTCTTGAAAAACTCGAATTCAATTATGTTCATTTTTTCAGGAAAAGAAAGAAGGGATGGTGTTTGTATAGCTCCTGTTGTTAGTTAGTTGTAAAACATGATGCCTTGGACACCTACACACAACACAGTCAGAGGTAACTGCCACAGCAATAAAACCAAATAACTATCTACAGTGGGGGACAAAAATAAAACTCAACGTTCACAAGTTGTCACAATGAGCTAATTTCCAAGTTTCGTGTCTCAAACTCTCCTAAGCGGTAGAAAAATAATTCCCGTTCACTAAAGTAGCACAATAAATGAATCCAAAGCTTCATACCTGCAAATAATGGATACATGCCCTACCAAATCGAATGAATGTTTTCATGAATCGCCATGTTTGTTATGCAAGGACGGTTGACTCCCAGAATGCAACATCAGTTAACCGTATTTACTCATGACAGGTTTCAAAATGGCGGAACAGCATTTTGAAAGCTGGCACGTGTCATGTTGCATTCTGGGAGCCAATCCTCCGTTCCGGCGCAATCGGGCGACAAAATCACCTCAACATTTGAAGAGTCGGCATAACATGTGAATATCCAATTCAACTTTTGGAGTTCTTATTTGTCATTAGGGACACAAATTCCACTATACTATATTTGGACTTACTAAGACGGAGAAAATAGAGCACTGAATACACTGAGGTAAGAATTTATTACATGTGCGACAGCATGTAATTTTCGTAGCTTTTGCAATTCTGCTGGCACAAATTATTCTCATTCAATGTGTGGTGCCGGTGAAGTTGTGGAGTTTCATCAAAATCACCCCAGGAACTTCACAGTCATGGTCAAAGTGCCTTCTTAAGTCTGCCTGAGGCAGGGCATTTCACGACTGCGATTTGAAAGCATTTCGACCATGACTGTAAAGATCCTGGAGTGATTTTTATTTCACTCTTACACATTTCCCATACATTGAATGAAGATGATTTTTCAATTTGAATAGCAAAAACACTATGGTTATGAAGATATTTAGTTTTTGTTGCGGTTACTGTCACCCATGACTGCGTCTTTTGAGCAGGTGTCCAAGGCATCATGTTTTACAACTCACCATCTACAGGAGCTATACATACATAGTCTCTCCTTTCTTTCCTGAAAATGAACATTATTGAACAAGTATTTTTCAAGATATATCTTTTTTGGGGTTGCGCTTTTTTAGCACCCTGTATCATCTTTGCAAACATGGCTCCTTAAAAACAAGTAAAACATTGATTTCATTAAATTCAACGCACAAAAACCTGCATGGCAAAAATACTCTTGCAATGTTCAGAAAAATTAAATCATGCAGTGTAATTCTTTTAAAATCTTTTAAAATGAACAACAAATGTTCAAAGATCATCCATGTAAAATATGATGCCAAAAAGAATAAAAATTGATAATGGGAGAGCAAATATTTCAAGACTTTTTGGACAATCCGGCCTCGTATATGTGGATAACAATCAACATAAGATAATTATATTAAATACATATTTGAATATTAAATAGCTGTTTTGTATCTATTCGCAAGATAACAGAGCTTCAAAATGAATTTTACCCAAATAACGTTTAAAGGGTTCCGATAAGCTTCCCGTATAAAAACAAGATGGCGACTCCATGCGAGTCAACTGGATCAGTCCATTTTTAAGAAATAAGGGGAGTTTTGTAAAATCCAGTTTATTGAAATCGTCTTGGAGATAAAGTAATCCGTTTATAATGATTCTGAAAACATTATTTAGAGTGTGATTGTTCAAAGAATGTTCAACAGCCAATATAAATCCTTATATTAGAACTGCTTTGTTTCATTTAGGGGACATTTCATATGGCAAGCTATGAAGTATTACGTTTTGGGGAAATGTAGAATGTATTTAGAGATGTTGACACAACGATCTTGAGCCTGTGAACCCTTAAGTATTATTCCGGGACCAGGCCTTTTATACTAAACTGTGAGGAACACCAGAAGCGAGCGTTTGATTTGCTAAACGATATGCGTCTCCCTTTAAGTAAAATATCAGCGTTAATATGACTTACCAATTGTACGAACGGAAGAATTATAGATCTGTAGGCCATTGATCCGAAAGAAGTCTCGTGCACCATATCCATCGTAACTTGATGTCCCCACTCTTGTAACTCTTTGCAATTGCCTAGAAATGTGCATAATTACTATTACACTAAGTAAGAATATATGCACAAGCTTGTGATCGGCTGAATACTCTATTTCACTTTTATTTGCTCACCTTTTCTTCCAATCGCTGATATAAAGATACGTCTCGTCTAGAGTAATGCCGAAGAAATGCGTCTTTGATGAGGAACCGAACAGCTCTGCGAAAGTCAATGGCAAACTTAGTATTACGGTAAGGGCATTGTTGTCATTAAGGTCAATCACCTCGATGTTGTTCCACATCCAATCACAGAAGTACAACAGCTGCTCTGCAAATATGAGTAAGTTATGTAACTTTCACATATAGCAAAGGCAAAGTGTGTCGGAATCCAGCCAATCCGAATACAGTATTTCACATAACAGCAGTGCATGATTGATTTTGGTAAAACAATTTTTCAGTGATATTAATTAGTCATGTCTGAAATTGAAGTTCCAGGACGAATGCCCGAAGACGAATAGCCATACAGTTTATAAGAGAGATGCAAAAGATGAGTGTTTGGAAATTCTGAAATTATATTTCTACTAAATAGTCCATGGTATGAAATCTCTAGGACGTCTAATAAAGGAGCTGGTAGCACACTATAGCGCAGCGATATTTGAGCTTACATTAACATACCTATATATGTTCCCTAATGATTTTTATTATAACCGTTTAATATACTTCCGGCTTTTAGGCTGAATTATGCCTGCAATTAACAGAGGTCAAAAAATCACCAAAAAATAAAATCCCAATTTTTCACAATTTGGAGTAGACAATGCAACAGAAAATAATACAAAATGATTTTAAATATATGATTTAGGTTTCTAAGCTATAAGTTTGAGGTTAATTTTCTTATCAATACCAAAAATATGTAATCAGTGTATCGACATTTTGTATTGTTTCTCAGGTATTAATAAGATAAATGCTACAAATGAATCACTTTTATATTGGAATGACAAATGCTTATATTATGCTAGTTTTTCACAAAATGGGTCTCAATACGTTTTGAGATATGCTCTTTTATTCAGCGGTAAAAATTGTCAATAAAGATAGGCCTATTGCTCTTCCTTGACTACTTCCTTGGGACAACGGCTAAAATTCTATTTCCCGTGGTTAGATATAGCTCAGTTGCTTATAAAACTACCATCAAGATTTGATCAAATTCATGAATAATTGAGAAAAATCGTTATCATTATCTTCCTAAAATTTGATTATATCCAGCGGTAAGGTCAAAGAAGAAACAGCCATCAGAAAACTTGATGGTAGCCACAAGTAACGTCGAGGAAGAATAGTACGGCGTTCGATTGCATATGACTCTAATTGATTATTAGACATGCCCTTGGAATATATGAACATTCCAACACCTCTGTCACATTTAATTAGATATAAATCTTACCTATTTGTTATTGTATTATGTTTTATAAAACATGAACAGTAATTTGTTGTTAGACCCCTTGCGATTATATGGAAAAATTCTGGTAATAAAATGTTCTAAATAGCAAGAAAACTAATATGTTTCCAATCATAAATTACCTAAATATTCCACATAATTTTGTTGAATCGGCTTGGCTCATATTTGAAAAATCAAACAAAATCTGAAAAACACACTTGCACAATTACACTAATTAAACACCGACATTTACAGTAAAATTAAAATAGTATATTTTTTAATTATGATAATCTATTTTTGTTCGTATGCTTAGAATAACGGTCTGTGTCTTATAAAATGTATAAAAGTTCGAATCAAAATATTTACGTTTTTTGACCCCCTGTGATGAAAGACATTTTTCGACCCGAAAGCCGGAAGTTTTTTCAGCAAATGGTATTTTAAAAGAATCAAGACATGTACACCTTCATAAATATTGCTTCAAATGTTGCTGCGCTATAGTGTGCTACGGATCCTTCATATTCGGAAGTCATACCATGGTCTAAAATAACGATACCACAGAAAAATATTTCTGACCACTCCTCATCATAAATAGAAAAGACCATACACCTTTCGATATTTTCTAAGTCAATACCCCAACCCTTTTCCTGACTTATCCTTGACATTCATTTTCGCCCACGAATTCTGCAAACCAGTTGGATTTTGCTTGATGTTGATATTTTTCGTCTCTATACACTGTATAGTCCAATGTATTCCATACCTGATGAGGTCTCAGGGACATATTAGACGGGAATACATTCGATATCCGGGCGAAAAATATTTCGTATGTCCCGCATATGTCGTTATCCGGGACGTACGATGGCTATACGTCCCGCCCAGGGAATTCTCGTCACAACTATTACAGCACTGAACTAAACAAAAGACAAAGGTGATAGACGGACTTAGTGAACAAATTTGAAATTTCCCTCGGGAAGATGTATTGTATATCCCTCGGGATATTCCCTGTATCCAAACCACCCAGTGCATAACCCCTATATATCACGATTAACAAAAATTTAACCAACCAAAAGGGTCCCCCAAGTTAGTAGACAAGATGTTCACCTCATGTTCCAAATGGGGGAGGGGGCGACATAGTTAATTGGAATTTCATTTCACTTTCAATTGTCTTACAGCCTTTCACTACCCATAAATACTGCATGGTAAATAAGTCTACTGCACTCAATATCTTGCAAAATAATAATAATGTACATATTTGGCCCACCCTGTATATCGACTATACATTTTCATACACAACTTATATATTCAATATATCGCGATCGGGTGTCCCAAAAAAGTGAGACACTTTTTGACAAGTATTTTTTCAGCAAATGATGAACTTTTACTTAAAATTCGTACAAAGTAGCCCAGGACTATTGTTAGTAAGTTGTAAAAATATAATTAAGATTGGGTTAATATTATGTGAGCAACGCGATGAGAATTTCATAGCGTTTGTACCAAAAAATGGGAAGCAATTTGAGTAATTTCTCAGCTATTGATGGGCCAATTTTAACTTTACTCGAGGCACTTTTGGGTATCATCTGCTAAATAACCAATATCCATGTAAAAGTCACTTATTAATCCATTTCCAAGCAAAAATACTTTTCCGTTTTTTATTCTAACAATTTCATCTCCAATTAATTTTGAAAATGAATGGGTTTTGGATATTTGGGAACAATGAAACAAATTAAGTAGACTTGACACATATGGTGTTTAAACTGCTTCTTTATTCGGTACATTAAATATTCCATAAATACCAAATAAAACAAACAATTTACCAAACCTTTACCCAATCTATCGAATGTTTTTTATCTTATCGAATGTAATTATCTATACAATTTATGTTCGCTAAATCGTTTCACTTGTTCTTTGTGTTAGCATTTACATTTGATATTTATACACAGTGTACATGTATTTGTGTGATGCAGCGAATCTATTTGTTTCCTCAACGCACGTATGATTTAATTAATTATTTGTACATTCGGTATTTACATTATTTATACTCGGTAAATACCGAATGCCACATTCGAAAAATTTCGTTATTATTCGATACTTTTCGAGACTTTCAGTCATGTGATATATTTGAACGATGTAGAATAGCTGTGCGGCTTGGAAATCTCGAGGTCACGTGACAAAATATCGAACAACAACGAAAGTTATCGAATATTACTTTATTGCATTCGGTAAATAGCAAATTAGCTTTCGGTAAAATGCATCAACTATGTCATAGAAAAATAAACCATTTGGTAAATATAGGCAAACTTATTTCGGTAGGGTTCAAATAGAAATTCAATATTGTGCCTATAATGTGTTACTCTTAAGGAATACCATAACAATTTACGCAAAAACATATCATTTAGCGAATGAAATATGTAATTTAATGCACATGGTAGTAAGTGATTGGCTATTTTGAAAACTTAATTTGCTGTAACAAACATATAAACGTTTATACCGAATGGAAAAATGATTTAGCGAATATTAATATTTCCTATACAGAATATATTTGAATTTAATGAATAAAGAAGCAAAAATAATGCCATAGACAATATAGCCAAGCTATTTTGACTGTTTAACAGATGCTATCACCTAATAGGTGGTACAAACACGGTCTCATCGCAATGCTCAGGTATGGGGATTTATGACACGCTACTTTGAATTTCTTAGTACTTAATTACAGAATATTTACTTTATCTGTTTTTATATTTTCACAACTTGTTAATGATGCTCTTAGGCTACTTTGTACAAATTTTCATTGAATTTGGTTCATCAATTGCCTAGGAAATACTTGTTAAAAGGTGTCTCGTTTTTTGTGATACCTATATTCCTATGTATTTTATCATTAATTGCTTACATATCATAAGAGAGGATAGATAATTGGATGGTGTATCACTCAATCAAATCTAAGATATTAGACTTACTTCTCACATCTAAGGCCAACCCATTTGGCCACAATGTATTGTTTGTGACTAATTGCCTGCCTGAACCATCCATGTTAGCGACCTCTATCTGCCCAAGACCCCAATCAGACCAGTACATTTTCCTACAAAGAGAATGAAACAGAATAGACCGTCTTTCCATAAAACCCCGACCCTCATTGCTGAACCAGAGATCTAGAACTGTAGGATTTGTAAGATTTATACACAAATATACAAGTTGGATGTAATTATAAAATGTTTGGAGAATCAGCAAGCCAGCTGTTCTATATCGACTCTTTGATGCAACTTAGGTATAAAGATTATTGATCTATAAACAGTTGATCGAATTATGCTATATGTACGAGGGGGGATATAATATATGTTTACTTGTTAACAGGATCCAACTGAATTGCCCGTGGTTTACTATTGTTAACATACACCAGGGTTTTCTCAAGAGATCCATCTAATGTCATCACGGATATGGTATTGCGTCCGGCGTCAGTGTAATATAAAAGTCTTGAATTGGGCTCTATTGCAAGACCGTCTGGTATAGAAACTGAATGAACATAAAGATATCTTTAATAAACATAGTCAAGAAATTCTACACGTTGACTTGGTGAAAAGACGGAAGCTTTTTCAATTATCAAAAATACCTGCAGAAAGCTTCTTGACAATCTTTAGATCAGTTCCGTCTAGGGCGACGCTGTTTATGGTCTCCTCGTTGACATCTGTAAAGTATATTCGTTTTCCAACGGGATCATACGCAACAGCCACGGGGTTTGGGCCAGTCTTAGCGACCTTGCGATATCTAAGAGGGTCATGTGTGTCCATCTGATAGAGCGATTCAAGTAATGTATCCACAAATACGATAAAGTTGTCCTCCATCACTTCATCTTCATTAAAGACCAAGAATACATAGGTTAAAGATAAAACGACAGAGGCGACAAAAAAGGTACCGACAAAAACGAGATTCGAATAATAAATGGAAATGTCCAAACGAACGATGACCATACCTATTAATGGAGTGGAGGTTGTTGTTTTTATTGTGGTGAATGATGTCGTCGTTCCATTTGTTTGTGTGGTTCTGACTTGTCCTGATATCGTTGATGTTCTTGTAACTTGTTGCCTTTGTGTCGAACCAGTTGTTATCAGTGTTGTGTCACGCGATTCCATGGGAGAGCTTGTGTAATCTAAATGTTGAGAAAAAATAACATTTCTAAACAAGATGTTGGAATAATATGGTAATTCAACATTTGAGTTTTGATGAGCATTCCCTAAGGATGCACTCTCCTGATTTCAACAAATATTGGACGATCCCGGGGACAGCTTATATTGCTAATTAAAAGATTGTGTCATTTTTACTGAACTTGTAAGGTTCAGTTATTCGGAACTATAACTAAAACTGAACACAACGAATTTGTCTTCTTTCAGTTCATATCCACTCGATTACGCTGGTTTCGGTAACAAAATGTCAGAACGTCGAAGGTACGATTTTTCTTTTTTCCTTATTTCAAGAGTTGTAGGCATAATCCCCACGACGTTTTTTTCTCACAAACGTATATCAGTATCATATGTTTTAGAAAATGTACATGTTTGCGAAAAAATAGCTCAGAAGACAACAGAATCGTCGATTTAATTCTGCGTACAACGTGTGAAATAAGGAAAAAAGAAAAATCGTACCTTCGATGTTCCGACATTTTGTCCAGCGTAATCGAGTGGATCACCAGTGATATCGAAATGAATTTCTAAATATCTAACAGAATGTCGAACCAAACCAGAGAACTTCCTGGTTCTAGTCCTGGATCATGATCGAGACTTAACCCTGGCTTACCATTGTGTTTTCCAAATATAAACAGCCCAATGAGAACCCCGCCGATTAGAATTGCAATGCCTGATAAAACGGCGATGATCACTTTGCACGACTTTGATTTCAAACATGAAGATTTGTTTAGTCTCCTAGTATTATACGACGGAGATGTGTATGTTTGATCCACATTGCCTTGTCCTCTGAGGGTTTGGTAAATCGGGTATGTTGCTTCTGCTGTGTTTCCAAACGATGTTGCATACTCGTGTTCATCCCCGGGAGGTTTCAGTGCCTGGTAATGTTGATGCTCATCATCATCTGGTATGTCTTCGTAGATACCTACTTTAATACCACGATTGCGCCCTTCCTCTGTCTCAGGAAGGAATGAAGTTCCGAACACAGGGTTTTGATAGGTCATTCTGTGAACTAAAATTAATAAATTTTGCATTAAAGCATAAAAGTAAATAAAGTTTACGCAATGTAAACAATAGTTTAAACTCAAAACAGTGGTGCTCTCATTACACCTTTATTTTTCATCCTGACCAATTAGACAAAGGGAAGTAAATTGAAACCTCATCTCAATATTTAACTTAGTAGTCCTCAAAAATGGTCGATGTTACAAATATACACCCCATTCATAAGTTTGTCAACCAGGAGTCACTTCTTTGATAACTTGATAGCCTGTTTATGTTTGGCGATTTTATCGTCCTGAACTTTTGTTATTAATTAAAGCATTAAGATTGAAACATTGACAGGCTTGTATCATGTCATCCAATGAAAACTTCTGTTTTGCCAAACCTATAAAGATATACCAAGGGAAAGATCAATACCCGGTGATTTCAGCGGGAAGTGGCGTTTCGTTCAGTGGATGAGCTGCGCGCGCAGGCATAAATGTGATTATCCAATATAATTAGGGGAGGGCTATTTGAAATAGTTTTTGGTCTCGGCGCGACCCAGGGCTGTTGTCTTAAGGACATTTCGTTGAAAATGAGCCATTCGGCTGATAATTGGTAAGAGTTTGCGATACTCAGACACATATTTTGACACGATTCTGTTGGAAATAAGCTTTAAACCGAGATATATTCACGATTGATATGCACATTTTTGATTGTGCCATTGCTTTTCCATTGCACAATCCATGCATTGATAGAAGTAACATTAATAATGCAGATTGTTTACCTTCAATACATGGCAGACACTACATATCGGTCTATTAGATACCAGTTTGTGCCTTAAATAGTTTTATATTTCCATCCACGGCCTGGAGCCTGGGTGTGTTTGTCTCTTATGTGTATGCTTGTGCATGGACATCTAATCACTAGCAGAATTAACATGATGCAAACTCGACATTATAACTCATGCTGTAACATTTTGACTTCGCTGGAAAACAATATAAATTATTTTTCTCGCCAATCAATAATGAGTCACAATCAAAATTTCAGAATGATCAATCAGGCAATGGTCCAAATCAAGTTATAACATTATATGATATTCAGCAAGAAGTCCGGTAGAAATACAGAATATTTAAACATCAAAGCTGGAAGTTAAAAGCTAATCTGTCAATTTTCTGTCTGCAAAAGAGCGTTTACATTTGACACAATAACAGACTGAGGCTTTGAAATCTAGGATTCCCCAGGAAAATATGACGTCATACTAATTAGCATAAGGATTTCCCTATTGGTCTGGGTCGTGCCTTGTTCGAAAACACAATCCATAAATACATGCTAATTTCTAAGGAGATAGGAAGTGTATAACGTGTTTATCGATTTTGTTTAAAGATTTAATCAATTATCAAATTGTTTAAGTGGATAAAGTGGTCACACTTGCTTCAATTCATAGCGAAATCGACGGATAGAAACTGACCGAATTCCCGATATCCTACCCCGTATTACTGTAGGCTATAAGCACAGTGACCTACAGAGGGCGCTATCACAAACAAGTACTGCACGAACCGATAAATTCCCGGGTATTGTAACGCCCTTGGATATACCTACATATGCATAAAGTTTTCTTTATATTTACGCTACACGAGTAGGGATAATAGATGTATTCGGTTTATGCCATTCCTTGATCCAATTCAACAAAAATATAATTTATAAATTACATTAACACAATAGACATACTTACGTATTACATCAGTTCAATACAGGTGTCTGACTTTTTCCTCCACTATCAGACTCTCACACACATGGTTGAAACAATGAATGTAGTTCGTCTATTAACAAGAACATATGCTTACAAAAATATAAGCTCTATTCTAATTGTGAAAAAATAACGAACAGTGGTTTCTGAAAGTCTTCCCATCAAAGTATGTAGTACCCCTAACAGCCACTTGAGAATTATGTTATATTTCTGGCCATCTTTTCTGAAATGTAACAACCTATGCTTTATTTTGGAGCTTAGAATAACTAACGACACATTTCCTTCTTTATAATCTTTATTTAATTTTATTCTGCTGTTTTGTTGCATGAATACGTTCTCAAATAATTTTTATGGGCATGTCTAATACTCAATAATAGGTAGATGCGATCGAGCGCCTTGCATATATCATTGCATCAAAAGATATGCCTGCGACAACACAATTACAATGCAAATTGCGTATAACTGCCTCATACTAAATGTGAAATGCAAAAAGCACCAAGAAAAAGAAACATCCAAGAAAAAATATTTTCATTTTATCCATTTTTTCTTCTTCGTCATTAATGCTGCTGGTTTGTTTCACATACACCCTTTTTGAATAGAATATATGTGAGTGCCCCATTTTTTGTACATTTATATTCGGAAATATTAAGGAAATTTTCCGGTAAAAATTGCAAGGCTTAAAATGAGACATGCTGAGAAAGCATAGCCAAATCTAATGTTATTCGCGATCTTGGCTGTCCGAGTTACTATATATAAGTGCAAGAACACGCTTACAGCATATTATGCCAGACCAGATTTCAGTTTCAGTTTCAATCTATAAATATCACAAGAGAACCAGGAAGTTAATAACATACAACAGTTATTGTCTTCTGTGAAATGATGATAATATATTTAGTAGGCTAATTAATGAGACAATAATACATCCAATGCAGACAGATTGCCTAATATTACATTCGTATGATGAAAGACTCGACATTCAACATGAAACTAGAAACATTTTGTCACCAATGTAGCAGTTTTTTTTACTGCTTAATGAATTGTGAATGACAGTCACATTAAGTTTTACAAGTATGATCTAATAGCATGATGTCCTCATATTTCAAGGTAACCACAACTCGTTTGAAAAACAATGGCGGTGATTGAAATTACGATGTAAAGATAAAACCGCAGCGAAATATTATTTTGTAGATTTCTTTGAAAAACTCATATCTAATATCGAATTTTTCAAAACATAAAAAAAGATGTAAAAATAGTGAGGCCTGCAGGTCCAATGGAAGCCAAGACTCTTATAGATGGCAGTTAAATACCAGGTTGATCTTCAAATCTGGCCAATTGGTTTGTGTGTAAACATTGCTGTTTTAAAACTTCAAATTCACTACCCATATCAAATAGTAGATATCTTATTTTCGTCTATTATTATTTACAAACACGTTTTAAGATTCAAAATCAAAAGGTTTTGAATGTTTTAAAGATTCTCGCAATCTTTATCCAATCAGCGATTGCGATGTGTATCGGCTCACGTATAAAAGGCGAATCCAACTCAAATCCATGCAGGGGTGTATGAGGTACTCGAATAGGAAAGAGCTCGTGAAATCTGAATTTATATGCACATGGTCAATGTTTACACATGTTTGGAGTTATTGAAGAAAATGTGATATGGGTGTGGTTCCGGATTTGAAGTCATTGCTGGAAAATATGATTTTAAAACGTGAAATTATATCTATAAATACAGCACTAAAATAACAGTACACATGTACATGTATGATTGTGTCCAGAAATGTTTGAAACCCTTACAGAAAATTCTGTCTGCATTTTGTCACCATTGCTCTTTCTTCCCGCATTCTAGTGCTGTTTGAATGAATATATTAATTAATGTATTTCTAACTAAAATATATCACATTTTGTTATAAACCACAAACATTTAGATCATAAAAATATTATTCAATACTTGAGTGAGCACGATATGCAAGGGTTACTAAGTTGACACAGTGAATGACCACTGATATTGTGTTAGTCCATGCACACAGCGTATTCTGCTAATATACAGTTCACGGTGTATAACCCAAACGCTCCTACATGCACGACGGAGCGTTTCATTACTGAAATTAAACAAAGAAACGCTCCGGAGTAGGAAAACTGACTGGCGGGAATGATGAGCCGTCTGACGATTTCCCCAATAATGGGAACAAGAGGTATGAGTTACATATTTCGAGTATACCATTCGATGGGTGTGATATTCATGTTGTACTTGCCTGGCTGTTGACGTTTGAAGCAATTAGGAAGAGCTGTACGTAGCAGTATAGTTATCAAAATTCAAAAACGTATTTGTCATTCTACCGGTCAAAACCCCTTTTGTCGATACATGTGATTAGTTGAGCTAAGATTAGAGCACCAACGTATATTTTAGTCAAATTCCAATGCTTCAACGCACCATACATTATCGTAATAGTGATTTGATGACCGAAAATCCAGTCTTAAAAATGATGACATTCTCATATTCAAGAAACGCTCCGATCTGGTTAACACAGTGAACTGGAAACGCTCCGGTAGTCTAGATCAGTTTAGGAAATATATAGATTGCCTTTTCTTTTCAGGAAGAGAAAGAAAAGATCTATTATACCCCTTGGCATCAATAGAAGAAAGATTAATTCACATTTTTCTATAGTTTTATCATTTAGCACATATGTAGGCATGACATCATCTAATGTAGGCTTAAATCAGCTAGTTGCACGTTTAGCACCACCAGGTTCAGATGTTTCAATTTGCCTAACAAGTACAACACGTTTTTGAGAGATAGATTCGATTCGAAACTCTTCTCTAATAATCTGAAAATTATATCAAAACAAAATGGTAAGAGCGTTTCTAAAATTCTTTTCTAAATCGACGGAGCGTGGAAAACAAGCGATTTCTCGAGAACAAGTAATGGATATGGACTGGGATTTTAGGAAATGAGAATATACGAGTTTGTGATCTACTACTTTAACAGAAAGATTAACGTTTTCATAGAAATACTAGTTTAATTCGTAATTTGTGGTCGAATCGTCATCTTCAGATTCGTTCGATCTACACTACGGAGCTTTGATCAAGCAAATAACAGTTTACCACCAGAAGTTGAATAAATCAGATATTTGCTCACGGTATTGTTCATCGAATGGTACATAATATTAACGAGAGGAACAATACCTACGGTCATAGTGGAATCTTCATTAGCCGCCATTTTATTTCGCTCCGGAGCGTTTCCGCGTAAATGAAACGCTCCATCGTGCATGTAGGAGCGTTTGGGTTATACACCGTGCATTTGCTAACACCCCCACTTTCATAGTAAAGTGACTATTTGGTTTATGTTTACGTTTTAATGTGTTTTGGGTTCTTTGTTACAGCAAGGGGGGCCAGTAAAGTAGACTAACATGTTTGCATGGCAAATTTTGATCGAATATGTGAGACACTTTAAATAAAATTTATCTTGGGATTTTTTTGCCCCTGGTCAAATTAACATTAATTGTCTCGTATAAGTCATAATTTGAAACATAACATTACTATTATTCGAAGTAATGATCTGGCATCAGTATGATGTTACTTTATAACCATGAATTACATAATCATAATCATAAGTTCGAATGGAATGCAGTGATTCGTTTGACATGAAAGGGCAATGAACCTTAATGTACCTGGAGCCCAGGAAAGGGTGCGATTTTGTTTGTGAAGGAAAACATTGGATATGACCAGTGCACATGCGACCAGTAGAAATTATAGCATTTCTATACGGTCACTGTAGAGGTTACAAAGCCATAGTCAAAGCGTAGAAAGTTTCATCCGTGACTGTACGTCGGCTGCCTTGAGATTTTATTGGCTACAATTGACCTTTTCGGACTACCGTCGCTTTGCGTCTGCCTTGGTATTTGTCTCAACAAAATCAAAATACACCATAAGTCTACCGTAACAAATGTGACTACTAAAGTAGCTGACCGTAGAATTTCCACGGGAGCCCTGGTCACATTTTCTCTACGGCGACCGCACTTCGACCAAAGTTCCCTCCAGTTTCTTTACTTGCCGTAGATTGGCCGTCGAAATTATAGATCATCTCATTTCTGCGGTCATCGTAGAAATTAACAAGCCGACGTCAAACCGCAGAGAGGTTCCACAGTGGCCGTGTGTCGGGCTTACGAACGACTTGTGTCTACCATATGTATAACGGGTCAAATTTGGATGTCTTGATCTCCACGTTCCCCTTGCATTGTCCTTTGATAGACGCTTTAATAGTAGGCATGGTGATTGTTGAATTTTTATCAAGGAGTAAAGAGAGAATCAGATATAGCGAGCAGGCTTAACAAAAAATTGTTTCAACTTTAGAATATTTTTTGCTCATGTCATTCCTTGTCATGTCTATTTTCTAAAAATCACAAAAGTGCATACTTTATTCAAGGAAAACTAAAGATTTTTACAATAATGTATTATTTTTCTATAAAAATGGTTAACCATTCTTATTATTTACTAGAATTTAAACATTTTTCACCCATTTTTTTCACTTTGTATCATTAATTACTTCACCAATTTATAACATATTGTGAATCTTTTGGGAGATATTGTATTTGATATTGTAAGGAATAGATTGGTTGGTCAATTATACAAGTTGCTTGTAATTAAACTTGTAATTTTGTCACCCCCAATAGATCTGATTCTGCCTTTAAAACTTAAACACCATTTATAGAATTTGGTCTTAATTCTATAGGCTAATGTTATACGGGTAAAGGACCTTTCTGCTCAATAAGGAATAACTTTCCAATTGGGCCGCTTTTAAATTCAAAATGGCCACCATTTTTTGACATGCTATTTAGAATTCCTTAGTTCTCACATTACATTTATTTTATCTTTTATATTGTTATTGACACTCCTAGGTTACTTTCTCAGTGAATTTGATTAATCAGTTGCCTAGAAAAAACTTGTCAAAAGCGATTAATTTTTTGTGACACCTGATATATTCTAACCTATTTATAAAACAATATTACTTTTGTCCGATCTTTTCTCAATATAGTGTGTATTTGATGATCTAAAACTCAAAACTTTTGTTTAAAAAATATTTTTGTTTCTAGGTGAACAACTTTTTTTCACAAGTCATACAAGGGGCGATCCATATATTCTGATAAAAATGCTCTCATTTTGTGATTTTTTCGTCTATCCCTCTAATTTTTTTAGAATATATAGATTATGTAACTACTCTTACAATTCCAAAATAATATAGCTATATCTTAAATTAATTCAGAGATAAGGTTGACATGGTAACCTGTATTAAGGGTAGGCAGTTCAATTATTATAACCTATAAAATATCATTAATAGTTTGTCATTTTGATTATTTTTAATCATAGGAAAATCATACATTTCTTTAAAAAAGGTTTGGAATTGTTGTTCGTTGTTTGTTGCTATAAACAAATGCTTATGTGTGCACACTTTAATATCTCAACAGCTCACAATAGCAATGTATGGCAGAATGGGCCAATTGGCATTGCAAAAGCGATTTCCTGAATAGTACATGTACTTCTAGAATAATATAGGTTTACGTTTTCATACGGGAGTATGGTGGTGGACTTTCAACGGAGCAATACTATACTTCATACCATGATCACTGTGATATAAGGTGTATATAGCATGTTGATAGAAATGATATTGAGGTTTTTGTTATATTCCCCGTATACAGATCCCAAATACATCCACGTATACATCCTGACGCGTACACTTGCCTCCCGGGATCGTATGAACTTTTTTTGTGTCTTGTCACTAGTAATTTTGCAATTTTATGAATTATCATGGTATAAAAATATCATCCCCGGTTGGGATTAATTGTATATTTCTGGGAAGATATCATATCATCCCTCTTGATAAACCAAATACAATCCCTCCCCTGGAATCTGAATGAAATTGTTCTTTCAGCTGGTAACAAGTTATGTATTATTGTGCAGCTCATATTGCGGTCTGGCCTTTGTGATTGGTATTTTAATTTTTCTGCATGTGACTTCTGCATGTGACTTCTTCTCGTGTATATCTTTGAATTTCTAATAGTAAATGAACTAGTAAAGTGCTACAAGCATCGCAAGGGTGATAAGGTACTGTCTTTCAGCACAGTGCAGTCGTTTATTATATCACATACAGGTTCTACCAGCAGATGAATTCGAAGGGATGCACAGGCATGGGCAACCTCCATTATTTGTCTGGCACACTGAAGCATCTGCAACAGAACATTGAAATAATACAAATATTTCGTTCTATTTATCTGATGTGGGAATTCCTGCGCATTTTTACAAGTAGATTACCTAGACTTTTGAAAGGGTCACAGCCTTAAGAAATGTTTTATTTAATTATATTATGTTATGTTTACCATTCAGAAACAAGGAAGAAGGAATTCAAAAACAAATGAAGTGTAGAAAATATTCGTTCTTCAGAAAAGGAGTGCAGGATATATTTGCATTTCAAAAACAACTTGTACCAAAGAACTGCAAGCATAACAGGGAAATATATCGCATGGATATTATGTCATGCGAAGTGTGCTCAACCAATCGTAGAATGACAAATACATAAATTGCAAAACTTATAGTGATAATGATCGATAAAAGTAAAAACGCTTTTAAAAGTCAGCTCAGGTGCCATGTCTTACCAATAATACGAAGAGAAGACTTATAAATCTGAAGGCCATTGATACGGATGAAGTGTTGTGGACCAAAACTATTGTCGTGGTAGCTAGATGCACCCACTCTGGTGATCCTATGAAGCTGTCTGTGAAAATAATATGATTATTACATTATAATTATTAGATTTGCATATCACCTGCATCTCTACTGAATTGAAGTTTCATCCTGACTTTGGGCTACTGACTTTTTGAACCATCGCAATTGGTACAAATTTACGATAGCATATTTTCTTATTAATTTACTTATTCAGAATCTACACTATTTATAACAGTGGTCTTTACTTCCTTGATCCTGCATTATGTATGACCTGTACTGTAGTATAACTAAAATCATACCAAAAGCTTTTATTTCGCATATTTAAATCTGATAACAACGAAAACATTCAATGACAAATACCATTTGGGATCATTATTTGTCAATATGTTATAAGATAATTTATCCCACAAATGTACATTTAGCCGCAAAATGGGCAAAATGACATTACGAAATTAAATCTATTCGCTTACCTTTTCTCCCAATCGCTCAGATAAAGATACGTCTCGTCAAGAGTGATGCCGAAGAAATGCGTACGTGCTGATAAACTCTCTGGCACCTTTAGTACTACGCTCCGGGCATTGTTGTTTTTAAGGTCAATAACTTCGATGTTGTTCGTCTTTGCATCGCAGAAGTACAATAGTTGTCCTGAAAAAAGGAGTTGATTTTATAATCATATGACTGTTTTTTATATTATCTTAGATGTATGTATTTACAGCAACCATTGCATTTTGGCGTCGGATTTACAGTTTATGTTTATGAATTGAGTTGACGTACTTCTCACATCTAAAGCTAAGCCATTTGGCCATTCGTCCTTGTTAATGGATATCCGCTGGCGGCCTGAGCCATCCAGATTAGCGACATCTATCTGCCCCAGACCCCAGTCAGACCAATACATTTTCCTGTAAAACACGATTTATCTTAATTGGATATTTCTAAAAGTATTTCATTAATAATATAATATTACATTATATGATATGATATGATATAATATAATGTAATATAATATTATTATATAACAATAATAAGTAAGTAAGTATGTTAGTAATATTGACAATCGACAAATATGCTGGACTGAAAAGCTTACTTTAGTTTAGTTGAGAAAGTTTATTTCATTTAACATTCTAAAGTAGAGGGTGTTTAAGTGTTCAATCAGTTTTTGTTAGTGGCAATATATATCCAATGTGAATTATATTTAACATATAAAATTACAAAATTACAAAATGATCAATATCTGTCATTACAGATTTACATGAATTGGAAATGAATGATTAAAATGTAACTGGGCAAATCATCTAGGGATAATGTCATCTCTTTACTTGTTGATAATGTCTAGCTGAATTGCTCTTGGATGGGTAATATTGTCATGCACTAATGTTCTCTCGCAAGACCCATTTAAAGCCATCACGGAAATACTATTTCGCCCTGCGTCAGCGTAGTACAAAAGTCTCGAATTTGGCTCAATGGCAAGACCATCTGGTACCGAATCTAAAAGAACACAAAACACACAAAACAATTACCATACAGCCGTTCATACCTAGTAAATCGGGAAAGGATGTAGTCCTGTATAGTAGATAAAAAAAGAACACAATGTTCCTACAACCCGTTTAGTTGGCAAAATGATATCGAGGTAATAGAAAATGTACCAGCTCCGAGTTTCTTGATGATCTCTGAACCAGATCCATCTAAACCGACGCTTCTGATGGTCTTCTCATCGACATCTGTAAAGTATATCCGTTTGTCAACCGGATCATACGCTATGGCTACGGGATTTGAGCCAGTTTTAGTGACCAAGCGATAATTATTTGGGTCGTTGGCGTCAATCTGGAAGACCGAGTCTTGAAATGTATCCACAAGTATGATAAAGTTGTCATCCATCTCTGCATCTATAGAAAATGCCAAAACATTGTTAAAGTTATGACTTATTCACCGATCAAGTTAGAATACTAAAATGTGCATGAGAAAATCGAAAACATATGATAAAATATAGCCCATTGGATAGAATACATATAAATTATTACAGATTGGAAAGAACGCGTACTGGGTTCGACTGTCGTTTGACAATTAAGTGAGCAATATGCTATACCTTTACGTGGCGTAGTTGGGCATGGTTTGTATGTGGGACATGATGTGACTGTCGGGCATGGTTCCTGTGTGGGACATGACTCTTGGGTTGGACATGGAACTTGTGTCGGGCAAGGCTTTTGTGTTGTTCTTGTATTTATCCACACTTCGAGATCTTGGCATAATTTTTTATACTTTTTCAGGAACTTCCTCATGTTTGCTCTTGACTTCTGTCTCTTCATATTTGCCAGAACTGTTGAAAGTTCTTTCAAAATCTCCCTTCGAAATTCCCAGATATTATTTGCAAATTTCGAGCTTTTTGGAAAGGTAAATGCTAATCTTAACGATTTTGCCTGAAACAACGAGGTCAGGTCGGGTCATTGTGCATGTTCGAAATTTTGCTGCAACCGTCAATAGGGTCACGTTATTTTTCAAATTTGAATCACTCCGTCCCCACAATGTCTAAATCTCTCACTTTTGCACAACAAGTGCAATAATGTACCTAGAAAAGAATGTAGAGAAGAATGTTTTGATAAAATGATTGTATAAAAAACTAGAAAATTCAGTAAAATTTTCAGAAAACATTTTCGCTGAAGTTTCTCGTTTTTATGCATTTTACAAAACAAATCTTCTCACCAGTCTTTTCTAGGCACATACATGTAAGTACATTCTTTGTGCAAAACTGAAAGGTGCGGACAATGTGGTGAAGGAGTGATTCCTGTTTGAAAAATAACATGTGACTCAACTGAGGAATGTAGTAAAATTCCGAACATGCACCCTGGCCTTAAAGGAATATTCCTTGCCAGACCCTTTCTCTCTTGATATGGTAGCTATAATCATATATATATAGTTTCTATATTTAACAAAACATGGGAAAATGTTTTAATATGGTCAATATTGATCATTTAAAAATCTAGTGCTTATTTCCAGTGAGCTGCCATCTTTTAAGATTTCTTGCAAGAAGTGATGTCATCAACTCTCAACTTCTATAACCTTAATTACCCATAACAGTATAGGAAAGTAGCACAAAATCACTTCTAGACAAGTGATCATTACTTTCTGTGCAAAGAGATTTTCAGAAGGATTAAATAAGATACAAAGTTGAAAAATAATATTTAGCTGGTTTTGTAATTCTTAATAGCTCCTCACCTAATGCTATATGCAAAGTTGAGAGTCGATGACATCACTTCCTGTGTGAAATTTTAAAAGATGGCAGCTTACTGGAATTGAGCAGCACATTTCTAAGTGATCAAATTTAATCATATCAAAACATTTTTGCGTGTTTTGCTAAACATGGCAGGCATATATATGGTTATAGCTACCATATGAGGAGAGAGATGGTTTGGCAAGGAATATTCCTTTAAACATGTGGATATGAATCGATTCATTTTGATTGACAGACCATTTCTTGGACTGTGTATTATGTAATACCAACATCGCACAGGGCAAATACTTGACTGTATCTTGTCTAAAATAGAATACTTAATAATCGGCTGTATCTTGTCTGGAAGTGAAATACTCGCTAATGTGAATGAGAGCATGTATTAATTAAAAGCGCATATCTATAGTAAACAACTCTCTGGAGAAGCAAATCCAACCGGACAAACCATACAGGGTGGGCCAAAAAAATTTGCAAGCTTTTTAGAAGGCAAAAAAAGTATCATAACATTATGGTATTGACATGAAATTTTTTTTACAGAAACTTAAGGATAGGCATATTTTACCATTCAAATACTTAAGCTAATACTGACTTCAATTTTTTTTGTCAGATGTTTGAATATTAATGGTAAATTGCTCATGTGTCCGAGATTTACTGATTTTCCTAGAAAATGTGATTTTCTATAATTTTATGTGATCATCGATAAAACATTTATTATGTTCACTAAATCTGCTGCAATCTTTGTTAAGTGGTGTATTGGGCGGCTATTCATCAGGACTAATGAATCAAGGGGTATTTTGCTCCAGATATTCCATAGTGACTTTTGGCCTAGGGTCAGGAGCGCTATCCTGCTGGAATATGTAATCACTTGGGGCTGAAAGAGCCCCCATTCTTGAAAGATGTCCCTTTTGAAGAAGATTAGTCCTGAGTCGAATGGCCACCTAATACACCAGATGCCAACCCCTGGGACTATCACACATGGGGGCACCTGGAGCAATGTATTGTAGTTAATGGTTATACCCCACAAATTATTGATCAACTATAAGAAGTTCTGCAGGATAAGTGGAGACGACTACCACAAGAACTGCTGGATCTCGCCATTGACCAGTTCAGTTCTCGTCTCCATGTGATTGTGAAGGTGAATGGCGGATGCATAGAACATTTGTTGAATAAATAATTAATATTGTTAGTACCTCAGTTGAAATACTCGATTTTGATTGGTCAACGAGCGGTGAATAATTTTAACTGTACACCGCGCAATGCATTGCCGGTGAATAATATTCCCAGCATTCCACTAAAATGACGTCATTATCAGACGATAAAATGGCCGCCGCTTGCACTAGCCGTTTCAAAAATGTTGAAGATGAGGATATTATTAGTCTCTTAGAGAGTAAAGACAGTCAAAATATGAAGAAAAATATAAAACTTTGTACAAAGCTTTTAGTGGACTTCGCTGCAATCTTTGTTAAGTGGTGTATTGGGCGGCTATTCATCAGGACTAATGAATCAAGGGGTATTTTGCTCCAGATATTCCATAGTGACTTTTGGCCTAGGGTCAGGAGCGCTATCCTGCTGGAATATGTAATCACTTGGGGCTGAAAGAGCCCCCATTCTTGAAAGATGTCCCTTTTGAAGAAGATTAGTCCTGAGTCGAATGGCCACCTAATACACCAGATGCCAACCCCTGGGACTATCACACATGGGGGCACCTGGAGCAATGTATTGTAGTTAATGGTTATACCCCACAAATTATTGATCAACTATAAGAAGTTCTGCAGGATAAGTGGAGACGACTACCACAAGAACTGCTGGATCTCGCCATTGACCAGTTCAGTTCTCGTCTCAATGTGATTGTGAAGGTGAATGGCGGATGCATAGAACATTTGTTGAATAAATAATTAATATTGTTAGTACCTCAGTTGAAATACTCGATTTTGATTGGTCAACGAGCGGTGAATAATTTTAACTGTACACCGCGCAATGCATTGCCGGTGAATAATATTCCCAGCATTCCACTAAAATGTCGCCATTATCAGACGATAAAATGGCCGCCGCTTGCACTAGCCGTTTCAAAAATGTTGAAGATGAGGATATTATTAGTCTCTTAGAGAGTAAAGACAGTCAAAATACGAAGAAAAATATAAAACTTTGTACAAAGCTTTTAGTGGACTTCGCCCAGGAGAGTAATTTGACTCCATTGAGTGAACTTACTGCCGTGGCAGATGTAGATAATTTTTTGAAAAAGTTTTACGTTGGTATTTGAAAAATCAGTCAGAAAAATCTAAGATATTCTTCGGACTAACAAAACAATTATAGACCTCTCCATTCGGTTTACTGTCAAAATTATATCCCTCGACTGTAAACCTCGACCTACGGTCTCAGTTTACAGTCTCGGGATATAATTTTGACAGTAAACATCTGGAGAGGTCAATAATTGTATACAGTGTAACAATATTACCATAGTGACTAGATACTGATATAAACCTGTACTAGACATTGGTTAAACAGTTATCAAAGATTGTAGCAGATTTAGTAAACATAATGAATGTGTTATTGTTGATCACATAAAATCATAGAAAGTCAGATTTTCTAGGAAAAATGGTAAATCTCGGACAAATGAACAATTTACCATTAATATTCAAACATCTGACAAAAAAATTGAAGTCAGTATTAGCTTAAGTATTTAAATGGTAAAATATGCCTATCCTTAAGTTTCTTAAAAATTTCATGTCAATACCATAATGTTATGATACTTTTTTTGCCTTCTAAAAAGGTTGCAATTTTTTTTGGCCCACCCTGTATATTAGAGAGATAAAGCTTGCACTGTTTTTCACAATGTAAACGTAAACGGAAATAATTATTACAGTATTTACACGTATCAATATAGGAATGTGTAGTGCATGTACACTTTCGTATGCCTGTTAAGACGGGAAGACGTTTATATTAACATATTCCGTTGTAACTCTTGAGGTCATAATGAAAAATGGATAGGAATTTTAAAGAAACTAGAGTAAAGTTCTCACCATCATATAACCAAGCATATTTTTGGCTAAATCAATCCATTCTTTTACTTCCTTTGCACTTGTAAGTGCCTTATTTTCAATTTTTTCCGAAACTCTCTTTAAATCAACTTTAAGACTGCCTGCATTCTGGGCCAATTCGGCGAGCTTTGGATGGGTCTTTTCACCTGTTGCCTGGCCATGGACATATTCAACTGTAATAAATAGGATAAGTTTATTGAATCATTCCAAGGTTATATAGCCGAGGGGAATAAGTGTAGAAGACGCGGACGGGTCAAAGAGGCACAAGTGGCAGATAAAGAATATTGAGATGTTATGTTTTTAAGAATCAGTAAATGACAGGCTGCTGAGGAAAGCAGTTATAAGCTTGATAATTCAAAAACTGAAAAAACGTAGGGTACTAAGGGCACGCTTTTATATACAAAAGAAACATGGTTGTTGTTTTGGGGCAAACACACGCACTTGCAATTTAATGATTTGCAAGCTCTTCTCAAATTTATATTCAGTGCATTTTTTACATCGATATGTATTGCGGAACACCCCTCTCTTCCAAACATATGGTGTGAATACTTTTCCGGTCCCGTTTTCAACTTTCACAGGCCCTCTTGCAAAAAACTAATATACGTCTGAATCCTCGTAATTTGAAGATATAGATACGTCACATTACCCTCATTCTATTTTCTAAAGGATGATTTAATTGTTCAAATATGTAATTGAGACCACATGATATATTTCAAGTCGAAGCAACCCTTTTACTCTGTTGTAAGAAATAAAGAAGCATTGAGACCTCACATAAAAAACTAATACAAATCGTTTAAAGTCAAATCTGAATAAACGAAACGGTCCTCGTGATTTATCTAAAATTCAACAAAGATTGCCAAAAACATAAATCACTACTCACCATGCATTAATGTGGCAAAGACAGCCTGAAAAGGCAAATGTGACAGATTTTACACAATATTCACACGTTGACCTTGAAATATTTTACAGCTATAAGCATAAAATCTACATCGAAATAAACCAGAGATCGGGGATAACATATAACATTAATTACAATACTTAATACTGCCATGTGTGGTGAACATGCATTTTTTTGTCGAGAAAAAAAGTTCACTGTTGTTCATTGTGTTCACTACACCAAGGATTTCATTTCGTGTTTTATTCGTTTTATATAAAGAGGCCAGTTATTAAACAAAGCTAAAAGAGGGGAGGGAATAATCAATTTAATTTGTATTTTCTACCCATGACACTCTTAGTGATAAGTTTTTGTTTTGTTGTGGTGTTATTTAAAGTGACTTATTTTCGACTGACTGTCATCTGAATGGCTCATCCTTTTATCATGAAAGGAGTGGTATCGATATGGTGAACTTTTTGAATACGCGTTTTTCTTAAACCAGTTTTCAAAACATTCTGAAAATTTTACACATCGTCAATTCAATGGTTATCTTTTGTATATGGTAACATTATAATTTGAAATATATATATACTTTTCTCTAAATTGTTTTAGAAAAAACACCATACACTTCTTTTGTTCTTGGTACCATATGTTCGGAATGAAATGAAACATCTATCCCTAGAACCTGATTGGAACAAAACGACATAAACACAACGTGTTCAAGTCTCTCAATATTGTAATTGTACAAAGGAAAGTTTGGTTGATCTTCAAAAAGTATCTTGTTAATGAAATAAACTGTTTATCTTAACTTTTATATATTTTTGCATACTATTTGTTAAATCAACCAAAATTTCCTTATTGTATAACCATATTGAGAGGTCTAAGAAAATGTTGTATATGCAATTTTGTTCCAACAAGGTTCGGAAAGACATTTTATTTCATTCTCAAGAATTGGTATAAAGAAACAAAAAACAATTGCACTAAAAAAATGTTAACAAAAACAGTTGTATAAAATATATATAAATAATATTTGCATTTAACTCGCGGATTTTCTGCAACTGCCTTATCAGAGTCACGCAGGTTTTGTTCATAGTACCTGCCAAAAAATAATTCAAAGGTCAAATTGAGATGTTGATCTCCTCTTCTATTGAAACAGGTGTGACTAATTATAATACTTAAAAACCTTTGTATTTGTAGGACGGGATATGTGTCTAGCATTGGTTACTTTGGAGATAGTCCGGTTGATTATTATTGCCTCTATCTGCTAAGTCCAAACTTAATCTTATTCTCATCCCCATCAATTTAAAAACATGATTAGATTAAAATTACAATGACCATCTTTAATTGACACCATCTTGTCCTTTACTTAGTTCAATAAATTCGATTAATTTTGAGATAAGGTTGCCATTGTTACCTGTATTTAGGGAAGGTAGGTCAGTTAGATAATAAAATGTAGAACATCCCATTGCTTTTGTAAATATGTTGAATCTCTTTTTTATACTTTAAGCCTTTGTAAATTATGTACTTTAATTTGATGTACATTTTTATGCTCTCCCCAACACGGAGGAAATAAGAATTTAGGACAGGGCCAATAAAAACAATAGTTTACCGCATTACCATTTTGTTACGAAACTTGCTTTACGAGTTCCTCCACAGTGAAATGGTTATTAACTTAATTCTAATTCTCCTCAATGCAATGGACGACAGGAGGCCGACTTCGCACTGGTGGATCCAGAAGCTAACAAATATTTCGGGCCCCTAATACAAAAAATTGGGTCCACATTTTGAAAATTTAAGGCCAAATTTTTGATAATGAATAAAAAAGATTATGACCAAAAAGGTCCATTTTTGAGGCCATACAAATTTTTTGGGGCACTCGATTGTTTTCTTGGCCCGCCCAAGGGGCGCGCGTATGCCTCCCCTTGGATTCGCCAGTGCTTCGTCAGATCATGTGTTGCATTGTGTGAGCGATTTTCAGAAATTTATAAAGAGCTAACAAGTAAGCCTACTTACAATTGCTGCTACTCGCAAGAATGATGACAAACTCATGTTTCTGCTGAAATGGACATATATGCGCTATGTTTCGATTTTTACCTGTTGAGCTTTAACCTATGCGAGAAAGTGCTAGACAATTCTCGAAATGTTGTTTACAAGTTAACCCTGGTTGACTAATTTTATTTTGACACTCATATTTATTTTATACAATAAGGACCTTGTTTATTTGGTAATTTTTAGTTTTCGTCGAATTGTAACAGTCTAGTAGTTTTCCATTTCGGGGAAGTACCATGAGAAATTGAACGTTCCGACAATGTTATTATTACTAACCATGTCGCCAAAAATGTCGCCGTATCATTTCTGAAACCGTTAATGTAAATGAGGTTTAAACATCACACAAAATATGAACTAATAACGTTAGTCACAAGGCCTAATTAGTTATCCTTATGGACGAAGTTCGGTATGGATGTAGCAAGGCCCTCCTTCCGTCCACCAGTCCGTCCTTCATCCGTTCGATTATCAAAGCTGGTTCAAGTATAGGCTGATTACTTTTATGGAAATAGAGCCTCAGACTGGTTGTCAGATTTGGCTTTTTACAGGCTGAAATATCTTGATAGAACTTGAAATTGAGAAAAATACTGGATTAAACTAGGCTATTGTGTCCAGAGGATACTTCTTTTTTTCAATATGTGGCGCAACAGACAAAATGTAGCATCAAAATAAAAATATATTTAGAGAAATCACGTGTTCAGATAATTATAGTTAATATCTGAGGTATAAATACGCTCCGTCCGTCTGTCAAGTCTGCTCGTCTGTTTCCCTACACGAACTTCATTCGGCGAGATAAAGTACATTATGGTATAGTATGATACATGTATGATAAATACACTAGCGGATATCCAAAGATTCATGAGTATGTGATTTTCTTATCCCCGAATGAATACGATATTCATAAAATCATATCACAGCAGCCCGGAAAGAGTAGAGTATGTTAGTCTCGGTATAATGGTAGGTATTACTTGTAATGGATTAGTAACCCTAGTTCGTTAAGCCCATGCAGCGCCTTGGGACCTACATTGTACTCTCATCACACCCCACACATTTGGGCACCATCTTTTCACATTCTCTTGAACACAACCCCCGACCATTTCAATTTGAAAGGAGTATGATCGATTTCCTGTATTTGAAGATTGGTCAGTTGCTGTATTACTTTAGGATTGTATGACCCCATAGGCCTATGACATTTTCTTATATTTACTTTCAACTGTGCATTCATATTTACGAAACATGCTGCCATTTTATGAACAAATATGAGACTAAATGATGAATTATGTATTTGCGTCACTCATACTTTGGATGCCTTTATTATCAATAAATTAAGAGGTGTTCCTTAAATAACATTTTTGTATGTCAGAATTTTACTCTAGTTTTCAAATATGCAATCGTTTTCGATAATATTGAAAATAAAAAAGTTATTGAAGGAAAGGTGACCATTGAACAATTCTGTCCGGGCTACTTAGTAGAATTTAGGATGTCCTATCCATTCCATAGATTAAGGGAAAAGAGCGCTTGTCAAACGTTTCTGACTATAATCCTCCGAGTCCAGAAGAAAAAACGTTAACCACGGGATACGACGCCGTATCTCATTCTCATGGTTGAAAACTGTATTCGATGATTCAGTGAAAATGTAATTTTATATGCACACAATTGCAAAATAATGAAACCCCATGTCTTATATCTGTCTGGATTTTAATTTATCATTCATAATATATCAAATAAAGTGAATTTAGACATTTCTGCATCATTAATCTTTCATGTTTGATCAGTTATCTCATTTTTTCTTCAGATAATTGAATCAAACTACTTTGAGCCAACATAACATCAGCACAAGCCTTGAAACAATCAACGTTTTTCAACTCGTTGTCTCTTCTTTGCTGTCACTTTAAATTAGCACTACAAAGGTTTTCGTTTCATTCGTGTAATTTTCCGTTTAGAAATGCAATTGGTTAGTGTAACTTTATTTTTACTTCCTGGTGCTATATTTGGAGATTATGTCAACGGTGAAGACATATTGCAGAGGTTATAATGATCTACACTCCCCTCCCCTCCATAAGTTTGGCAACCTTTTTCCCCCATTGAACTACGTGTTAAAGCCTCTTTACCTTGGAATTTTTATTTACTTAACCTGCGATAAAAATACTTATACTATTGATGGAAACGTAATTTGACTTTAATTCCGATACCTCCAAATTTTCTCAATTTTTTTCCTCAATTACAATAGGTCGAAAATTTATGATAAATTTGATGAATTTGTGAAAATCGACATTCCCATGTTAACCAATGGGAAATGGTAGGTTTGCCGCAAGTCATATGACTGAATATCCATCCATCCGAGTCCTTGCAAAAAATACGAGTTAGGCAGGCAATTGAATTTGCTAACTTTATTTAACAAAAAATTGATATGTTTCTTCAGGTTCAACAAAGTTATAGGGCTTTAAAGTCAAAATTGTTTTTCAAAAAACCTCTCCCATTGAAATAACACAGGAGGCGAAAAATTATTTTCAAAAATGACTTTGAAGCGCTGTAACTTTAATATTCATCAAATAAACTAAACACTTAGTGTTCAAAAAAGTTAGACAATTCAATTTTCTAAATAAAAATATTTTTTGCTGAATCGTTTAATGAAAAGATATCCTGATTTCTGATTTGCCCCGAACCCTCCATTTCCCATTAGATTACATGGGAATGACGATTTTCAAAAATTCATCAAATTTATCATCAATTTTCGACCTATTGTAATTGAGGAAAAAGATTGAGAAAATTTTGAGGTATTGGAAATAAAGTCAAGTTACGTTTCCATCAATAGTATAAGTTATTTCATCGCCGGTTAAGTAAATAAAAATTCAAACGTAAAGAGATTTTAACACGTAGTTCAATGAAGAAAAAAGGTTGCCAAACTTATGGAGGGGAGTGTATGTTAAACAGGCTGATCAGCGGGATGATCAAATGAACGTTTTTTTCTAATACCTAAAATAGTGAAAACCTATCGTGATGAAAGATAATCCTGTTATGTAGAACAAGCAAAAATACGTTACGATATCTTATTATTAAGAGGCCCCTTCCGGGGACAAATATTATCATTCTTCTTTTTAGCATTTTTTCTCCAACTTCCAGCTAGGTCTCCGTGATCTACTATATCACGCCTCGACAACGTACAGTGGCATAATACACGGGTGTTGTCATGTTTGAAGCAAATATTGTGATGTAGGTTTAGAAAGATTTATCTAAGGAATATGATGAAGTATTTCATGTTTTGTTTCATGTGCATGCTCTTGGCAAGGCTTTTGACTTCCTAATTCGTGAACAGATTCTCAAGCAATATTCGAACCTTTTCTAGGTAATAACACCCACATAATTGACCGGTTATGTTGGTTGAATTTACATGGACGTATGTGGAATCACCTAGAGAACATAGTTTTCATAAAAAGTATTTGATAAAAAGTCACAACTCTGTACTATATTTTTCAAAGGGATATTGATTTTTTGATTGAACTGGTGTTTTCATTTTAATGTTGACAATTAATTTGTTCAATTATTATGATATTCTGTAATGTTGTTCGAAATGTATTACCTAAATGAAAACGATTAAAAATATAAAAGTCAAGAAATGATGACTCAGTTTCTCCATAGCCCATGGTTTCTCTAAGAAGTTCTCTTGACAGAAAATTCGAAACTATTTCCCATTCGCAAATACCATGTAATATGCACGTGCAATGAGATTGCTAAGAAATTCCAATGAGGCGCATTGACAAATATAACAAAGGTACTTTGCTGTTTGCTATGGATCCAGGAACTACATGACTTCAAGCACTTAATAATATCCCACTGAGCAATTTTGAAAGAACAAATGGCATTGTGCATCTAATTAAAAAAATCCAGCTATTTTTGAAAATAATTAATCAACTGATTGCTGTTTAGAAAACAAGTTATTAACATGCAAAATGTCACTTCCTGCCGTTTGTTACAGATATCAAACGCCGACGCCCACCAAACACCGTCCTTGAAAAAGTTGGAGAGTTTAACAATATGTCACCATTTCTCGGGTAACGTAAAATGTGTGCAATACATTTAATCCAGATACGTCCATCGATTTGAAGACAAAATAAAACAAGCATGTGCCTTGAATCCATTGTATTTCATTTTCAATAATTATACTGATACAGTTCTGTGTAGATTTATCTCCCAGGTAATATATTATACGACTCAAGATCATTTACTTCAGAAAATGATGATTTATTTTCGACGTTTCAAATTTTAAAGGATGTGTCCGGGTATATGCCCTTTTGGTCCCTCAGTCAAATGTATGTGAAATATGTTTTTTATTACTGTCCTAGTTATATTTGATAAGAATATTTACTTTTTCACAATTTTTGATGCATAATTAACCCCCTGGTGAGAGTCAGAATAAGTATCTTAACAAAAAAAAGTCATTATCATAGAAAAAAACACCAATGGCAACATGCATGACTTTTAAGACCCATGAAGGATTTAAAAGAAAATCATATTTTTGAAATATATTTAAGTATTAAATTTTTTTTCAAAATTTTGAATTTCCCGCCAGTTTAATTTGAAGGGGAAAAAACAAGATGGCCGCCATTTGATGTAAGAAATATCAGAAAAAAAGTTGCTTCACTTTTAGTTTTCACAATGAGCACAGTTTTCCGGTTTAGGTTTTTTGACTGATTCTGACTCTTCATCACCAGGGTCATGTATAGAGATTATAAAATTGAAACCAAAATGTTGTGCTCAGCATGAATTTGACTGAAATATGTGTAACTTCACCAACACAATTGAAGTCTCAAAACTGGATGTTCAGTAACTTTGAGTGACTATAATCCCTTGATTACCCAGATAAACACCAATTCACTTATCCAGAAATACCATTCAATGTCTATACAAAGAAAGTATGCAATGTTTTTGAGGATATTTTTCAAACCTTTTGTGTAAATAATTCATTTAATATTTGCCATTGATTTTTTTTCAATTCTGACAAAGTGATATGCTCTATCTTTGATGCCAATATTCTTCATTAATTGTGATACAAATTGACATTTTTGTACTCTCAGAAGAAGGATAAGATATTGAAGTTTAATAATATGTGTGATTGAGTTGGTTTATCAGACATTACAATTTTCAATATTTTCTAAGTCGATACCCAGACTCATTCCCAGACTCATCCTTTAAAAAGCTGGTAGGATAACAGGTGTAAAAGGGTAGGAGGTCCTCTCAAATTATGGTCCTACTCTCCATTGATTTATATGGTGACCTAAATACAACCCTTTCCCTTATTATCTTATACACAATCAGGGCCAGTAAGGGCTGTTTAGAAAGGGGACCATAATCCCCAGGGAACCATAATTTCTTTCACACCGGCGCGCGAAACGTCGAAAATACATGATTATTCTCTAAAGTAAATGGACTTGAGTTATCTACTGATACATGTAAATCATGTATTATTGTCTAGGATAATAGATAAAGAAGTATTCGCCATTGTCAGTATCTGCATGTGATATAGACTCTTCATTGAATCATACAATTGTACTAGAAGTACACAAGAATTTGCAATAACTGATTTCAAAAGTCCTTCTTGTATTTATCTTCTGCCTCCACTTGTAAAGAGATTGTCCTGATTCCACTGTAGAGTGTTCCACTGTAGAGTGTCCAGCATTATGCACAAACCAAAAATGAGACAAGTGGCTTCTGAATCTCTGAAATAACACATTTAAAAGATTATACATATTCCCAGAAAGGGGGCACTTGAGAGTCCTAGTTGTGATTTTTATGTGACCACCAAAAAGTGGTGACATATTGTTATGGTTTCCATTTCCGGATGGCGGTTGGCGATCGGTGTCTGTAACAAATTCTTACAACTTCCAATAACTTAACAAATACTGTTTAGACTGACTTCAATTTTTTTCAAAATCATCTACCTGTTTCCAGAAGTTCAAATCTGACTTTATATTTAATATTTGACCTTTAATGACCTTTTCAAGGTCGAAAAAGGTCTTTTTACAACTTGCTTCAAATTGACCAATTCGTTTTTCAAATCATCTATCAGAAGTTTAAATCTGACTTAAGATTTGAGATTTGACCTTCAATGACCTTCTCAAGGTCAAAAAGGTATTTTTTCAACTTGCTTCAAATAGACCCATTTTTTACAAATTATCAGAAGTTCAAATCTGTCTTTAGATTTGAGATTTGACTTTCAATGACCTTGTCAAGGTCACAAAAGGTCAAAAAGGTATTTTTTCAACTTGCTTCAAATTGACCAATTTTTTTCAAAATTCTACAAGTTATCAGAAGTTCAAATCTGACTTTAGGTTTGAGATTTGACCTTCAATGACCTTCTCAAGGTCAAAAAAGGTAGGAAAGGTCTTTTTCAACTTGCTTCAAATTGACCAATCTTTTTTTCAAAATCATCTTCAAGTTCTCAACAGTTCAAATCTGACTATAGTTTTGACCTTCAATGACATTCTCAAGGTCAAAAGAGATTTGACCTTCAATGACATTCTCAGGGTCAAAAAGGTATTTTTTCATCTTGCTTCAAATTGACCAATTTTTTTCACTATCATCTACAAGTTCTTAGAAGTTCAAATCTGACTTTAGATTTGAGATTCCACCTTAAATGACCTTCTCAGGTCAAAAAAAAGTCTTTTTACACCTTGCTTCAAATTGCCCAATTTATTTTTCAAAATCATCTACAAGATCTGAGAAATTAAAATCTGACTAAGATTGTGAACAACAAGGTGGTGACATTTTGTCATATCTTAGCCTATCTTGTTGAGGCAAGAGAAAAACAAATTATTGAACTTGAAGACTTATTTCATATATGAGAATGATACAATAATGATTCTTTTAAATACACAATTTTACAATTGGGATCTATTTTCACAGTCCTCCAATATTCCTTCAGAGTTATTTTGCTAGAAACAAGGGGAACTTGGAATATAGGTAGTCAAGTGTTAGAGCAAGCTTAAGTGTTTTTGACCAGCAGAAGTATACAAAGAGATCATATTTTACAAACAAAATGAGTGTTTACTGCATACCTTGTGAAGCTCCTATGAAGTTCTTGCAGGACAAACCATATCATACACTATCTGCCATGAACAAAATAATGGCTGAAAAGAAGGTTGAATATTTCACTTTCATACAATAGAGATACTGTGTCATAGAATATAATCATAGATGATCGGTGGACTTACCAATTTTCCAAAGGCAGTTTACACTGATTTTAACAAAATTCGTTTAATCATAACCTTACAAAATAAAATTTGATAAAAGTAAATATCTTTAGATTATTAGAAGATAAAGATTATTGTGGGTCCAAAAAATAAAATTAAAGCTATTGATGCTTGTAAAATAGTTCTATCTCTGTGTAAAAGAGTTTAAACATGAAAAGTTGAAAACCCACAAGTGATTAGTTTGACAATGCACAAGTTTTGCAGTAAACAAATGTAGCATCAGTTCAAATCATGATATGTGCAAATATTAATACCTTTGGGATTTGAGTTAGATATTTCTCCCAAACATCAGGGAAAAGATGACTTGTACCTTCTTGGTAGAACCAAATCAGCTCACTCCTGAAAGGCAAATGAAGACATATTAATCTAATGCCCAAGATGAGGATTTCCAATATCCATAAAAATGCATTAATAATGTTAAATAAAAACTTGTAAATAAAAGTACAAGCTGGATCACAGATCAGTAATGAATTAAGTGCTGGAGCAAATCTTAGAACATCCTAGATCATGTTATTCATTGAAAATAAAGAGAGTGAGGTGACAGCGTTTGGGTATTCCTCTTTTTGAAATAGTGTAGTAATATTAGAAACTATACTAGATGTAAGCCATTATTCTTTGAAGACATTAGAGGGCAAGTAGAAAACATACAAATACATTTTAATGACAACCACCTGACGAATGACCTTGGGTGTGGTCATTGGTTCTATTATGCCATGCAATCATATGAAATACTGTGTTCGGATTGGTTGGAATTGGACACACCTTGCCAACATGTAGCTATGTGTGGATATACTTACCTTTTTATGTAAATATTCTTCCCAGGATCAATGATCTCACCCTGTCAGGATGGGTCTCAGCATAAGCTAATGACAGAGTTGAGCCCAAGCTCCCTCCAAAAACAACCCATTTTTCAATATTCCAATACTTCCTTCAAGTTTCAATATCTTCAACTAAATGCAATGTAGTGTTATCCTGAAATAAGAAACAGTACATACAACTATATAAGTGTGGTAGGGTGAAGTGTGAACACAATAATAATATAATAGTTCATGGGCACAGTCAAATTTATTACTTTTACCCTTGCCAATGATAATGTCCTGTTACTCATTATCTTCTAGTGGTACAGATTCCTAAGTGCCATTCTTCTGTAATTAAGTAATGTACATGCAATTTTCACAATTTAGAAGTTAGGAGTGAAGGTGGACTACCCATTAGCATTTAAGAGTAGCAACAGACTATAGTGACTGTCTACCCCAAGAATTGATGAAAAAGTATTAGGACTACAGTCTAATCATAAATACTTACAATAACTGTTGCCATTTTTGTTTCTTGACTGACTATTACAGTAGGCTAGCTCTACATGTATAGTCTGATTCAAAATTCTATTGTGTACTTTTAATTTAAAAAATAACCATGACCATATTGTAACAGTTTATAAAACAAGGCATTAACATGAAAAAATGTCGCCAACTAGTTGCTCACAATATTATGAGTTCAATCTAAGTCAGATTTGAATTTCTGAGAACTTGTAGATGATTGTGAAAAAAATTGGTCAATTAGCAAGTTGAAAAAATACCTTTTGACCTTGAGAAGGTCATTGAAGGTCAAATCATTTTTGACCTTGAGAAGGTCATTGGAGGTCAAATTCAAAAATATAGTGAGATTTGAACTTTGAGAATTTGTAGATGTTGGTTTTGAAAGAAATGGTTTCTACAGTGGGGAACATAAAAAATTACTATAGCTATGAAAATGACATGCTGTCGCACATGTAATAAATTCTCACCTCAGTGTATTCAGTGCTCTATTTTCTCCGTCCTAGAAAGTCCAGATATAGTGGAATTTGTGTCCATAATGACAAATAGGAACTTAAGAATTTGAAGTGGATATTCACATGTTAATGCCGACTCTTCAAATGTTGAGGTGATTTTGGAGCCCGATTTGATTGGCTCCCAGAATGCAACATGACGTTACGCCATTTTGAAACCTATGAGTAAATAAGGTTAACCGATGTTGCATTCTGGGAGTGAATCCTCCTTGGACCACAAACATGGCGATTCATGAAAACATTCGTTCGATTTGGTAGGGATTTATCCATCATTTGGTATGAAGCTTTGCAGTTTGGATTCATTCACTGTGCTACTTTAAGTGAACAGGAATTATTTTTCTACCGCTTGGAAGAGTTTGAGACACGAAACTTAAAATTTAGCTCATTGTGAGTGACAACTTTTTTAATGGTTGAGGTTTATTTTTTTTTTCCCACTAGCTTAGATCTATGTTTATTCATGGGCTCTATCTTTCAGATATGGTCCTTTGAATCTGATTGATTGCTTATTTTTTTAGATTAAAAGTACCTGTAAATGTTCAGATTCCACAGCTTGAAAATACAGGCTATATGTAAAAACATAGTGTTTAGGCAAATCGTGAAATTCTTCTTGAAACACAAGATCATGAGAATTTGTCAAACTTTTTGTGAGACCGGAACAGGAAGTACAGGTATGACGTAATTATGCGCAAAGTGCGTGCTTTCATTTGCGCGATCACAGATTAAGCAGACGATTTGAGACACACAGGTTCTACTAGATTTCTACTCCAAGCCCTGAAACAGGTGAGAACACACAAAACAAAACAAAGGATCAAGATCTAGTACATGTAGTAGTACGTATTGATCCGTCGCAGGACCATGTAGGCCTCTATGCATAGGCTAAGATCACTGGCGGATCTGGGGGGGTGGGTCCCGCCCCCCCCCCCTTAGGTGGGCCAAGAGAAAAAAAATTGGGCCTAAAAAAATTGGGCAAAAAAGGCTTTAAAGCCCAAAAAGTGGACCTTTTGGGTCATTACTGGGCCTTGTAAGGCCTTATTTTTAATTTCAGGCCAAAAGAAGAAAATGGGCCTCAAAATTTGGGACCACTTTTCGTTTTAGGAAAGTTTTTTTTCTGTCACCATATGTGCACCCCTTGTGCCATATGCTCTAGGACACTATTTTGAGTCAAATTCTTGCAGATTTATATGCCTACAAGTTATCTCAAAAGCCATTTTAAAAATTGCCGCTAGACGTTTCAAAATTGCGGCCTTTTTGTGTCAATTTTACGTATTTCAGGCACATATAAAACTGTAATGTTTTAAATGCAGAAAAGTATAAATGTTATGGATTAAGTTAAAAATCTAATTTAAAAAGATTAAAGATATCTTTGCGTCCTGTTGTATTTTGTAAGATTCAAGATCTCATGGAATAACGCGAGGCTGTGAAACACCTCCTTTGTTAAACACTTTCATCAATTTGTCAGTTAAGTAATATTTTTTATATTTTTAAAGTAGAAAATAAAACGGAAGACCGCAAAGAAAAAGAAAAAAATCATTTTGAGGGAACGTGAAGGTTGACGTTTACGGTTCACGTCATAAAAATCGTTTTGCTTAAGCCCGGTATACACCAATGGGGCAAGTTGGGACCTCCATAGACTTAATATTGCGTGGGACCTCGTGGGACCTTTTGGGATTTTGCCCCATGAAGTCCGTGGGACTCCATGGGACTTCGTGGGATTTTGCCCCATCGAGTCCCACGAGGTCCCATGAAGTCCCACGTGGGACTCGATGTGGCAAGATGGGGCAAAATCCCACGGAGTCCCATGGAGTCCCATCGAGAATGAACATGTTCATTCTTTCCATGTGGCATCGTGGGAATTTCGATCATATGACGTGTTGTGTGAAGCCCGACATACACCGATGGGGCACTGTGGCATTTGATGGGACTCCATGGGGCTTGATGGGACTCCATTGGGCAAGATGGGGCAAAGTCATCAAGGTCCCATGGGACTTCGTGGGATTCGATGGGGCAAATTGGGATTCGATGGGGCAAGTGGGATTTTGCCCCATTGGTGGATACCGGGCTTTAACCTCTCTAATGTAGCTGCGAATACTAGTACTCAATGGTGTTTTAGTAAACAGCCGCGTACAACTTTAATTGCAGATTTGGTTGCAAAAGTGAGTGAAACATGGCATTGGAGTATATTCTGGAGATCATTTCCCTTCTTCTCGGTGATTTCCAAACAAATTATGAATGGCTAGAATCAAGTGTACCAAGCTGTGACTCGATACACGACAGAGCTGCAACCTGGATTGGACTACTTCAAACACAGTTTGTTTCAAGTAATTACTCCTGCCTTACAGAGCAATCAAAATCGAGGGCCTACATCGTCATTCCAAACATCGAATACTTAAACTTTTCATGGTTTAGTTGATAAAACGTACGTAGTTGTTCACCTGGAGGGATTTGATAAGGGTGATTTGATATGGTCACAAGGGTGGTATGAATAATCCGAGTGATATTCCCCCATATCATCTCGGATAGCTGTTATACACAGTAACTATATTAATTATAACGAATTGACAAATCACTGGGTTCCTTGTAAATTGCAGTATATTTGAATGTTGTCTCACAGAATAATATGATTTACCGCTCTTTTGCAGGTCTTAATATGACAAGTAATCTTAGCAAATCAGCTTTTACTAAGATATGGGTGCATGCTCAATCGTATGATTGGCAAACTCATTTTCAGCCAATTGTAATGGCTTTCCATTGGCTATTCGATAACAGTGCTAGTATTGGTTCCTTCATCGGCATGATTCTGGCAATATTGATGGGTGGATACATTCTCATAACTTCAATTGCGACAGGTATCAACCACGATATGAATAATATCTAACTGTTCACATGATAACATGGATAATGTCATCACTTCGCACATATACTTAAAAAATTCTAAGATGTAACTGTAAATCCAGACTAATGTTTGTTAAAGGTTTCATTTTGGCTTATATTTGTATTGTAGTCTTAGTTGGGGTGCGTTTTTGAGCTGCCTGCGGCGCAAGTATATTGCATAGTATTAAATTAGTTTTCCTCCTAGGTATCGAGAACAATGAGCCCCTGCGCGCGTTGCAAATTACATGCTTACACGTTTTCAAAAAACGGCTCACCCAAGCGCACTTAAACCGCTAATTAATTACGCTGTGGCAACCCTGTCGGGGTAACTGCTTGTGTCGTCAACCACGTCGTCTCGTTGCTAGTGCTTCACAGGAGTTCCACTGCATTAAACCATGAGATCTTTCAAAAGAACTATGTGAGTGTAGGTGTGCCTGGATGAGTTTTTTTTTGTTGAGAACGTGTAATTTGCACTGCTGAGCTTATTGTTCTTTTTCGTGGTACCCGAGGGAAAACTTATTAGGCCTAAATATTATGCAACTGACTTTCTCCGCGGGCAGTTCAAAAACGCAGCCAAAATATAATCAAAATGTTATATGTGAAATTTTGGATTTTGAAGCACTTTCTGTTCGAATTTATTTAAAACTAAAATATAGAGCTCCTACATATCTTTAATAATCAATAATAATGGTGCAGTAAAATCTAAAACACAATATATACTTCTTTTAAACATACATGAGTTAGACAATCAACATTAATTGATATTGTTTTAGGCCTAAATCGTAATTAATTTAGTCTTTGCAGTGCTGTCAAAATTTGTTTTGCTTGTATGATGATCATATTTGATGATTAAAAACTTTTAACTTTTATTTGAAAAATGGCGGTAAATTAGAAAAATAAAAATCTTTCAACTTTTTTTTATAATTTTTAAGTCAATAAATAGTAAATGAATGATAAAAACATATTTTCAAACTTAAGATATGGCCTTTAAATTATTACTCCATTATTTTTTTATATAAAAACACCATAGAGATGCCAAACAATTAAAATACAATTCAATCGAAAGGCACTTTGATATGATGCAAATTGTGCAAATAATTGTATTTTGAATGAAAAAACTTTATTATAATTTTTCTAGTGATGCTTATTTTGTTGGGTGCTGATTCAAAGAAGGAGGAGACAGACAATCCGAATTCATGTGATCATACACCAGCTGAGCACTCCACGTTGAGTTTGTTCGATCTCGCAAAGGTAACAAACTCTACAAATGCTTAGTCTTTGGACATTCTAAATCTTAAGTTGGCGATTTTATCCACAAAACTAGTAAAAGTAGTGCCCACGGTACTATTTTTTATCATTGCAGACAGCCTACGAACCCGGTCATACGGAGGCACTGATAAAAAAGCTTGAACTTTCCAGTTATGACATCAACTTTGCACTTCCATCAAATGGCTTGTCGTTATTTCTTGTAAGTAGCTTCTACCGCACGTAAGTATGCCTGTACACACAATTTAGTTACACATTATATTGCAATAATATCAAATAAAAAAGTAAAATAAAGGAAATTCATTTTCAATAAGCTATAAGAATGTAAGATGAGAAACTTACCACATGTGTATTGATAATATTCTGACTTTATGAACGGAATATTGATAATGTTTAGCGAAATAATACTTTTCAAGCTTGAGAAAAGACCTGAAATAAAGCCCATTGTTTTAATATTAGACCAACGATCTTCCTTTTAACATTGTGAGTAAAGCCCGACACTTGTGGCTCAATAATTCACCTCAAAATGGAAAGGTGTTCCATTCATAGAAGTTCTTTCATTGAAGGCATGATTGGCAAAACTCATTTCCAGAGGTAAATCACACTGATTGGAGTTAATTACTAGGTATATATATTAGTAACAGTCAACAGAAGAATAAGATGCGTAATAAAGGTAAACATACATGAGGGGAACGTCTGTTTTAAAATCTAAAGATTTCAAGATGCTATTCAAAGCAACAACCTAGCCACAATATATTTGACAGTGTATATAACCACCGTCAATTTGTTTATGACCAGTTGCACTGATGTAATGTTATTACAAAAGTGTTTTATTCATCTCTGTTTAATGTATTATATGTTTAGTGTTCATGCCTTAGTGGTCAAAGACGCCTGATACGCTACCTTTTAAAGTACGGAGCTGACTTGAAGGTGTGTACTAAGGATGGAGACTCTGCGTTCTACCTTGGTACATATGGCGTGTTAAACTCAACAGACAATGACATAGCTGTCCTCAAAGATCTGCTGGCGGCAGGTATTCATGTTTTACATTTTCAAATTATCGTCACAATGTGGTTAGCAAGGCTTACGGACAACTCATCCCCTAGACAACTCATCCCTGGACATCTCATCCCCTAGACAACTCATCCCCTGGACATCTCATCCCCTGGACAAGTCATCCCCTAGACAACTCATCCCCTGGACAACTCATGTCCTAGACAATTCAACTCATCCCCTGGACAACTCATCCTTCATCACATGAAGCTAATTTGTAAAGTGTTTCTTGAAAAAAAATACTTTAGTAAAATACATCTTGGACCATTCAAAATATTATAATTCATTTTATTGACACAAATAAACAGTCAAGCAATGCCATTAAAACTCTCATCTCTTATTCTTGAATTACATGACTCAATATTTCCATGACCAACCAAGTTCTCTTTTGCATAACTGAAACATGAACTTCAGTAATCTTTGGATTAAAGAATATTTGAGCTATATGAACAACAAACATATTATAACATCAAAGGAACTTTTCAATCAATGTTACCAATCAATCATTTCGAAATAAAAAGTAAATATTTACAAAACAAATCACAGATTAATTGGTAGTCTTGCTTAAAAGATCCTGTACTCCCCCCTCCCCTTTATCCTTCTCTCTGTATATTGCTAGGTAAAGAGAGTGAAGGTGACGGGGGGGGGGGTGGATACAGTCTTTGAGCAAGACTAATTAATTGGTTGATTATCTCTTTGACAATATCATAGTTTTTTAACAATATTCCCCTCCAGAAAGTTTGTTTATAACTGGTACACCACTAGATTATGCTGGTTACCGAAACGGATCGTAGCAAAATGTCGGAACCTCAAAGATACGATCGATTTTGATTTTTACCTAATTCCGGTGTTGCAGGCAGTTATCACAAATGTTTGTCGGTTTTAGAAGTTCTGTTTACGTCAAGTAACAAAAGAAAAGCGAGGTATAGAATGTCATGGGAATTCTGCCTACAACTCTTGAAATAAGAAAAAAAGATCATTTGATCATTTGAATATCAAATATGAATAATATAATATTAAATTACTATACTCAAACATGCCAAAGGATTAGTCATCAAGGGAATGAGTTGTCCAGGGGATGAGTTGTCTAGGGGATGAGTGTCCAGGGGATGAGTTGTCTAGGGGATGACTTGTCTAGGGGATGAGTTGTCCAGGGGATGAGTTGTCCAGGGATGAGTCGTCTAGGGGATGAGTTGTCCGGTTACCGTTAGCAATATTATATCCTCTTGGGTACTTATATATCCTAATTTACTTATGCAATTTAGTCCGTTTATATACAGCTTACTATTAAAGAGATCTGGTCTCCTAAAAAAACAATTAGAGTAACCCCCTGATTTTTTCGTGTTATTTGATGTAAAACAAGTTTGTTTATCGACTTACCAATTCTGAAGCTTGAATTAATTTGTTAATAACAGTATCAATTCGATGATTGTTCCTCGCAATGAATTTCCACTTTCATGAATAGAAATTCAAATTAAAATTTAAAAAGCCCGCTCAAATTTGTTCCAGTCTGATTGGCTTTTTCCTTCAGTTTCAACAGATTGTTTTGTCTCAGAGAAGCCATATTTATTACTTCTAGGGGGTTAAAATATAGATAAATCCCCAAAAAAACATTAAATTGTATATTGTTTTCGACTTATTGTGTTCAATTCTGACAGCTGGTTGTTCTGTTGGTTGTCCTGTTGATTTTCCCAATATATTGGTAATATTGTGCTTATGATTTGGTCTCAAGATATATCTAAGGTATATATGATGTTTTATGAGCATTTATATTGGGACATTACTGATTGTCCAGAATATAAATCTGGACGACTGGATCGATCTCTTTAAAACGGGGATAATGCTTATATTTTTGACAGATGTATAAATTGGCACGTCTTTATCTCTCACGATAAAAGACTTACATTTAGTTTATTAATATTCTATCAATTATACAATTTTACTTTAACTACAGGGTGAGCCAAAAAATGTTACCTAAGGGGATGTTAATACAGTCATTTAGAATGGGTTTCAAGTCATATTTTGCACGACCTTGTTCGATGTTCTTTTATTTTAATATACTATAATACTATCATGGGCTTTCAAGAGTCTGAGAGTAGGGTATGTAACTCTGTGTTATAAACATGTGAACTTCAAAATGAGCAGTGTCATGCTTCCCTTTTTGATAATATTTCAAAAGTTTTAGATAAATGTTTATGATTTTAGTATTATTTTGAAGAAAAATCAATTTTGAATATGATTAAAAAATAAAGTATGTTTAATCTCATTTAAAAGTCAACAAAACGAGCCATAAGAATAAGAGGTATCAAAATGTTTATGGTCAGCACTCGACTCATGTGAGCGTGTTTTGTAAAATGCCTACGAAATTGTGGCCATTGGAAGTTACTATAAACACTAGGTTAATTTTGTGGGCTCATCCTACATGTCAGATAACATAATCCATTGTATGGTTAAGTTTACTTTCAGGATGTAATGTGAACCAGAGAAATAACAGAGGATATACAGCTTTACACAGAGCTGCTAGCAAGGGTAACAAAGATGTAGTGAAATTCCTACTTGAAAATGGTATGAATTCTATAAATGTATTACCTAGTAAAACTTATCTAAGACTAGACTAAAATAAGTTAAATAACTAAAAAAATAAAAACAAAAATCTAAGTCAATTGTAAAAATGTAAAAGCATTAGTATGATTTATTTAGCAAAATATCAGTCCAATTTTGAATGGAATGATAACTTGACTTTCCTAACGCAAAGTAAAACTTTTTCAAACATGGACCTGGAGCAATAAGAAAAATAGAGAAAGGAGCATGTTAACGTCCAATCTTCCCCATTGACGTAATGTTCGCGTTGCCGTTTCTTTGCAATCTCCCTTTGTTCATGACTGACTTTCTTGAGGCAACGATACAAATGACATCCTTATTTTCAGGGGCTGATCCTTACATAAAGAGCAGATCTGGTGTATATCCTATTGATAGTGCAACCAACGCAGGTGAACTTCATGAACTGATTTTTGAGAAAGCATAATATTTAGTACTAAACATTCGAACATGGGTTTCATGTTGTCAAATATTACCCTTGTAGCATCATTTATACATTAAATATAACAGACACATGCTCTTGTAAGTTGCAGTATACTGTTTCTAGTAAAATATTTTAAATGACCAATGTTCTCGAGATATACTGTATATAGAATGAAGACTGTTTTTTATTGTTATATCTTGGTTACCGCCATATTTGGCGAGCAATACCTCATTGGTATATTCCGTATTTTACGTATTTTACACTCGAAGAAAGAGCGAGAAACCCCTCCTTGGAGGAGCCCTGTGTTCTTTTGTGTGTACGGGTACACAGACATACAGGTACACACCACAGCCTTTTATACGAGTCGTGAACCACTCAGTCAAACACCCAGAATTACATAACGCACAAACAAACTTGTCTGAAAGCACCAAGTCTGCGAAGTCTTGTACTATAGTATGAAAGTAATCAGTTGTGATACCTCTATGTATACAACCTATGGGTGGGTATTGTTCACCTGGTGTCTTGTTTAGGATGGTAAAACTTCATCCTTGACAAGACACTTGGTCTTGTCAATAATTTGTACTTTCTAATTCAGGTCACCTTGAAGCTGCAGAGCTGTTGGAGATCAGCGTGAAGGACAGTAATGTTTGGGATGATGTTGATCCACATACGCCAGTTAAAGCTTCTCTTGGGCTCATGAGTCCCAAACGCAAGCACCTTGTTGAATCTACATTCCAGGGTTCCAGGATGCGCACAAGGCATGATGTCTTTTCATGTGAAACATAGACGTAAGATACCGTGTAGAAGCAAAGAACATGAAGGATGTGAATAAATCAGAAAACCAGCGCTATGAAGTAATAACCATATTTAAAGTATGAATTGAAGAGTGGTTTGGGGAATTGATGAAATACCCAGGTGAACTAAAACTATCAATACCTAATTGTAACTAAAATACAGACTTGACATCTGAACAAAAAGTTGTCAATTCTTTGAAAAATGTAGATGAACTTAGATGAAAAAAGTCAAATAATTATTTATATCTCTACACTGTTTTTACAACATCGTTAGTATGCCATGTTTATATTGTATTGTTGTATTAACCTATTTTATAATTCATATTAATTGCATATTAAAATATAACAGATAAAATGAAACTACATTCTGTCAATCAAATATTTCTACAATGCTGACATCTTCATCTCAGGACCTCACCAGTCCATATATACAGGCTGGGCCAAAAAGATTTAAAGATGAATGATTCATATGATATATCTTAAACCATGCCATGTATTATATATCAATTTAAAGATTAATCATTACCTACAATATGACACCATCTGATTGAAAAACTTTTGTTTTCTTGTTAAATTAGAGGCTAAAATGAGTGACCGAAAATCAGAAAATGAAAATTCAAAAATGGACACCCGTATTGCAGTCACAGCTGAACTCAATACATCCTCCTAAGCAGGTATCCAGAATCCGTACCTCCTTCTTCCCCCTGCTATAACCAATTTGGAAGCGCCAGATTAAACTGAATCACGTGATCTTATTATGCGCAATGACTTATATATGATTTCTGTCGCAGTGTTGCGACAGCCAATCAGATTGCGAGTTCTTAATCGGGGAAAGGCTAACTGCTTATCGCAGAGGGTGAAAAAGAAAGAATATATTCTGGATCTTGAAGCCCTGTGATCAGAGGATGAACTCAATATGATTGCCCAAATTTTTATAAATGTATTTAAAAGTAATACACAATCAATATTTATTAAAAAAGTATTATTGTCAAATTTTGGATTAAACTTCTATAAGTGTATTTCTTTTGAAGGTGCCAAAGTTCAAATTTCCCTCCATTTTCCAAAATTTTGAAAATCTGCAGTGAATACTTTTTTGACACCCCTGGTGTCATTTTTAGCCTCTCCCTCTTCAATAAAGCAACAGTTTTTCAATCAGATGATCTCATATTGTTAGAAAATTATGTATCTTTAAAATGATATATGATACATGGCATAATACATATATCATATGATATTTATCTTTAAACTTGGATATTGTTTTTGGCCCACCCTGTATTTGTGTGTGCAGCATTTCCTTGAACCTTTATTTATTTGTTGAAAAACAACATCTATTTTAAAATGAATCTAGCCTTTCTATATAGTTGAAGCTAGGAGATGCCCCCTTTAGATGACATTATTGAAGAGATATGTAGGTTCAGCCTAGAGGATTGGGAACATGTGTATTTTGCGTGAATAAACTGGGTCCACCACATTCGATAAACTTGATATTGATTACTTTAGGATTAAGGGGTGAAAAATAAAGCCATTTAACCCACCTTTATGACTAATGACTCGTTATTTATACCATCAAACTAATTATGTCAATTTATTTTGAGATTGGATAATGGAACAGAGGTACGTACAAGTATTTTTATTAGTCCTAGTTACATCGTGCTATAAAAAATTGTGAATTATATGAAATATCGGATTACTCTGATTTACATATCTGTTATGCATTTTCTATGTATTTTGTATATTTCCCTCACATTTCATATTGATTATTTTGATTTTTACCACTTTAATATTTTAGAGAAAGTTCTACAATGTATCTAGTTCTGTACACCTTTGTGGGATGCTTCGCAATATCATATGCTCAATATTCGTGTAAGTATCTCAATGTTATCGGACTTGTATTAGTTTAAGATGATGAAACTGTGAGTCAATGAAAAATTGATGCAGTACACAATTTAGTCATTATGGTTTTTAGCATAATCATTTTTTTTTAATTTGGACATTCTATCAGCAAACATCCATCGCCTATCTATGGGTCGGGTAACTGTTGGTAAATGGAAGGATAAGTGCCACCACAAACACCAACCGTCAGCTATCATATCTGTTTCACAACAGTACAGTGTTTATTTTCCTAATTACAAACTAACTACATAAAATACATACATGAAAACAGATGAAACGAAAAAGTACTAGTCTTATTTCTCTAGCTTTTATGTTAAACTTATTGTAACTAGACTCCAAAGAAAACTGTGTAATTGATGATAGTACTAATCATATTGTAATTCATTACTTCGTCCTCTGATTTCTTTCCCATTGAGAACAACATTAGTACTGCTGTTCACATTAAAGTTGGTTGATTTTATGAAATGCACACAGAAATCAGTGTTGGATTTACTTATTTTACAGCAATATCTAACTGCAATGAAAAGTTGGTGAAATTTGCTAATGACGATCAGCTTTCGGCTTCATCCTCGTGGAATCCTGAACTGTTACACGGACCACATCGTGCCAGGCTTGATACAGAGCGTACCTCCACTCCCGATGGCGATCTGAGAGGCGCATGGGTTGCTGGTCAAGGCCAGACGACAGGTCAATGGATAATGGTAGGGTTAAAATATAAAATGATACTTTGTTTAATTACGGGAAATAAAAAAAAACATTTTCTTGTGTAATATTAAGCTATTAGGAGTTGATTGAATTGATATTATAGTCTTGAATCTGCATTGCTTTCTTAAAAACACTTCAAGAATAATGTTAATGAAAGCAATTAAAAAATGACCGCATATTCGGAATATAAATATAAAGAAAGGTGCTTGAGAGCTAGATTTTTAGAAACTTGATATGTCATAACTGGTCCAAAAAATCTTTAGAACCAAAAGCGTTTGATGCAATTTGCGTGTATATCACTGTTTGATCTATCGAATACACCATCTACCCAACACTATTCAAGAAGTTTCTACGTCAGCGTAACAAGATGGAAGAACTTAATTCCGGGCTTCGTTTTCGGTAAGATATTATTATTTCTCGATTCTACGCTAATTATAAGTCAAGTTGTGGACAATAATTTGGCTCAAAGTTAAGGAGGATAGTCTAGTTTGAGAATGTGCAGGCGGTTCTATGTTTGGTATATTAACAAAGACGCAATTCACATATTTTGTTACGCTTTTGTTATGTTGACGATCTTCATGAATATTGTCACATTGGCAATATTCATAAAGATCGTCAACGTAACCAGATCGAGGGACTAAATATGTTAACTGTGTCTTCGTTAAAGAGAGAATCAGATCTAGCGAGCAGCCTTACAAAAAATTGTTACAATTTTAGAATATTTCGGGCTCATGTCATTCCTTTTCATGTCTATTTTCTAAAAATCCCGAAAGTGCACACTTTATTTCAGGGAAACTAAAGATTTTTACAATGATGTTTTATTTTTTATAAGAATGGTTACCATAATTTCACCAATTTATAACATATCATGAATCTTCTTGGAGATATTGTACTTTAGATTGTGAGGAATGGATTGGTAGGTCAATTGTACATTTTGCTTGTAATTTTGTCACCCCCATAGATCTGATTCTACCTTTAATATACCAAACATAGAAACCGCCTGCATATTGTCAAACTGGACTATCTTCCTTTTCTTTGAGCCAAATTATTGTCCACAACTTGACTTATAATTAGTGTAGAATCGAGAAATAAAAATATCTTACCGAAAACGAAGCCCGGAAGTTCTTCCATCTTGTTACGACGATACTACTACTACTAACTAGATTATTACCGATGATCATTAGTGATGAAGTAATTCATCAATCATGGAAATATTTCATTTTTAGTTTTTTTTGCAAATCATATTTTGTCTAACGGGCTTACAACGAGCTTACACAATTCAATACACTACGTGAACATGGTCATAACGTAATATAATAAACTATTTAAAAACAAAGCATTTTTCTGATTTAGGTCAGTCTGGATTCTACGTATTCCATATCAGGTGTCGAGGTCCAGGGACGGGCAGATTATGGAAATCAGAGAACTGAGAGGTTTTCCATATCGTATAGCACTGATGGAACCAATTTCCAAGAATACCGGGGAAATAATGTTGATAAAGTTGTAAGAAATAGCATTTATTTTTCCCAAGTTAGAATTCTATTAAAAAGCTTAAATTTGCATGATTGGTTTGAGGATTTAAGCTCTGGACACAGTACATTGTGGACTGATCAATCCTTTAACGTTATTCAAACGTTGGACGAGATACGAGATGCGTAGCATCGAGTGCTGAGTTTAAGAAACAACGCCCGTGTGGAATGAATTGGCCACAATGCATTGAGTCTTCGGCTTCAATTCTTTCCACTCATTGCAAAATAGTTTATACAATATTTTCAAAGAAACTTTTTACAAAGGTAAACTTGTCACCTTGATAGCCATTCAATACATACTATTTGACCTGCAAAAGCACTTGCCCTACTATTTCCTATGATACTAGTTATAGAGTTTTACTCTCAACAATGAAAGTTTATTGGTTTCACTAGTTTCACTAGAATCTAAGATGACCTTGGGTGGATTTTTGGTTAATGCACTTATATGGAATAGCATGTTCTCATTGGCTAAAATTGGACACACCTTGCATAGTTATATGTGAATTTAGATTTACTCTCAGTGATTGTGTTCACACATTTTAATACCCACTTGACTATAACGTACTCAAATGCTCGTTATGTTGCAGATATTCGATGGTAACACTGATAGGACGACTAAGGTGTTCCACGCGATGTCAAAGCGTTTCAAAGCTAAGTATGTCCGATTAAACGTGGAGGAATACAACGAACACCCGTCAATTCGTTTCGAAGTATATGGATGTATTCCGGGTAGGTGTACATGTTCATACATGTTGTTTTTTTAGATTTACATTTCAATCATACATGTACATACCTGTTTTTTATCTCGTTACATAGCCTCTATATGTAGAATGTGAGAGCTTTATCGAGAAAGAGTCGAAGGCATGCGAGGCGAATCCTGGAAACCCGGTGTGAAAGAAATGATGGTCCCCGCGGATTATGGTCCCCTTTCTTAACGCCCCTTACTGGCCCTGATTGTGTATAAGATAATGAGGGAAAGAGTTGTATTTAGGTCACCATATAAATCAATGGAGAGTAGGACAATAATTTGAAAGGACCTCCTACCCTTTTACACCTGGTTCGGGAAAGCAGGGTTCACTGTTTTGTTTCCGTTAACAACTGTGCGAAACTAGATTCATAATTCATACGACGGTGATCGGGAGGATTACAGTCAGACCCGGGTGCGCCAATCCCTTATTTAAATGTGTGTTTCGCGGACCAGGGTTTAAGGCCATTCCAATCTAAATAAGTGTTTAATGAGGCCACGAAATATAAAAGTTCGTTCTATTAAAATTTTATACCTGTTATTTTGTGTCCACCAAGACGTAAACATATTAGAAAAAGTTATGTATTATGATTGGTCTTAAATGTGCAAAGCTAGAAGACCTCTTATATTCGTTCGGTCCAGTGGCGGATCTGGGAATCAACAAGGGAGTGGCCCAAATTTCAAGTCAGAGAAAAAAAAGTCTGCGCTTGCGCGGAAAATTTTTTTGGGCCCCTATTACCCAAAAGTGGGCCCTTTTGAAATTTTGAGGCCCATTTTCTTCAAAATTTGGCCTGAAATTAAAAAATAAGGCCTTAAAAGGCCCGGTAGTGACCAAAAAGGCCCACTTTTTGGGGCCTCAAGGCCTTTTTTGGCCCCAAATTTTTTTTGGGCCCAATTTTTTTTTTCTGGGCCCACCAAAGGGGGGGGGCCGGGCCCCCAGCCCCCCCCCCCCCCCCCTAATCCGCCAGTGCGGTCTCTATTTTGACTAAGATAATATATCAGTACAACGGCTACTAAAGCAAGGAAAAATTGACCAGTAGAGATGAGGAACTTGAAATACATTTATTTTTATTCATAAATATGGATAATATTTGATTTAAATACAATTCCGAGCTATTACCATCCTCCAGTGTTGACAATTTCTGTTGTGTCAGTCTTGGTCAAAATCTTACAATATTACAATTATCAACGAGGAACCCTTCTAATAAAAGCAATTAAATCCAGATTTGAAAACTCCCGAAAAAAACACGAACGACTCTAATTATGAACCGTTCACATTTTTGCAAAGGCTGATTTGGATGACGGCAAACCCGGTGTAAAAGGGTAGGTGGTCCTATCAAATTATGGTCCTACTTTCCATTGATTTATACGGTGACCTAAATACAACTCTTTCCCTTATTATCGTATCCATAATGAGGGCTTGTAAGGGCCTTTAAGAAAGGGGACCATAATCCCCAGGGGACCATCATTTCTTTTATACCGGGTTTTGAGGGCGCGACTTATGGCAACGAGTACTTCTGGCTTTATCTCTGTTTCTCGGTCTCCTTGACCATTGGTGGCATGTTGGGGTTTGTTTTTTTGTTGTTGATTGTTCCCTTCGCTTACCGCCTTCTCTTAAAATGTATCTTTCCCTATTTGGTGATGATATTCATATTTATTTTAGTACGACATACGATTACCATACATATACACTAGCCATAGGCTAGTCGATTTTCGTTTTTTCGTTTCCATCACGTGTAACGTTTATTTGTTTTATTTAATGCTTTTGACATTTATTTTTGAAGTTTATTCTCCATTATTTCTACCTGCAGATGTAGATTTTACGGAGGCAGTTGATGTAGCGTTCGTGTTAGATACAACTGCCGTGTCCCAAAGTGATTTTGAGCAACAGAGACAATTCATCAAAAACGTCATTCGAGATGTCAGTATCAACGATGGATCACATCGCATTGCTGTTATCCGCCAGGGTATACGAAAGGGTGATGATTTCTTTCTTTCGTTTGATCTCAATACTCATACAAAAGAGTCTGACTATCTTACAGCTATGGACGCACTAACTTATTCCAGTGACAATCGGGTTCCTACTGATTTGTACAGTGGCTTCCGTAAAGCATCTGATGTTCTTTCATACAATCCATATGGATCTGTCCTTGTTTACATGGCCAATGGATACCCTAAAGAAAATGTTGGGCTAGAGATTGACGAAGCTGCTCGATTAAAGAGTCAAGGCGTTAAGATTGTTTTCTTTAGTTTTGAAGCCAATGATGAAATAAGGCGTGACCTGCGTCCAAGAGCAATAGAATTAGCCAGTCCAAATTATCAAGTGTCTGCCCCTGACTTTTCATTTCTAACGGCGGACGATTTCAGACAACAATTGGTATCCAATCTGGCTAGACAAGGTACGTATTTTTATTGCACCTATTAATACTGTACATTTGTATATCCTTTTCTTATTTCACCTCATCTCATTTAGCATGTGTTACATACAGATATCATTTTCAGATGCATGTGTAGAAGTTGACTGTGGTCTCGGTTCTTGTGTTAATTACTTCGATGAATACAGGTGCGATTGTTCCACATCCAGCAGAGGTAGTTATGGTATCGCCTGTGAACATGTGACTGGTATACTATGACATATGCATTTATTTCTATATTCATTTAAAACAGATTTTTATGATCAAACCTAAACATGATAACGGTTTCTATTTGTCACTTGCGTGAATGGTCTGTAGTACACATGTACATCAAAACATTAAGCTATACTATTATATAGACCACGTGTTGCCAAGGATGTTTACTAGTAATATATTATTTGATTCAGATGATGTGACAAGAAGCAGCGGTAATATTGCATTTCTCCTCGACTGTTCCTCCAGCATAGGTATAAACAACTTTGGACGCGTCAAAAAGCTTATAGATGGAATCGTTGGTGATGTAGCTGTGTGGTTTGAAAACGAAAACTTGGAGCGCTACAGCTTCGCATTAGTATCGTTCAATTCTTTTGCTAGAGTTGAATTTAGCTTCAACGATTTTGGTTACAACACGTCGTTAATAAGAAAAGGTATAACGCATTTCCTTTGTTTTGTAAAGTATCATGTATGACGACGACGGGATTATACACAATACGAGAATTACACATCAGATACAAATAGCATATATCAATTTACAAAAATGAAAGAAATGCACAAAACAAGCAGACTAGTAATGTGTCCTATTCAAGCTAATTGTGATGTGTAGATTCGATTATCTATTTTAATGTCCTTCTTCCATCTCCTCTTTTAGCAATTATGCGAGTTGGGTACCGAGGAGGTTCAACTAATGTATATCAAGCGCTGAATCTTACAAGGACACAAGTATTCACAAACTCTGGATCTAGGGCTAAGCCAAATATAGCTATTTTGTTAACTGATGGAAATGTTAAGATAAGGTCTTTGGCAGAAACAAGGTATATGGTCAAATCGCAAACTAACATGAAATCTTTACACATACTGAAGCATTCTATTTACAAGCGCTATTTTCAAAATGTCAAGCAGGGTTGTCACTTGCAGTGGAAAGTCGCAGAAACCCCCTGACACGGAGTCGTAGAATTTGACTAAAATGTTCAGCGAATTCTTGAAATAAACAAAGTCTTTTTCAATTGGAATTTCACCCCTGAATCTGGGAATGTGCAGGAATTTAGGTGTGAATTTTTAATGTCGTGTCAACTGTCAACCCTGTCATGATCAACATCATGCACAAACTTGAATAATTGAAATGTATCTTCATTTTATTTGAATTAATCTTATTGTGTTCGCTTCATCGAATGCATGGTATTATCTCTGATTTATCAATAGGAACGTAGCAGAACGTCTTAGAGTAGAACGCGATGTCTTCATATCAGCTGTGGGAATGGGTGAAGAAGGGATCAGCTTTGATACCTTGCGTCAACTTGTCAGCTACCCAGTCAGGGATAACGTCAAACTTGACATCAATTTTGGTTACCTGCTTCCGGTAAAAGATTGGCTATTACAAATCATCATAGATGGTGAGCCCAGATCTTCTTTCTGTTCTCTCTGTTGCCCAGTTCACAAGAAGTTTGAATTAAAATTTTATAAAACAATAAATGAATGTTGACCTACGTGTTCTTCTGCAGTGAATCTATAAAATACAAGTTCCTGATTTTTGAAGTTAAGCCAACTCTTATTAAGTTGTACAATTTTCAAGCGTGTTTCTTTTGTTCCCAGCTATTGTAATCATGCATACATCTTTTCATCCTCGTATTTTAGTGGAATCCTCATGTACATCTTCTAATACATGCGCTGGTGAATGCGTAGAAGAAATAAGAGGAAGCTCTTGCAGGTGTCTGTCCCCTGATCAATCAAATAAAAGCGGAAAGGATTGCGACAAGCGTAAGAAAAACTATTTTGTTCAAAGACCGTTCAACTAAGTTTTTGTTGATGTTATTAGTTTTTGTTCAAAATATACTATTAATTGTAATTAAATTGTAGATTAATTGTAATTTAAAACTTTTTTCTAAAAATGTAAAATCTTCTATTAGTGTATCCTGGCAATAACTGTCTATTCTTTTTTGCTTCCAATCCAAGTCATTTAGGAAAAAGAATTAAATGTATACTCCAAAGCAGATATAATTGAAATAAGACATTTAAATAACTTGATAACCTAGACAATATCTCAATTAATCTAAAACGTCAAATAGACTTAGCCACTAGTTTCTGTATATTTCAGGATGCAATGCAGTTGATTTGGCTTTCGCATTTGACGGCTCCAATGAAATACGTTATGAGAAGGATTTCTTGCTGCAACTAGAGTTTGCCACAGAATTGATGCAGGAGTTTCCATTTTATGAGGGTTCCAGAGAGGGAAGATCTAGAGTAGCAGTTGCCAGATATGACAACGATGTAACTGTAAGAATCCCATAAGTCTGCTCTCAAATTATATAAAAAATCAAACCACTTATTAAGTTTTGATAACTTTATGTCAGATGTTGAAATATTACTTACATGCATAAATGCTACCCCTTGAACTTCATATTTTTAAATATTGAATTATATAGGCTAAATAAGGTGTTTGCATGCCAAATGGGCGTAACCAAACATGATACAAGTAATTAAAACAGAAACTACATTATTAATGCTCACATTTTTCAACTTTCAGTTTAAATGGGATCTAACTGAGTACACTGGTAAATCTACGATCTTGAACGTCATGCAGACCATTCCCTGGCAAAAACAGTCCACGAATATGGTAGCGGCTCTTGAAGCTCTCGTCAATTTCTATGGTGGAGGAAAAGATCAAAGCGACGCTGACAATGTAGTGATTTTTTTAACAGATGGGCATTCAAAGATAGGCACAGTAAGTTCCTTTTGGACGGTTACTCTTACTTTACTACTAGTCTCTGTAGATTTGTTCATATGCAGTTGGCACTTTGCCTTCTGTGCCTGGTACTGTACATGAACATGTCTGAGTCTGGTGCATTGGGTGTAATTAGCTGAAGATGAAGCTCTCTTGAATAAAGAAGCAAAATCAAATTTTTGGAAAGGTATGGTCTATATGGACACATGTTTGCTTTGGTCTAATATCCATTAAAAATTAAATCCCAAAATTTCAGTTTAACTTTTTTTCTCAGATGGGCCTATAATTTTATTACTCTTGACGTTTCGTCCTCAAGACATCGAGAATTGATTCTAATACCAACTACTAGAACTGCTTTTAATTTTGATTAATGAAAAGTAATATATAAACTACAATAACGTGTCAATATTTGATAAATTGATACCATTTGGACACTCTGAACCACTTTAATATCCCATTGTCTTACGTTACTAAACATTAGTTAAAGCAGGAAGTATATCGAGAGAAAAGATAATCGGGAGATAATCAGAGTCTTTATTTTATCATCTTCATTTGAAATGACTATTAAACCGATTATAATTATGCACAATGTACATACTTTTCTAGTATTTTTTTATTTACAGGAGCTCCAGCTCTTGAACAGGGCAACCCAACTAAAGTCAGAGGCAACGATTTACGTCATTGGTGTAGGACCAGAAGCAGAAGATGGTCTTGACGGTGTAAAAACCAATGAACTAAACATTATCGCTACTGATTCTTCGTACGTTTTCAGGATTGACGATTGGAGTGATCTTCCATCGACCATTGTCGACATTCGCAATAAACAGTGCAATATTTAATAGAAATGAGTGACATTTAAGGACATTAGTTATTATTGTTGAGTATAGCCAAAAATATGAAACATACTGTTTTTGAGTTTGAGCCTTCCTTAAAGCATAGCATACTGTATCGTAATCATCAATGAGTTTTTAATAATTGAATAAATATTCGCGTGATCTAATATATTTGCAGTAATATCTTATCGTTGAACACTAAAACCAAAATACGACTTCGTTCGTCGCAGAACTAAAATCGAAAGTCGCCTTGCAAATACATGTACTGATGTAGGGTTACAAAAGATAATGCTGAGAAGGCAGAGTTTATGCACCCATCTGTCGCCTCAAAAATGTCGCCGAGGAGCAAGTTGAGTATCTTAGTTTGTCAATAAATATAAGAATGATTAAATCAATAAACGAACCATTCAAGATTTATTTCTGGACGCAGCCAATTCGGTATTTAGAATTTGCCTTTTTGGGGAAAGTCCAAGTTGTCAGAAAATTCAAAGGGATTTATTTATTCCACAGTCGTTAGTGAACATTATGAAAAAATAACGAGTCATGATATGAGTACATCTCTTGAATAATGTGATTTTTTATTTACAGTATTCAAAAACATAGACAATAATGTTTCAATACAAAAATAAATGCTACATATAGGCTACAAGTTTATATAATTATAATAATATACGTCGATTTAACATCACAACATTGAATTAAATAGCCTGACTCCTAGGACTTGTACCAATTTATAAATTTTTAAAATTGTATTTGGCAAATTATAATACTGTATACATCTATATGTATACGAATTACATGCGTATTTCGTATAATTCGCTTCTTAATTCTTTGATACATTTCTGATTGATTTTAATCACTCTTTGGGTTGTTGCGTGTTTTAAGCTACTACACGTATAGGCTAGTATATGTGCAAAATGACTTGTGTGCTCTTTCATGTCTTTAATAATGTTGTAGCATGTATTGAGCTTTGGAGTTGACTGGGCCTAATGTGTTCCTGAATAAGGAATTTCCTGAATAACCTATCACATCAATATATCGCAGCATTTATGGAACACTGGGGTAATAGTTTCTCCATAAACAGAGTAACGCAGCTTATTGCCTACATTCAATAGCGGAATATATTATTTGAACGGAACCTATACGTTGAACAGACTTGGGATAGTATTTTAAAATTCAACAAGGCATTAACATGACAAAATGTCACCACCTAAAACAATTTGGTCAATTTAAAGCAAGTTGGAAAATACCTTTTGACCTTAAGGATGTTCCCTGGACGAAGTTGAAAACGATGAACACCAACCCCTAATTTTTCTTTTCAAAATGTGAAGTACATAGCATAACTAAGTGTTTCTGTGAGTTTAAGAAAAAGTTAAATATTCAAAAGTGTGTTTTGGGGTGAAAACCTGATTTTTAACATGGGTTTCAATGAGAAAGTGCCACGCCCACTTTTGTCAAATATTGACACTTTAGAGGCCTCTTGCTCAGAAAAAAGCACACTAACATATGGTTTTTAAAGTTTTAATATTCTTTGTTGCCCGTGAGAATCCCAGAAAACCATTTTTGAGAAAAAGTTAAATACTATTGAATATTTTCCTATCTGACCAGGGAACATCCTTAAGAAGATTTGATTTGAACTTCTTAGAACATGTAGATGATTTTGAAAAAAAAATTCGTCAATTTGAAGCAAGTTGAAAAAATACCTCTTTGACTTTTTTTGAAATTGAGAAGGTCATTGTAAAGTCAGATTTGAACTTCTGAGAACATGTAGATGATTTTAAAAAAAAAATTAAGTAAATTTGAAGCAAGTTGAAAAAAGACCTTTTTGACCTTGAAAAGGTCATTGAAGGTCAAATGTCAAATCTAAAGTCAGATTTGAACTTCTGAGAACATGTAGATGATTTTGAAAAAACAATTGTCAATTTGAAGCAAGTTGAAAAAAGACCTTTTTGACCTTGAGAAGGTCATTGAAGGTCAAAGGTCAAATCTAAAGTCAGATTTGAACTTCTGAGAACTTGTAAAGTCAAATTTGAACTTCTGAAAAGATGTAGATGATTTTGAAAAAAAAATTTGGTCAATTTGAAGCAAGTTGAAAACAGACCTTTTTGACCTTTTTTGACCTTGAGAAGGTCATTGAAGGTCAAATGTCAAATCTAAAGTCATATTTGAATTTCTGAGAACATGTAGATGATTTTGAAAAAAAAATTAGTCAATTTGAAGCAAGATGAAAAAATACCTTTTTGACCTTTTTTGACATTGAGAAGGTCATTGAAGGTCAAATGTCAAATCTAAAGTCAGATTTGAATTTCTGAGAACATGTAGATGATTTTGAAAAAAAAATTTAGTCAATTTGAAGCAAGTTGAAAAAAGACCTTTTTGACCTTTTTTGACTTTGAGAAGGTCATTGAAGGTCAAATATCAAATCTTAAGTCAAATCTAAAGTCAGATTTGAATTCCTGAAAACACGTAGATGATTTTGAAAATTTTTTTTAGTCAATTTGAAGCAAGTTGAAAACAGACCTTTTTGACCTTTTTTTGACCTTGAGAAGGTCATTGAAGGTCAAATGTCAAATCTTAAGTCAAATCTTAAGTCAGATTTGAATTTCTGAGAACACGTAGATGATTTTGAAAAAAAAATTTAGTCAATTTGAAGCAAGTTGAAAACAGACCTTTTTGACCTTGAGAAGGTCATTGAAGGTCAAATGTCAAATCTAAAGTCAGATTTGAACTTCTGAGAACATGTAGATGATTTAGAAAAAAATTGAAGTCAGTCTTAACAGTATTTGTTAAGTTATAGGAAGTTGTAAGAAATTGTTACAGACGCCGGACGCCAACCTCCAACCGCCAGACGCCAACCGCCGTCGCAAAAAACGGAGACCATAACAATATGTCACCACTTTTGGTGGTGACATAAATATCAAATGTTCCATTTGCAGAAATTCCAATGATATAGTATTCTTTTATAATTACATTGAATCCAACCTTATCCATGCCATAGTATATTCTAAATAAACAGTGTAAACTGAATATCAAACCTTGGATATCAAATAAATACTTAATCAGTGAAACAGTTAGTTTAAAGCCCATGAGGTGGAGATTAGCCTCCATCACACTGGTCTTAATAATAATCATATCTATTGAAAAATGCGTTATTATTATTTTTGTATGGACTGTTTCTATCTTCATGTGTGTTAGTTGGATGCACATTTGTTGCTCTGTCATCGAAGTATCTTTTTGGAGGTACTGGTGGGCTATGAGTGTTCACAACTGGTCTATCAATTTTGAACTGGAACAAAAAAACTTTGCTAAGTCACAAATTAATAATTATATTTGTTGAAAATAATTACATACTTTTCTTCAATCATTTAAAACTAGAAACACTTAAATATTGAATTACAAATATCTGATATATTCACAAAGTCATTTTGCTCCAAATACAAAGTATGTAGATGCTACACAAGGGTAAAATATTTGGATACCAATCGACATCCATTTTAAAATGACGAAAATGAGAATGTCCTCAGACGGAAGTTCAACCACTTTGTTATAAAAACGTAATGTCTTTATCAGTTTATAACCAGACGGGGACCAGTGATTATCAGATTATGTCTTTTGTATTTTAAAATACTTTTTATCGGCCTTCAATTAGCACACGAATTTAATAAGCCAGATTTAAATTTATTCTAATAAATATTATGGGCATATTTTGGAGAAATTGTAAACAAGATATGTACTCACATCCATTTGTGTATCTAATCCCATATACCACGGGGTGTCGTCATTTGATGCAACAACATTTAAGGGCTCTAAAAGCAGAAATCTAGGTATATTGGGTCATCTTCAAATAACATCACAGCGGTGATTCACATGCGTGAACTTAACCATCCAAAATAGAGTGTTTAGCTTGGAATAAATATTATTATTACCACCTTGCCGGGCCAGTTCTAGGGGTTTTAGAGCTAGTTTAGAAGGCGTTCATTTTACTATATCGACCTGAGAAATGTGTGACGTCATAGTGGTGGTCCATATGGACCGGTCTAGAATATATTCTGGACCGGCAATTTTTCCCCGGGAAATTAGATATCGTTCAGTGCGTAAGATTTTCTTGCTATTTCAGCCCTGGTCGTTAACGGTGGTAATAATACTAATAACGCCATTTCTGCGAGCAATATAGTGAAATTTTGGACCTTGGGCCCTCGGTCCAATATTTCACTATATTGCCCTTAGAAATGACATTATTGTCCTAATAATTGTTAAAATGTGCCCTGTATTGAGATTATATTGAACGTTATAGCCTCATCAAATTCGATCAAGACATTCTCTCAGCAGCAAGCAAGTAAAAACGCAGTTGCATGGTTTTATTATCTAAAACATAATTTAAAGTATTCTGACGTTAAAGGCTCAACTAACTCACCGTCAACTCTCATCCATCTGTGTATTCTGTTGGTGTCTCCGCTCTTTGGAGAGGGTCCTCTAATTTTATCAACTGGTGCACCTGTAAAATCTTTGTAGGGCTCTTTCGTTAGACTGCGATTATAAACACCATAACCAAATGATTTCCAATCACGATCTGAAACACTGTCTCTCTCTCTCTGAGTTTCTTTATTCCTAAAAAAGTGCATTTCAAAAGGTGCATTTTATATCAAATTCACGAAGGGACAATTTGGGAAGTAGTTGTTACAAGTATATTAGTAAAGGCGTCTTAATCAATCAATGGTTTTGGGCCATTGTGAAGATGGCAGCAGCAGTAGAATCCCAGCATGCCATCTTTATTTGAAATTGGTCTTAACATCACATTAATGTACTTAATTTAGTTTCTGTAAATTGTTTTACCTTCGTCGTTTTCTACAGATGCATACTGTAAGGATTATGACCAAGAGAAGGAGAATTCCACCAACAGTTCCCAGCACTACAGCGAGTACTGATTGGAGATTCGAGTCTTCACAATATGTGCCCGTGTACATAAACGTACAACTGAAAATATAAGATAATACGATGTGCATAGTCAAAGGTATGGTGCTATGCCTGTGCGCTATCTACAGATTCTCTACAAAGAAAATACACGAAAAGCAATGTCCTTCCTTCATACAGACATACACCGTTTGTTGAAGGGTAACAAGTAAATAACGTTTTTATACAGGGTGTCCCAAAAGTATGCCCCCCCCCCAGGCAGACATATACCAATGTCTCCATAGTATGTGTCATATATCATTTTAAAATTACCCAAAGTTACATTGATTTGCCATGGTTCAATTCAAAAATGGGAAAAAGTTACAGGCATTTAAAAATCTAGTGTTTGGCCAAAATTAAAGTCAGTTTTACACCAGAGTAATAGTTGGTGTGTCTCCCTAGGCCATGTTAAACAGCAGCAATGCTTTCAATATATAATACATACTGTATATACTAGTATATGGCGTTGTTGTCATTAAGGTATTTTTCCTAAAATTAGATTGAACTAGCTTACCTGCATCGTGGTGAACTATTATCTTCTATACATACTCCACCATTCCTGCATAAACTTTCACTTTCATAGACGGAACACACAGAACTGATGACAACTGGAGGTGGGAGAAGAATAGTTAGTTATGGTTTATATATAATGCCCTGGAATTGATTAGGATTAAACAAATCTGCCTGAAATACTCTTATATTGAATAAACATCTACACTAGGCCTATATAGTCAAAACTCAAGGCTAATACAATATGAATTGCTAGTTTACTAAAATTACCTGGTTTTCCATTTTGCACTACAATTGGTTCTCCTTTTACAACATACACACCCCCATTAGGAGCCGTAAGGTTACCTCCTCCCTGTTCGATGGAAGATATGAGCTCCAAAGCAACGTTTGATTTACTTTCAGAATCCAGGGGAGAGGCATACGTGAGATCGTGCTTTACACCTACACTCCCATTACTGCCAATGAAAAATGCAATATACTGTAATGCATCGGTCCTATCTGAGAACTTAATTAAAACAACTGTCCTTAATTTCAACTATTGATGGATATTCTCAGGGAATACGGTCAATGGTTTCGATTAATTATATTCAAGTCACCTATTTTGATGCATATAAGATTATTGGGCACACTTTTTATGATAAAAAATAAACATCGGCCTAACTTACTAGAATTCTGTGATGACCACATTGTTGAGTTCGACACGTCTCACTCGGCTGTAGATTCGGAAGAACTAAAATAGAAAATACATATGCTAAGAATCAACTGGTGTTAGAATTTGTACATGTCTTCATATCCATTTTACTGTTGGTATTGACTTCAAATAATACTACTAGGCCTGTATATAACTCTTTGTAATAACAATATGCTGTTTTGCTTACCATGGCTGTTAAAGTGTCATTTAGAGCAATTGTTTCAGTATTGTTGGGGTCATCATACACAGATTTAAATGTCATATCAAACTGTATATCTACTGTGATAGTATTTGCTGAAATAATGAAGAAGTAACTATATAGGTCATTTCTATATCAATACGCCAAGTTATGTTTTTGTCCCGTCCATTAGGGCTATTCATGTTGTTGGAGGTTGAATACATTTTTTTTAGTTTTTACTATCACATACTGAAATATTCCACCTACATGTACTTTCTAAAGAAGAAACTTCATTCGGAGATTTTTATACGTTTTTGGTTGTTGATGATTTCTATTCAATTTCAAGTAGGCTATTTTTGAATTGAAGCATTGACTTTATGTTTAGATGAGAAAGGTCTAGGAAGGAAAAAATTAATAAAATCATTGCATTATGTAGTATCGGTTAAAACTATCAAAGTATTGTTCATAATTACCATCATCAGTTCCGCTAGGTGTGGTTTTAACACCATCAGTACTACTTATTAATGTCGTATTATTCATAGAGGTCTGCGTGGAAGCCTCAGTAGCGTCAACTGTTGAGTTTTGCGTGGATTCTTGGTCTGTCGTAGGAGTTGATGCAGATGACCCGTCCGTTACTGTTGCTGTAGCATTTTGAGCAGTCTTTTGAGCAGTTGTAACATCTGAACTTGCAGATGTTACTGTCGTAGCACTTGTTGACGCTGTAGCATTTGTAGCAGTAGAGGTCTGCGTTGAAGCCTCAGTAGCGTCAACTGTTGGGTTTTGCGTGGATTCTTGGTCTGTCATAGGAGTTGATGTAGATGACCCGTCCGTTACTGTTGCTGTAGCATTTTGAGCAGTCTTTTGAGCAGTTGTAACATCTGAACTTGCAGATGTTACTGTCGTAGCACTTGTTGACGCTGTAGCATTTGTAGCAGTCGTTTGAGCAGTTGTAACATCTGAACTTGCAGATGTAGTAACACTAGTTGCATTTGCTGAAGATCTTGATGTAGCTCCAGACGTTACATTTGCAGTAGACATCATATTAGTAGTTGGTTCATTGGTTGTTACTGTGATTGTAGTAGTTTCCAGGCATGTTTCATTGATCTGCATAGGAACGTACAAGATATTAAACTATCGTTGTTTCATCACAATTAAGGTTTGAAAAAATGATCAAATCTTATTTTAATTTGACCATCAAAAGACAAGTGAAACATAAAGTATTAGTGAAAAGGTAGGCTAGTTCAAAGTTTACGTTCATACCTGGTGACATGGAATTGAAGAAGAACCTGTTAAAAACTGTAAAATTAAATTAGTACTGTCAAAAAGTATTTTTGTCATGACTGTTGAAACGATTATCCAAATGTTTTCTTCTCGATCAAATTTCAAATAGATAAAAGACTAGTACAATACCTTTGCATAGCCCGTTTCACAAGAGCATATATAAGAGCCTGGTGTATCGGTACACACAGCATTGTTTCCACATGTGCCGTTGCTGCATTCATTGATGTTTTCGCACTCTGTACCATTGCCATCATATCCAGACTTGCATGTGCAGTCAAAAGATCCTTGTGCGTTTGTGCAATCAGCATTTGGATCACAAGGTTGCAATGAGACACACTCGTTTATATCTATAGCAGTGGAAAAATATTTACCAATTACTAATACTGTAATAATGAAATAATGTGCAGAATAAATACCATAGTTTCCTTTAGTACGGTACACAGTTTAGAGTACAGTGTCAAAGGGAAAGGACCCGGTCATAAGGAAAAAGAACTATGCTAAATTACAATCTTTGCCTACAACACACTTTTATTCTACCGAGGTCTTTAAAATACATGTTGAGGAATTTTATTGATAACCAAAACTCATAACATCAAATATACTAGTAGCTGTAGAGAATTCAGTCTCAAATGATGTGGGACAGACAAATCCCTCCCTCGAAGTCCATAAGTGTATAAGAGTGAACATGCATCCGCTAATCCGACGCCATAATTCACAAAATACAAACTGTTAAAAGGCTGACCATCTTGTTACAAAGGTACCGAGTATTTGCATTATGATACCTTCCGGTGAGATAAGGCGCAACTCTGTTTTACTCATTTGTTTTAATTCCCCAGCATGGGCTATCCCTCATTTACAAAATTAAACTTATCTCGCTACTCGTATACAATAGATACAACCCATCTGTCTAAATAACATAGCTGTATCGAATTTAGATTTGTCTTTCATCATACTTTCTAAAGCGTACATTCATAAGAGAATAAAAAAGAGGACCACAATCTGGCCCTATTGGTATTGGTTTGAAATCACCAGAAATCATGTCACGAATCATTCGTCAATTTAGAATACTAATATACATGATATAGTAGTGCATATAGCATGCAATAGCCTATCAACTTTGTGTTATAAATGTATTCTGTTATTGATCACTGAGTCCATGTATATGTTTTTTGTTCCACTTTATGTTTTTTTGTTCTACTCACCTACACATTTTACTATATCACCCTCCTGTTGAAATCCTGCATTGCAAAGACACGCATACGACCCATTATTGTTTATACATTGAGCATTATCACCACATATTGTAATGTTAGCACATTCATCTATGTCTTCCTCGCAGTTCTCTCCTCCCCAACCTGGTACACAGTCAGTGCATCCTATGCTGGCATTGCATTGTCTGGCTCGACTACCACACTCACAAAGATTTGCACAATCGATGCCCCAGTGTGTGGAGTCACAGCCTGAAATAGAAAGTATTAACATGTTTAAGCAGTCCATAAAACCAATGCTGGTAGTGTATTCTCTAGCAGTCCATGTCCCAATGGGTGGAATTTAACAAATAGGCCTAGTGTATAATTTTTTTCAGTGTTTAATATACTTGTGAAAAGGTATTTTTCTAATTCTAAACTATACTTATCAAACTGTCAAATGCATTGTAAAGTATATTAATAATCTATAGGCCTAATCTTTAGTGTAAAACAATAACTTTGTTGTGGAGGAATTTTATTTTAAGATTTATAATTAGACGTAAGCATACGAGTATGTAGCAGAAATTACCTTGACATGACTTCTGATCATTGCCCAGCTGAAACCCTGCACCACAACTGCACTGGAAGCTACCATCCATATCTGTGCACACTCCAGAACAGCCATCTATACCCAGCTCACACTCATTTATATCTGTAGAAATGAATGACTTTATTTGCGTATCAATTCAAGAACACACTGTTGGTAACAGGGGAACATTTGGTACCCCTAATTGTATTTCATGATTCTTTGTCTACGTACAAACCACCAGATTCTAACTTTTATATGATAAAGGTCTTGATTTGTTGGTTTTGAGAAGCGTGTTTCTCATCCTGTAGGCTATATCTTTAGAATCATAATTACGATAATAAGAAAACTGGCTCATTTCAAATCGTTTGTAGTTGGAAAATGCTTTTTTGATTTTTGTGAACCTGATTTATCAAAATAACTCAAATATAGTGGTTGGCCTACTTGTACAATTTTCAGCATCAGTGAGGTTGTATCCATTCTTACAGAAGCAAACTGGTGGACTTGACGTATTCCTACATCCATATGCACAGGTTAATCCTACATCATGACAAGGTCCAAGCGAAGCCGCATCTACAAAAACATTTTTGAAATATATTTATTGGTTTAATGTTATTTACAAGTCATTCTTAATTTTCTTATTCGTTAGATTATTTTATGATACCTTCAATCTGCTACTATGTAATCCATTACAAGACGTGGATTTAACCTGTTTTTCTATACATTGACTACCCCATCGGAGGGGGATATATGATGGCCAAAAGATTCATATATATGAGCAAATAATCAACTAATGTCATACCTCTTTGACAGGATTTTTCATCTGCATTAAGTGAAAATCCTTCTTCGCAGGCACACGTGAAGTTACCCTCAGTATTGCTACATATTTGTTCACATCCACTAGTACCTTCACTACACTCATTGATATCTGTATATAAAATACAACATACATGTAAGTAGATCTGTTTTATATCATACTTGCAATGAAGTTTAGATTTCGCTCATTCTTTAAGTTCTTTTTCAAATAATTTATGAGTTATGTGTCGTTATCACTGCCATAATATGTTGGATTGTTTGCCAATTACAGCGATTTTTTCTTCATTACAATTACACAGTTTTCCTCTATAAAATAGACGTATAACTTTTTTACCTTGACAGTGCGTGGTGTTGATAGATGTAAACCTAGGTAGACATTCACAGGAATAACCTCCCTTCTTGTTGATGCATTCTTGTTGACAGTCATTAAGAGTAGCATTGACACATTCATCAATATCTGCAAGTATAGCGAAAACCAATGTCATATATTCCCGTAATTTATTACATTTACATGTATTGAATATATTACGACATTCCACATTCCTCTTTCATCCGTTTAGGTCTTCTTATTTATCTATTAAACGTCATATGTTAAAATAATAATAATTTACGAACCTGTTGACCTGTTATTGCAATTCCATTTTATTCATCGATCCTTTCTTTAATTGAAGTGATACAGAATACAATTATTTTCGAACAATGGAAGTATACAGTAGGCTACTGGTTTTGTTTTTTCCAACTTGTATTTTATCTTTTGTTTGAGATCTCATGATATACTTACCTAAACAGTTGTTGTCCACATTGATAGTGCCGCCAGGACACTGTGAGCAATTAAAAGAATTTCCAGTTCTCTGCTGTTCTGAAGGTGTAACATCTGTACAGTTAGAACCCTCACCACAGGGTCCACCTTCACAACCATCTATGTCAACCTCACAATTGTCTCCTGTAATGAGAGTTTCTTAATTCTTTAAATAGATGAATACAGGGTGAGCCAAAAGGTAAGCCAAAAATGTTAATAACCGAAATTTTATATGTTAATATTAAGCATATTATACATTCGTATGACAATTTGGCTAATGAGCGCCCATTTTGAAAAATGGTGGCCATTTCTGTATGTGATTTTTCACGTTGTTGTTACAAATAGAAAAGACGGAGAGCGATTTTGTTAAAATTTAATATGCTAGTACTGAGAAGCATATTGCACTTTTGAATAACACTTTGACTAGTAAGCCGCTATTTTGAAAAATGGTGGCTGTTTTATTTGTGTTATTTTACGTTTTTGCTATAACTGAGTTGAACGATTTTGTTGGAATCTTATATGTGAATACTTAAAAGATTGTATTACACTGTCTCATGACAATTTGGCTAATATGCGGCCAGTTCAAAAATGGTTTCGATGGCATTTGCTACGCCGTTGTGTTTCTGATCTAGTTGACATTTGATTGGGTTTCTGAGTGTTTGCTCGTCGATTCTTGTCAATCCCTTTAATTCAACATTGCAATAGTTGTGAACATTTTCAAAAGTATCCATATCCACTTACCTTCCCAGCCAGTATTACAATCACACATCGCTTCATAGAAGTACCCAGTAGTATCAGTTTGTTCTTCTGACTCTGTTCCGAAATTGCACAGTCCATTCCCATTCGTACAATTGGAGCATATCCAAATCACAAGTCTAGTCTCTGGAGATCTGGCTCCCAAATCATCTTCAGCCACAAAACTATAATTTAGAACAATAATACCATTTCATGTTGTATTGAACCAGCAAAGTTTTTGAGACCAGTTCGTAGTCCATTCTTCTAAATATATCGAGCAAGTGCCAATGATAGTAAAATACATCAAAAAGAAAGAAACAAAACATAGTTCCATAGACAAAACTATTCTTATATACCCATACATATAAATCTAGATCAAGTATGACATCTTGTTTGTATTATTACTTCATACTTACGATACGTTGAATGGTGCAATACTTGATGGCGTAAAGTTGAAAACACCACTTTGATTATCAAATTGTGCTCCAATGGGCAACGAAGATGTGAGGAGAATAAACACAGAATTACTGTCATTATCAAATGCTGACACCTCAAATGTGGTTTCAAAACCGACAGTAAAGTTCTGAAGTGCTTCAACACTCAGTCTTGGAGCAAAATTCTCTGAAAGATTATAAAAGCATATCAACAACAAAATGAATAATGAAGCTTCCTAGATTTTTGTGTTTCAAGTTTGAAATATATCCATCCACTCTGTGTATGTTAGATCGTTGTTTAAGATATTGAGGGTTGTGTGCTATTGATCATTTGTACAAATTCGTTTTTGTTATGTTTTATGTTTTTTTAAATCTTCATACAGTCATAGGCACCTCTAGAGTTATATATAGGTCAATAATAACTTCGTATTTACCTGACACCTTTGCATCGGCCGTATTTACCAGGTCTGTTGATAACGTGGCATTCGCTACACTCTCGTCCCCTGTTGCAAGGTAGTCAAATACACACGCTATTTCATCTTTGCATTTAGTGTTTGCTTCATTCCGCTCTTCCTCAGTGAAGTTTGATAAGAAGAGAGGCTCGAAGGAAGCATCTGAGAAGTTCCCGGTTGTCTCACCATCTCTGTACCAAAAGATCGATTCGATCTGTGTTATCTTCCCTGCAAATGTATATTCACATTCATAAATATATTTAGAAGTTTGTTTCCCCGTATTACTTTGTTTTTAACTATGCTCTTTTTAACTGCTTAATACTATTTGTTTAGAAAATATCCTTACATAGCTCCCCAAAGTCACGATAGACGTCTGTATCAATACTGTTCTCTGGAAGTACTTCACCATTTGGTTTTGTATAATCATCTGACGTATTCCCATTGAGTGTCCCCATGAGACCTGCTGTTGTAATTGAAGAATTCACTAACACTGGCGCTGTTATTGTGATGCTTAAACTCCTCACAGATACAGACACGTTCAATGAGAATCCTACAACAAAATTACATCTGGGATTGTTGCCAAAGCCATTGATAATATAGTCTTTTAGATAGACATATTCTAACAAAATAATTTTTCAGAGTCAAAAGTTGCATTGGAAAGCTATAGTTCTACAAGTCCTACCTAGTGTTCTCAAGTTTGTTAAATTTTTTACAACTAACCAGTAGCAAATGATGCTGTAACTACTCCATCTGAGTCGACACCCAAACTTAAACTTGTTTTATCCAGCGTAGTTGGTGGTTCTTCATTGGCTAGCTGCTCCACGGCATTTGTTACATCCTCCCCGTTTACGCGTATAATCAAATCTTAATAAAATATATTTATAAGAATCAGTAATAATGCACGTTCGTTTAAATCAGCATAATTTTTGAGAAATTGGTCAAAAGATAATAAGCACATTTAATATGATATATTTTACATTCGATCCATTATTACGTATTATTATGTTAACTTACCAACCATGTTATCTGCTAATTCAACATAAAATTGATCTGACGATTCTTCTTTTGCAGCAAATGCTGTGAACACAGTTGCTTTTGTTGCAGTTCCATTAGATGTCAACGCTTTGGACGTTCTCCCTTGGAGTGTGAAATAGTCATCAGTGGTCTTGATCAACCAGTATTCTCCCAAACCATTAAATGTGTATGTCTTTCCATCTAATGTACGAACGTGAGGATCGCCCCAGAACCAAGCTAGAATATAAGGTATATCCCATTATGTTATCGATCAGCTGAAATATCTTTCTCACACACTTGTACATATTTTAAACTCAGAGACTATTTCTCAAGTCCATGAAGTTGCGATTACTGGTGATCATATCTCATTTACGTTAAAATAATTATTAGCAATAGTTGACGTAAATTACTCCAAATCTTTAAACTTACACCAACGAGGCGGCACATATGCCTGGCATGTATCCACTGGTCTCAACTCCGTAAATAACTGGCAGTTATCTGACGCCTCACAACAATAGTACCGTGGAAGGGTGTCTTCATCCTTGTGTTGTCTGCTATAAAACCTGTTGTGATACCGCTCAAAATGTCCAGCCCCGTATCTGGCATCCGTCAACAATGTCCCCCAAGACCACCAATTCGTCCACCAATCATTGTTGTAGCAGCATGACTAAATGGTGACAAAAATTAACAGTTGTTTTTTACCTGGTAACATTCATTTGTGACCGACGCATTCTAAACTATTTTGAAGGTTTGCCCGCCTGGACATATTAGATTTATAAACGTCTAGTCTTGGTGATTGTTTTATTGAACCAGTAATTTGTCTTCTAGTGTTATGCTACGGAAAGACAGGTTTGAATTACTGAACCTTAAATATATGTATGTGATACCAACATACCTGGCCGTAGCCATATTGACTGGGGAACCTCTGGTGGGCACACAATGACCACCAATCCATTCTAAACCGTCTGTCTCTCCACGCCTGCCTGACCGTGCAAGGGCAAGGCTCGACATCCCATCTTCCCCACCCACCAGCTAAGTTTTGAGGCGAGGATTGACGATCTTTTACAGCCCAGGAAACGCACTTCTGTTCAAAGTTTGGCCGGTTGTCACCATTTAGATCAAGTCGGAATAGCCATTTCCCATTCAAACCTTTAAATGCCAATAAAATAATTGTATTATAAAGTGTGCCGTCGAACAGCTTACAATATGAAAAGGAGCAATAAAGTCATATCACTGTTGAATAAAATGTTTAAATTACAGGTAAATTAAATTTTGAATTTATAAAGCAAATAAAAATGCAAATATGACCCCCGTAATGCTTTGTTTATTTTTACTGTCTTCTCCACTAGTTTCATTGGTCTTGCTTAAAATTAGTGCATCAGTGATGATGTATCTTGTCGCATTGTTGTGAACATTATACATATTAGAGCTTATTCATCGAAATACATGCAGCTGTCTTTATCAATCAGATGTATGTTAATGACTATGTTGGTTATATTTACAATTGTATTGACAATTCCTGGAATAATTCATTTTGTTCGTTTTCATAATAAAGCAACTTTTGCTGAGGATGTTGAGGTAAATCCAGGTCCCTCACATAATATGAATGTGTTATTTGTCCCCATATGAAGTTTAAATCATTTTGGCTTATATTGTAGTCTTACCCACTGTTATCAAAGTGTGATATGTGAAACTTTTTTTTTAAATTTCAAAAAGTGGTTTTTGATAGACTTTTTGTTCCAAAATTTGTGAATTTATTTAAAACTTTTAGAGGTCACACATATCTTTTAATTAGCCACAACTCATACCAATGCATAACATTCATCCTCGCATGTTTTTTGCCGAAAAAAATTAAGAAAATCGGTTCATACACTCCCCTCCATAAGTTTGGCAACCTTTTTTCCCCCATTGAACTACGTGTTAAAGCCTCTTTACCTTTGAATTTTTATTTACTTAACCTGCAATGAAAATACTTATACTATTGATGGAAACGTAATTTGACTTTAATTCCAACACCTCCAAATTTTCTCAATTTTTTTCCTCAATTACAGTAGGTCGAAAATTGATGATGAATTTGATGAATTTTTGAAAATCGACATTCCCATGTTAACCAATGGGAAATGGTAGGTTTGCCGCAAGTCATATGACAGAATATCCATCCATCTGAGTCCTTGCAAAAAATACGAGTTAGGCAGGTAATTGAATTTGCTAACTTTATTTAATTAAAAATTGATATGTTTCTTCAGGTTCAACAAAGTTATAGGGCTTTAAAGTCAAAATTGTTTTTCAAAAAACCTCTCCCATTGAAATAACACAGGAGGCGAAAAATTCTTTACAAAAATGACTTTGAAGCGCTGTAACTTTAATATTCATCAAATAAACTAAACACTTAGTGTTCAAAAAAGTTAGACAATTCAACTTTCTATATAAAAATATTTTTTGCTGAATCTTTTACTGAAAAGATATCCTGATTTCTGATTTGCCCCGAACCCTCCATTTCCCATTGGATTGCATGAGAATGACGATTTTCAAATATTCATCAAATTTATCATCAATTTTCGACCTATTGTAATTGAGGAAAAAAATTGAAAAAATTTGGAGGTTTTGGAAATAAAGTCAAGTTACGTTTCCATCAATATTATAAGTTAATTCATCGCCGGTTAAGTAAATAAAAATTCAAACGTAAAGAGGCTTTAACACGCAGTTCAATGGAGAAAAAGGTTGTCAAACTTATGGAGGGGAGTGTAAATAAGCGATTGATGAACTCATCAGTGCATGAAAATGGTTCCGAGAAAAATGCATTTCAAAATTTTAGTTCTCATAGAAACCAATGGTACAATGATATCTAAAACATAATATATTCTTCCTTTTAACCTGGTTAGACAATCAACATTGGTTTATTATTGAAGTCTAGCATATTTAAAAAAGATTGACATCGAAAAAACATTTCAATTTTTTTCAAAAAGTTTTTGCCACCTTAGTGACAGCACTAATGTTGCAAAATATTTTTGATATGCCAAAACATTGAAGTGGCCCATTAAATATGGCATTTTATTATTGAAATAGTGTGTCATTTGTTTAATCTTTGCGTTGGTGTTAAAAAGATGGAAAACGATACTTTAAAATGTTATGCATCGATTGAAGTAGGGTAAATGTTTCCAAGATATATTACATTTTTACAAAAGACCTTTATAAAGGACTGGGAATATCAAGTTTTCCATAACCATCAATCTAAAGATGGTCTTTAGATGTGCAAATATAATAACCTCGGCCGTAGCTGAGTTTGTTAACATATGTTGGTATAAGGTAGACATTGTTTCTTTTCACGTTAGATCATGGTTTTGGGCTATATGAGGTTTGTTTTTCTTTACTAGTATGCACTTAGAGTTTGCTTTTTCTTGCTTAGTTCCATTACAACTTTTGGTTCTTTCCCTTTGGCACTAGTGCTTATATATTGATTATATTGATAATACTAGAAAAACCTTTAAACCTTAAAACCCCCGTAATATGGAATAAATGGTTGATTACCAGTGTTTCCTTTCATGTTGTCAATGCCTAGAAGAGCATCATCGCCAAACAAATAATGGTTGAAGAAATTTTCTGTATCCCCAGCATCGAAGCCGATATTAACATTTTTCCATGTGCGCCAGGCCATCTTTCCATAATTGAACAAAGCGTATGTCCGAATACCGTCAGTTACCAATACGATCTGGTGATTCACCATCTATGATAAACATCACATCATCAGTGTTGAAATAGTTATATGCGTAATCATAATAGAGAGCCTAATTTTTATTCAAGGGCGAACGTAATACCCGGAACGTTCGCAAATTGGCGTTCGTTTTTTACCGCATACGATTTGAATTAGCCATAGGGGTGTGAGAACTTAAAATATTTTCTGACGATGTGTCTTACCCCCCTTTGCACATAAAGTCAAGAGCTGAATATGTCAGCACATGTTGATGGTTGGTAAGTAAAAACAATATATAACGTAAAACATTTTCTATTATTTAATGAGTTTCGGCCACGAACCGTTCAGAAACAACAGTTAAAACGAAGATTGTCCGCGTCAGTTTTGATTGTTCGGCCGGGAAACCAATGGGGTTTTCTCATTTGCATAATCACGTGAGCCATATACTGCTATGGGGGATTTCCGAAGCAGGGTGACACACATTAGCAGAAAACACAATCGCCACTTAAATTACATTTGCCTGTTTATTCTGTCCGTATCAACCCTTTTTTACATGTCATATATTTAAGTTAATCAACTATGTAGCTCATGATGTGAACAGATTTCAATGCTATAGAGTAAAATCGCAAACGGTACAGAAAAGGGTACCTAACGGAAACTCTATACACCATTGTCTAATAAAGACCAAAAAAGCCCCGGATGTCGTGCCGTTTCTCGTTTCGTTTGGTACACAACGAAGCCCCGGGTATTAAATTAGCCCTTGAGTTATTTGGAATACGTACGCAAATCTTTACTTGGACAAGCAAGGTACTGCACTGGGGAGGAACTCAAATCACAACAAAATATTCGGCAAGTATGGAGTTCGCGTGTTCCGGTTTCAAAATATCAAGTTATTACAACTTACCCTTTGAAATAAATCTGCCATTGCTTGGATATTCACAAATCAATTCCCTCGATTAGAAAACTAAGAGATTTTTTCTAATGAAATGTATTTCCATGGTTTCTTTGAGAAACCTTCTTCCCCAGTGGTGTTTACGTCATTTAAAAGTTAAAATTGCAGTATAAATTTGGTTGAAAAATCTCGAAAGCTCTCTGATATATGATTATTGTACTTTAACTTATATTGCCTGTAAAATATTAAAGGATGTTATGAGTTTCGCAGAGGTTAATGATAAAATAGCCTTTATTCTTACGATTTTAGTTGCATTCTTCTATGTTCAGTTCTCTTAAACATTAGTCTTTTAGATCTCTTGAAAGAGTATATTTCCAAAAGGTATATTGTTTTACCTGAAGTTGGGAACTGTCAGTGTTATTTCCATTTATGTACTGGCACCACCATGCAGTGTATTGAGCATTTGGATTGTAGCAGTAATATGGGTAGGGGAAAACACCTTTCCAAGTTACTTTCATCATCCAAGTTGCCTCAAAATCTGCAACATTTGTAAACCTCATCACTTCTTTACTCGCAACTTGGAGTAACAATTGGCCTTTCTCATTCAAGACATCGTCTATGGTGTACGTCTGATAATGAACACCAGAAGATGGCAAACTTTCGCGTGTGTCATGATTGCCCCAGAACGAGGCTAGAATAGCTGAATTCCGCCTTCCAAGAGGAAACTTCCTGGGCCACCAATGAAAGTTTGGCCTGCCAAAACTTATTAAGCCATTTGATGACACCTGAAAGTATAAAACATGATATATCCATGGTCAAAGATGCTCATAGTCGTAGTGTTTGATCGACTTATGTGAGTTTGTTTGATGATCAAAAACACTCATTCATGTCATTGCCATTGGACAATTCTAATTTGAATGACAAGAACATTTCTTCAGTGTATCGAAAAGATATAAAGAATGAAAAATGTGAATAATATATAAAATGTATCGTAGATCTACACAAATTAAACATGCCACTCACATATATATGTTTGTATTTTCTATGGCCAAAGTAGACCCCCCTTGGGGCGGTTACAGCACCTGATGATGTATAAAATGCATTCCGAAGACGTATATCACCCTCCTCCTCACCACTGGGATACATTTGGAATGTAGTTTCTACAAAGTAGATTGAATATAATTGATATCAGATCATTACGATTTTACACCATAAAGTCATCCTTTCTTTATCCGATCAACGCCTCTATGTCTGATAATATCCAGATGATAGATAAACAGCGACATAAAATGCTACTGAATTATTAGCATGAAGAGTGAACAATGAAATCCCATGATTATTTCCGATGCGTTTCGTGAAACCTCTTTGACTACTGCAGTTCAGAAACTTGAATACCTCGAGATGTTTTGCAAAATTTGACTCACGTCAAAAAAAAATTCTATGCAATAACTATATTCAATAAAACAGAGATCCAATAGAAGCATTGGATACTGAAATTGAAGATATATGAGTATGGGTAAAACACATTTAAGAGATAGGCCCTACCAGCAGCTACGACATCAGCTGTTGTACTTGTTGGTGCCAGTGTAGTTGTATCATCAGTGGTAACATCATCAGACACATGTGTTATATCATTAGTGGTAGCAGAATCAGTCACTGTTGCTGGATCTTCAGTGGTAGCATCATCAGTCACTGTTGTTGTATCATCAGTTGTAGCATCATCAGTCACTGTTGTTGTTTCTTCAGTGGTACCATTATCCGTCACTGTTGTTGTATCATCAGTGGTAGCATCGTCAGTCACTGTTGTTGTATCTTCAGTGGTAGCATCATCAGTCACTGTTGTTGTATCACCAGTGGTTGCATCATCAATCACTGTTGTTGTATCTTCAGTGGTAGCATCATCAGTCACTGTTGTTGTATCTTCAGTGGTAGCATCAACAGTCACTGTTGTTGTATCTTCAGTGGTAGCATCATCAGCCACTGTTGTTGTATCTTCAGTGGTAGCATCATCAGTCACTGTTGTTGTATCTTCAGTGGTTGCATCGTCAGTCACTGTTGTTGTACCTTCAGTAGTAGCATCATCAGTCACTGTTGTTGTACCTTCAGTAGTAGCATCATCAGTCACTGTTGTTGTATCTCCAGTGGTAGCATCATCAGTCACTGTTGTTGTATCATCAGTGGTAGCATCGTCAGTCACTGTTGTTGTATCTTCAGTGGTAGCATCATCAGTCAATGTTGTTGTATCTTCAGTGGTAGCATCGTCAGTCACTGTTGTTGTACCTTCAGTGGTGGCATCGTCAGTCAGTGTTGTTGTATCTTCAGTGGTAGCATCATCGTCAGTCAATGTTGTTGTATCTTCAGTCGTAGCATCATCAGTCACTGTTGTTGTATCTTCAGTCGTAGCATCATCAGTCACTGTTGTTGTATCTTCAGTGGTAGCATCAACAGTCACTGTTGTTGTATCTTCAGTGGTAGCATCATCAGCCACTGTTGTTGTATCTTCAGTGGTAGCATCATCAGTCACTGTTGTTGTATCTTCAGTGGTAGCATCATCAGTCACTGTTGTTGTATCTTCAGTGGTAGCATCATCAGTCAATGTTGTTGTATCTTCAGTGGTAGCATCGTCAGTCACTGTTGTTGTACCTTCAGTGGTAGCATCGTCAGTCAGTGTTGTTGTATCTTCAGTGGTAGCATCATCGTCAGTCAATGTTGTTGTATCTTCAGTCGTAGCATCATCAGTCACTGTTGTTGTATCTTCAGTCGTAGCATCATCAGTCACTGTTGTTGTATCTTCAGTGGTAGCATCAACAGTCACTGTTGTTGTATCTTCAGTGGTAGCATCATCAGCCACTGTTGTTGTATCTTCAGTGGTAGCATCATCAGTCACTGTTGTTGTATCTTCAGTGGTAGCATCATCAGTCACTGTTGTTGTATCTTCAGTGGTAGCATTGTCAGTCACTGTTGTTGTTCCTTCAGTAGTAGCATCATCAGTCACTGTTGTTGTACCTTCAGTAGTAGCATCATCAGTCACTGTTGTTGTATCTTCAGTGGTAGCATCATCTGTCACTGTTGTTGTATCTTCAGTGGTAGCATCATCAGTCACTGTAGTTGTATCATCAGTGGTAGCATCATCAGTCACTGTTGTTGTATCTTCACTTGTAGCATCGTCAGTCAGTGTTGTTGTATCTTCAGTGGTAGCATCATCATCAGTCAATGTTGTTGTATCTTCAGTCGTAGCATCATCAGTCACTGTTGTTGTATCTTCAGTGGTAGCATCAACAGTCACTGTTGTTGTATCTTCAGTGGTAGCATCATCAGCCACTGTTGTTGTATCTTCAGTGGTAGCATCATCAGTCACTGTTGTTGTATCTTCAGTGGTAGCATCATCAGTCACTGTTGTTGTATCTTCAGTGGTAGCATTGTCAGTCACTGTTGTTGTACCTTCAGAAGTAGCATCATCAGTCACTGTTGTTGTACCTTCAGTAGTAGCATCATCAGTCACTGTTGTTGTATCTTCAGTGGTAGCATCATCTGTCACTGTTGTTGTATCTTCAGTGGTAGCATCATCAGTCACTGTTGTTGTATCATCAGTGGTAGCATCATCAGTCACTGTTGTTGTCTCTTCAGTGGTAGCATCATCTGTCACTGTTGTTGTATCTTCAGTGGTAGCATCATCAGTCACTGTTGTTGTATCTTCAGTGGTAGCATCATCAGTCACCGTTGTTGTATCATCAGTGGTAGCATCATCAGTCACTGTTGTTGTATCATCTGTGGTAGCATCATCAGTCACTGTTGCTGGATCTTCAGTGGTAGCATCATCGGTCACTGTTGTTGTATCTTCAGTGGTAGCATCATCAGTCACTGTTGTTGTATCTTCAGTGGTAGCATCATCAGTCACTGTTGTTGTATCTTCAGTGGTTGCATCATCAGTCACTGTTGTTGTATCATCTGTGGTAGCATCATCAGTCACTGTTGCTGGATCTTCAGTGGTAGCATCATCGGTCACTGTTGTTGTATCTTCAGTGGTAGCATCATCAGTCACTGTTGTTGTATCATCAGTGGTAGCATCATCAGTCACTGTTGTTGTATCATCTGTGGTAGCATCATCAATCACTGTTGCTGGATCTTCAGTGGTAGCATCATCGGTCACTGTTGTTGTATCTTCAGTGGTAGCATCATCAGTCACTGTTGTTGTATCTTCAGTGGTAGCATCATCGGTCACTGTTGTTGTATCTTCAGTGGTAGCATCATCAGTCACTGTTGTTGTATCTTCAGTGGTAGTATCATCAGTCACTGTTGTTGTATCTTCAGTGGTAGCATCATCAGTCACTGTTGTTGTAACTTCAGTGGTAGCATCATCAGTCATTGTTGTTGTATCATCAGTGGTATCATCATACGTCACTTTTGTCGTATCATCAGTGGTATCAGCAGCTGTAACATCAGTTACATTATCAGTCACTGTTATTGTATCATCAGTGCTGGCTATATTAGCCATTGTTGTCGCGTCATCAGTTGTTGTAATGTCAACTATTGTTGTGTCATTAGTGGTCATCATATTAACCTCTGTTGTTGCTTCATCATTTGTGGTTATACCAACCTCTGTTGTTGCTTCATCAGTTGTTGTAATATCAGCAACTGTTGTTGTACCATCAGTTGTCATTATATCAACCTCTGTTGTTCCTCCATCAGTTGTAGTTATACCAACCTCTGTTGTTGCTTCATCAGTTGTTGTAATATCAGCAACTGTTGTTGTACCATCAGTTGTCATTATATCAACCTCTGTTGTTGCTTCATCAGTTGTTGTAATATCAGCAACTGTTGTTGTACCATCAGTTGTCATTATATCAACCTCTGCTGTCGTACTATCAGTTGTACCAATATTAACAACTGTTTGTGTATCATCAGTCGTCATCATATCAACCTCTGCTGTTGCTTCCTCATTTGTAGTTATATCAACCTCTGCCGTCGTACTATCAGTTGTAGTAATATTAACAATTGTTGTTGTATCATCAGTCCCAGACATGTCAACAACTGTTGTTGTTCCATCAGTTGTGGTAGTATCAATCACTGTTGTTGTATCATCAGTCCCAGACATGTCAACAACTGTTGTTGTTCCATCAGTTGTGGTAGTATCAATCACTGTTGTTGTATCATCAGTCCCAGACATGTCAACAACTGTTGTTGTTCCATCAGTTGTGGTAGTATCAATCACTGTTGTTGTATCATCAGTCCCAGACATGTCAACAACTGTTGTTGTTCCATCAGTTGTGGTAGTATCAATCACTGTTGTTGTATCATCAGTATCCGCCATTGTTGTTGTATCATCAGTGGTCATCATTTCCACCTCGGTTGTTGTTTCATCAGTTGTGGTAATATCAACAACTGTTTGTGTATCATCAGTTGTGGTAATATCAATCACTGTTGTTGTATCATCAGTGCCCGCCATTGTTGTTGTAGCATCAGCTGTAATTGTGCCATGAATAAAGTGTAAAATATGGTCAAAATCGATTTTTATGGGGATATCAAATGATTCTCAATGTCTTACAGTAAATTAATTGCAATTCCCAAAATGTTGATTCCCTACAAGTAGAGGATAAAGTTCACAACCTCAATAGCCTTTTTTCCAAACCTTGTTTGAGCTAGTTAAAACCTATTTAGTTAGTACTAATTGTGCTATATTTCGTCCTAACGCTACCAATTTTTGGAAAGTTTGTTCTTTGATTTGTCAAATAATGTTAGGTACATTTTTCACTGTAATTATTTTTCACTGTAATTATTTGTTTTACACATTTGAATTTTCCAGATATAATTTCACTCAATAACATCTTCCTGTTCTTTACAGTAGATACATTGTGTTAGACAGGTGTCATTGATAAAACGCTTTGAATTGATATACGAACGAAAAGCAGTGTATATATGGAGTGACAGCTCAGATGTGTTATAGTAGGCCGACGAACGTGTATAGAATTACACATTTCTATTTCTTTGAATGTCATAAGTGTCTCGGAAAATGTTAAAACGCTTCATTAAGCTGACTTAGCTCACAAAAAACAAACATGAACAACTGAAACGTTGACATTTTTAACTATTTTAAATCATCGAATATTAAAAATGGCTGATTTTTACCTGTTTGCGCCGGACATGCTACTAAAACTAAGAATAGTATCTTTAATCCGACTCCCGGAGCCATCTTCCTGAGTTTTGTCATATCTCCTTGATTTGTTACTTCAACAAGCTGAGGTTCCCCTCTCTCTCTCTAAACTCTGTGGACTATACATAAGTGAGAGAGGCTAGAATCCGATGGGAGTGTCCTATTTGCTATTGTCGTAATCAATGGAATAAATTCAAAGAATTTGAGTTTTTTATGTGTGTATTGAAAAGGAGAGTAAACAATGTGGTAAATAAATGTTTGAATGATTATTCGATTCGAGTCAAGCTTAAGAGAACAAATATACACATTTCGATTTCGTAGAATGTTTATTAAGTAAAGTAGGCTTTCAAAAATAATGTTGAGACAGGAATGGGATCAGTTTCCTGTAGTTCTCTGACCAGGGAATAACAAACATTACATTTGAACAATGTCACTTTTTGAAAAGTACCTGGGGAACTGTCATCATTTGATAACTCGATTTAATGGTCAAATATGACAACCCCTTTTGAAAGACTGCGATTTCTCTCTTCCATATCATGTGTAACAGAAACTATCGAAACAACTGCGGGTTTTGTTGTAGTTGTTCTCCAGCTTGTATACAATTTCTTGATTATTTTATCTTCATTACAATACTGTATTGATTTTATTACTACTTTCAGGGCCAATAATAATAGTGGTTTCTAACTCTCAGATTCCGACACTAGATTAAGATACAAAATCACCATGCGAGTATTTTTCAAAATTTATTCTTTGACCATCGAATTTATGAAATAAAAAAACATATTTGATAAATGAGCTTTGGGCAAATATAAACATAAATTGCAATTTTTTTCTCAGTATCCTCAGTGAATAAATATCATCTTAAACACCTTCATATTTATTTAACTGAGGTTGAGTTTTTACTGGGTTGATTTTACTGGGAGTTTTGATGGGTTGAAATATTGGGGTGAGTTGACGTTGATTCAGCGGGAGGGGCTTTTGGCTTTTGTTACATTGTATCAAACAGTCAAATAGTATTTCATTCTGTCGGGAACGTAAAACCGTAACAAAAGCGATTGGAATGATTATACAGCAGTTCATTTATAAGTGCTTTTACACTAAATGAAATATATTCACTTGTGTCATGACAATAGATTCATAACATTCTTTTTTTCTCAGAATGCTTCAATGTTTGTTCAGTATGATCAGTATCAACAAATCCACGCCCATAAAAGATCTACAGCGTTTTCTGTTTAAATCAGTTTACTTCCTGGTTGTTATCATGGGCGTTCACTAAAATCATTTCAAGCATTTAACAGACTATAAATTATATTTGTCTATAGACTGCTATTGACGGCTCAACTGAACAAAACGTCCTCCTGTTAAAGAACTGTTCTTTAATTTACCTTAAATTGGTAGAATAAACACTCCTTAACATGTTTCTGGCTGTTGAGCATTGCAAAAAAGCCATTTATTGACTTATTTTAACAGGGGTCCATTTAGAAAAATGTAAATGAACATTTAATCCAACTGGAAATGGATAAACATACTTTTATAAGTCTGTTAAATAACATTTGAAGTGTAATTATGAAGAAAGTAAATGAAAGTCAGGATTAGCCAAACCCAAAACATTCTCGATGTATGTTCAAATCTTTCCTATAGATAATACAAGGAAGCACTAGAAACGTCAAAAAACTTAATTTATTTGATTTCATTCATTTTTACCATTTTTAAATACACTCTTTGTCTGAATAAGGAATAATAGATAGGTTCCAATTTAGATAATTCAAGTTTTTGAGGCATTTTTTAGAAAAAGCAACAGACCTATTTTTACTAGATCAGTTTTTCATGCTGATGAAGATATTAAAAGATGACAGCTCAACGGGGTGGCGATGACACTGATTTTTGGCATTTTAACCCCCCTAGGAAAATATTCTAGGGGGTACTTTGAAACTAGTTCATAGCACAAAGGATATATGAGCTATTGTTCTGAGTACTACACAATGCATTGCTAATACAAATATGAATACTATCTCAAAGTTATAGGTTGATACCCTTATTGGTCTCAGAAAAAATACAATAAACAGGAAAAAGATACGCAATTTTTGTCTTGCCAATTTTATATTTGTAGCTTCAAGCAAAATATGACAGCTTTAACAGCTCATAGTAGTATTCCATAAACATTTCCAAGCTATGTGCGATATTGTAATACATCTATTTTAGTTATGAAGTACTATTTTGTTATTTTAATATGACTTTATAGTGCCCTACCCCTGGAAAATTGAAGAAAGTGGATGTGGTGAATTTTAACATTTTGCAGCATTAAGTTAGAAACATGTGTTGATAGACACCAAATCAATGAATTCAAACCATCATCAAATGTAGGTGACATTCTAATTAATTTATTACTAGAATATAGGACTTAAGATATTTTATATATAAGTTTTCAATTTAGTACATGTATTATAATGAAATCTAGTGTAATCACATACTAGAGAGGTTGGCAAACAGTTTGGACATAGAATGTTGACCTAATTTTTACCAAAAATGCAACCTTTAATCATATTGTTCATATTATCATATTAATAGAGTAAGCATAATTGAGTACCATAAAGTAATGATTATTTGATAGTCTAAATCTAATAACCTGCAGGGAGGGTTGGGTGGTATTTAAATTAGCGAGCAAACATTTATCATTACAGCCAGTTAGCAGGCTAAGAAGCAACTGAAGGGAGCATAGACCAGAACACGTGTCTGGGAATGACATCTGTCATAGATAAGGCCAGCCCCCTTGACAAATGATTTGTAGGTTTAATGTTAGAGGCTGGCCCTATCTGAGACGATCTGTTGCTACATAATTTAAATCAAGTTTAATTAATTAAACTTACAAATTATAATGAAATCTAGTGTAATCACATACTAGAGAGGTTGGCAAACAGTTTGGACATAGAATGTTGACCTAATTTTTACCAAAAATGCAACCTTTAATCATATTGTTGAATGCATAATTAGAATGTGCTTTTGAGACATGTTCTATTTCCTAAGAGGAAAAGTGGATTGCTCCAGAGACTTTAAAGATACTGAATTTGGATGACCAAAATTAACTGAAACCAATGGATAGCATGAATTTTTCAATGGGGAAATAACACTGGGAACACTTATCTTAGGGGAATTCGGTTTTCCTTTCAAGAGCTATTTGATACATCAAAATAAAGAATAGTAATGCATTAAACATTGTAAAAAATGATTGCATTTTTGGTGAAAATGAGGTCAACAACTTTGAAAAAATATATTGATGGATTGATTGCTAGCGAAATATCTCAGAGTCCGATTGACTTTATTATCCCTGTATACCTGTCCTCATGGTCAGAAATAGTCATAATCAAATATTTAACTGTCTGAAATTGTTTGTGATAATTTACCTGAAGCTTTCCAGGTCAAATCAGGAGTGACAAAATTATTTCCACCAGATTTTTGACATGTCTTCAAATACGATAGTATTTTCTGCATAAGATAGGGTGTCACTCAAATTTATTGATTGACCTGAGATCGTACCATATCTTTATGCCATAGAAGCGAAATAGCCATATTGAACTTTAATGAATGTTGTTTGCCACTTTTCGACAATTGTCAAAATTTTGGGGGAGGGGTACAATTAGGTTAAAAAGTTCACCTATACTCAGACTATCCTTAAAGGAGTACTGATTCACCCGAGAGCATAACTTTTTCAAAACATGTAAGTATTATTTTTGGACCACTCACATTGTTGTTTTGTCTAATTTTCCCCCCAGAGTTTCCTCATCTTGCCTTCCTTTGCAGTTTGAGAAGATTCGGCATTAGGTGTTATAAGTCCCAGAGCACGATAAATAAAAAATAACAACAAAATGACATAGAACTGATAAACGTTTTCTCTTGTGCGTGTCAGCAGCCATGGTCTACCAAATTGCTATTCAGTTGGAAGAAACTCATTTTTCAGTTTCCATTTTAATTTCCTGACAAATAGAGCGATCATCCCAGGATTTTTTCTATGATCTATGTGTCGCCATAGCAAATTCTGTTTTAGAGACATTGCATGAAGCATAGAAAAGATTATTTTACCATAATTTTAATCATCCCACATTGTAGACATATTTAGAATTAAAAATATGAAGAGAATGACAAAACCTCTTAAAACACATTTCTTAGGAAACAAATAGTGTAGTATTCTTGTTACTATGGCAACAGAGTTTTTTCTTTTTGTCATTTTTGTTATACAGATTACCTATTATACCAGGACCAAATCCTGAAAATTTGAAGTCAGTATCTTCATTAGTATCTAAGATATATAGGTTTCTTATAGTATCCCCTGCAGATTTTATTGGAGTGTAAGGAAATACTCTGAAGAGGTTTGCCCAAGGATGCCACTTAACAGTTCTGGTATTTTTGAGGTCCCAACCCTCTATTCATGGGAATAGTTAACCATTGTAAAGCTGATCATGGTAGGTAAACTGACAAAATTGATTGTATCTAAGAAGTCAATAAAATGTTAAAACCAGAAGAAACCCACACCAACTTTCTTCTATTTACCAGGGGTAGGGCACTATAAAGTCATATTAAAATTACAAAATAGTTTTTCATCACTATAATAGATGTATTACAATATCACACATAGCTTTAGAATGTTGTTAGAATACTACTTTGAGCTGTTAAAGTTATCATGTTTTGCTTGAAGCTACAAAAATAAATAAGCAATAAAAAAATGACAAAAATTGCATATTTTTTTTCTAATTAAGTGTATTTTTCCAAAACCAACAAAGATATCAACCTATAAATTTAGGAGAGTATTCATCTCTGTACTAAAAATATATGCTGTAGAACTCAGAACAATAGTTCATATATTCTTTGAGTTATGAACTAATATTATAGTACCCCCAAGAATAATTTCTTAGGGGGGTAAAAACGCTAAAAATCAGTGTCATCGCCATCCCGTTGAGCTGTCATCTTTTAATATCTTTATCAGCATGAAAAACTGATTCAGAAAAAATAGGTCTGTTGCTTTTTCTAAAAAATGCCTCAAAAACCATTTCCCTTGAGATATTCTGAAATTGGAACCTGTCTATAATGTCATAACACCGCTTTAAATTAAGCAGACTCTGCAGAGACTTTAACGTGTCGCAATATAATTATAGTGTACACAGCCTGCCTTTAACCAATTGTGAGCGGGTAGTAGGGAATAGGCCAAAGGCATTGTTCCACAACTAGTTACTTTGCCGGAAAGTCAATGTAACAAAATGGATGAACTTCCTGGATACGAGTTTTTTGTTTTTATCGATTTAAACTTTTGTACAAGTCATCTTGCAGATTATCATTTGGCACAAAGTTAGACAATACAGTCTAGCTTTTAGAAATGCTCTCGGTTTGGAATTTGATTACTAAATAAAGCTACATAATTCATGCATTTAGTTGCTTTCTAGCTTTGTGCCAAATTATAATCTGCAACTTGACTTATAAGTAGGTTTAAATCGAGGAAACAAAAAACTCGTAACCAAGAAGTTCATCCATTTTGTTACATTGACGTTCCGTCAAAGTAACTAGTTGTGGAACAGTGAAAGGTACACCAATTACCTAGCGTCTACCAGTCTATTACACCGGCCTCACATACAGTATACGTAGTCATATTTTTAAAATGCAAACAGTCATATCTTTATAAAGCACTTGTTCTGAGAAGTTAGCACTTTGTTTACATGTTTTATTAACATTCACAACGATATGCATATCTGAGATTTTTATTGTAGGTTTCAGCTGTTTTAAAATTATATTCAATTTGTGTTGATTCTGAAAACTGAGATTCGCACAATGACATACAAGTGATCCATTTTTAATAGCGCCCCTGGGTGCTACCTTACATCTCTAGCTGTCAGATACCCAATGGCACTTTAAACTAGAGGAGATCGAAACTGTTCGTTTTGTATTTGTTCACTTTCACCGATAAACCCCAGTTTGTATCTAGAATTTTCGGAATAAGGGCATGGACCATTATATGCATTAATCATGCCATGCACTTCAAAATCGAACACCGACATCATCTTTAAATAGACACAAATAAATATTTTCTTTTATGGCAAGTCGTGGGAGTTAACGTTCACAATTAATGCCTGGGTCACATCTGCTCCGATTCATCGGCCGGCGCCCGGCCGATTGAGTATCATGTTCACAACTTTATTTAGTTTTGAACAGAATACTCAATCGGCCGGGCGCAGGCCGATGAATCGGAGCAAATGTGACCAAGGCATAAGTGGGAAATGTAGAAACCATTTTGGTTATGCCTTGATCACATTTGCTCCGATCCATCGGCCGGCGCCCGTCCGATTGAGTGTTTTGTTCAATATTGTATTCAATTATGAACAAAATACTCAATCGGTCGGGCGCAGTAGAGAAAATCGGAGCAAATGTGACCAAGGCATTAGTTATGCTTTGGTCACATTTGCTCCGATTTCCACTACGACGCCCGGCCGATTGAGTATTTTGTTCAAAATTGAATACAATATTGAGCTAAACACTCAATCGGCCGGGCGTCGGCCGATGGATCGGAGCAATTGTGACCCAGGCATTAAGCTTGGTCACATTTGCTCCGATCCATCGGCCGGCGCCCGTCCGATTGAGTTTTAATCTTATTTTTTATTATTTATTATTTATTATCATATTCATTTAGTATAACATTAACAGTGTTGGCACTTGATACCCATAAAAGGGTATATCAGTGCTAAAATCAAAAGTTGAACATTATAAAAATATAAATTACAATTTTTATGAATTGAATGAAGCAAGAAATACAATTTATAGATATCATAGATATCATGCCAGTTCATGTTATAAAATACAACAATATACAAAAATGCCTGCATATAAACAAGTAAAAAGTGAAAAATACAAACATAATACAATTGTGGAAAAATAACAGTACATGCTCATGGCTCAGCAACAATTTATTAATGTTTTTTTTGTAATTGTATTTAAAGGAGTAAAATGATGGTAAAGAATGAAGGGAAGTTGGTAGGTTGTTCCATATTATTGTTACAGAGTATTTCAATATTGTGTTCAATTTTGAACAAAATACTCAATCGGCCGGGCGCCGTGGAGAAAATCGGAGCAAATATCATTATTTTTTACTAACTGTATCCTACATGTACAACCTTAAGGGGTATCCCCTTTTCAAATCTAATTAATTAGGTCATTTATGCATCTTAAATCTTCAATAACTATAATATCGCAACTCCTTCTTTCAGAAAACAAAAATAAGATTGTGTGGGAAATAATGACATGATTTTTGAATAGATTGCTTCTACGCATTTTCACTCTCTGCTCCTTGTAATTTCTGAGGACACGATATGGGTGAAAAATTGTAAATTAGAAAATGGAATGTATTTGAGGACCAGTCCTTCCTACCTGAGACTCTCAATTGCTATTAAAATAATAGGGTTTGGTTTATGTTTTGAATTGATATATGCCATCAATTTTATTTTGACACTGATATTTATTTTATTTGATAAATAAATCTTGAAAAGGCTTGACAATGAGATGTTGGTTTTAAAAAGCGCCTTGAGAACTGAAAACTCTGAATTGAAAATAAAGGTAACGGTGGTACAATGGTCGGTGGTACACTAGTCGATACAGTATTTGATAATGACTTAAAAAATCACTAATGATGTGTAGAACTGGTTTTACACTGATCCCTTTAGGCATATGGTAAATAGTGACTCTCGTATAAAAATGATTAAAAACGAAATCGTCCTTTTTCCTTAAATCATTATTAAAATATGTTATGATTTTGTATCATAGCATTATACTTAATTATAAATTTACAAATAAAATATCATAAAACTAATTATTGTATGGAAACGGAATTTAGAAATATGAAACATACACTAAAATTAAAAGCGAACCATGTAAAATAGAAATTCAATTGATTTTATTTGTATATTGTATCTCCGCGTATATGCATTGTTCAATCCAGAACTGCAACTGTGATATATAAACATGATCATTGTAAAAATTGAAAGAATTTATTTCGAGGGTATGTTGAAGTTGTTTAACATCCAATCTTAAAAACAAATATTTTATTTGACTTATCCCGCTTAAAACTTTGTATGAATGTGGTTAAGGGCATTTTGCATGTGATTCTGTAGTTGTAAATGGTGTGAGTTCTACACGGTGGACCAAAAGAACGTCCATATTTCTAATTCGACGATAACATTTTATAATGAATATATTTAGAAATATTTTTGATAGAGATGCAGGAATCGGTTTTAGAATTATTAATAAACACCAGAGCCTCTGAGGTGGGAGTGAAAATACACATGACAGTTCTAAGCGTACTATTTGAAGCCCGGTGTGAAAGAAATGATGGTCCCCCAGGGATTTTGGTCCCCTTTTTAGCGGCCCTTACTGGCCCTGATTGCGTATAAGATAATGAGGGAAAGAGTTGTATTGAGGTCTCCTATAAATCAATGGAGAGTATGATCATAATTTGATAGGACCTCCCACCCTTTTACACCGGGATTCGAAGCAACAATTTAGCAAGTTGATATTAGTCACGCCTCAAATAATACCACCAGAATACCAGTGTATACAGAGAGACACATCAGAGAGACACATCGGGTAAAAAATATCCTGGAATCATTCGCTGACAAATATGGAATTACTGTGAATTTTAAGGTCAACGATAACCTTAAAACCAGGAGTTTGGCTTCACACACCGTTTGACTGAAATCTGCGAAGATATTATTGAAATCCATGCAAAAAATGAGTCCACGTTTTTGGCTCACCCAGTGTATGGTCGTCACTTATTCTTGTTTGCTCAATAACTTGTATTATTCATCTCGAGCTCTGTAGGCATAGGATGTATCACAAAATCACCATATTGGCTAACCTTCGGCAATTGGACCAACTTGACAAACATATGAACAATATGAGAATTACAGGAAAAGTTTATGTTTTGAGGTTAGATTGATATGTAGATAATGTAGACGTGATGAATACGGACGAGTCGAGCAAAAAGTTTGTTAAAGGATAAAATATAAATGAACATATTAACTTATAAATGCCCTGTAAAGATAATTTGCGATGCAGCAGGAGGTAAAACAAGGGACTGGTGTTAGCTTTTGTAAAATCAATAGCATGAACAAAATAATAGGGTAAAGTGCATGACCATACGGATTACACGGATTAATGTTTAATAGAAGTAGAGACTTGTCACCAGTCATACACCACTCAGCATAACACATCTGATCATTTATCAATGTGTACACTCTGGTGTACAGTATCAAAACATGTAATACAAACAAGATGAAACCGAGACCTGAGAATATATGGCGGAATCACATTTGTGAATCGTCAAAAGCAAATCATCGGAGTAAAGACTTATAAATATACCAGGAGAAGGGGATCGGTTTCTAGAGACATCGCTTCTCGTTTAGAATGCGTAGATCCCCGTGTACAAGAACAATTAAATACTATAAAATTGCCATCTTACTTATCATACCTGCAGCGATCTATCTTATTGTTAATATTACAAAGGACGCTAAGCTAAAGCAAAAGTTAGATAAGGCTATGAGTGAACTGAATACCAGATATTCAGAGGTAGACCAGACAAAGGACGTTTATAAGGATGAATTTCCTCATGTCTTCTCGACAATGGGGGCAACGGTGCGAGCATTAATGAGGGAAGGCAAAATACAAAAATATCAAAACAATAGTACACCAAAAACTACTCACTTTGCTCCAGTCAGAAAGATTATTCCTCTTAAATTTTCCAAGCATGAAAAAGGTAAACGGAACACATTTTTCTGTGAATTTTTATTTAAAATGCAAGACCTTTTTGGCATTTGTAAAATATTGAATAGAGGTACATGGTTAGAAATAGTTCATCTTTAATTTATTCAAGAAAATATGCATACTCCATATACAGTTTTTGCCAAGAGAATGTTTTGAATTTACCAATGTTCCAATAAACATACCTCAGAGATTTCTAAATCGAATAATTTCTATAATTTTCAGATGATGGCCTGAGGGTGATCTACAACAGAGTGCCCAAATGCATGAGCTCCACAGTAATAAGCTTGGTGAATATGTTGTATAAGGAAAATCACTTCCTTTGGGTTCGACAGACCTTCTCAACCTTCGCTCTGAAGAACACACATCCGTCCCATCAATCTGCGGTACATTATTCTACATTACACCTTAAATCAAATCATTTACATTACTTTGACCTGCATTAGCTTAGTTTTAGTATGAACTCATTTAAGACACTATGTCAGCTTTATAATTTATTGCAACGTGTACTATAGTTTCCAGTATTGTTTCATTTCAGGAATTGATAACTGATGAATTCGTAGGTAACGCCACACCTAGTCTGATGTCAAAACACGTCCATTTTATAGATTTTACTAAGTGAGTTAGTGAACGTCAGAATATCCAAAATTGCACCCTGTTTAATTGCATATATATTATTTACCATCGAGAAAATGTACAAAGTGTTAGTCGACTTTTACACTTAATTGTTATTGATTGTAATTGATTGTTGTAGACGAAATCCGTAAGGAATGAGGCACATCTCTCATATTTAGACTATTATCCATACAATGTATATAGGCACTTTACATATCGTATGTCTAAATATGCAATATCGTTAATACGAGAAAGAGATAATAGAGATAGCTAGACATGCCCCACACACCATCCATGTGGAAACACATATACTGGAAGGCATCTCTTTACTTATCTAAAATGTTGTTAGGTATGGGTATAGACAGCCATTGTACATCAACCTCATCCGGGATCCACTGGAAAGGCTCACCTCTCAATTCTTCTACCTCAGGTTTGGGAGCAAAAAGCAGCAATACCACAAACAACAGAATGCAGTGAGTACTCCTTGCATACCAGTGACCATGGACTTTCTCAGTAAGCTGGTGTAAGGGATATGAATTACTGAAAACTTCATCAGCATAATATGATTTATTATTAACTTCATTAAATTTTTAATTGATACCAATGTGTTTTGATATGTACATATATTGTATCGTAATAGAGTCAATGCCGTTGCTGAATTGAATAGACAGTGAAACACTTTACTTCTGTATTTTTGCAGACACTTGATCGCTGCATTCGTGAAAAGTGGAGCGTCTGCACCGATGAATACACCCTAAAAGGGGAGGGCTACTTCATTACTATACCTTATTTCTGTGGCCTCAATGACTACTGTCTGTGAGTTTTTGCAATAATCCTTTGATTACTTTAGTTACGAATACTTTTACTGTCAGTTAAAAAGTATTACCTCAGTAAGAGAAATGTATCAGGCTACCAAAACATCCCTTGACAGCCAGAACGCAGTAAAGTTTTGAAATATTTTAAGTTAAATAAATGCAAATACACTGTACGTACAAATCAGAATGCCATTCACGAATTGAACTGACGGTTGACGGTTTAACACACTATTTTATGGCACACTGTATGAATAGTACCTGCCAATATATCTTTCATATTTAAATGAATCTGCCATAAAATAATAGATTAAACCGTCAGTCAGCAGCCGGTATTTGGGATTCGCGAATGCTACCTTAGTGATCGAAACTTGATGTAAGACTTTGCTAGATTTGAATTATAATAGGCCCATGTAAATGGCTTTTATGTCATTCCACACGCTTCATATTTCAGAAATGATACTCTAAGAACACTCAACAAAGCCAAGGAAAATGTGGAGAAGTATTATACTATCGTTGGTGTAACAAACGAGTTCAATGCTTTTGTCCGAGCTTTGGAACTACTCTTCCCAAAGATGTTCAAAAACATTGAAAGAAAATACAAGTTTGCAGGTGTGTATTTTAAGGTTTACTCAAGTTAAACATGTTTAATATTTTTTGTGTTAATTTTAGTTCAATGTATAATGTTTTATTTTTCCTTCCAGGGAACAAGTTACATGAGGCATTTAAAACCAGATATAAAATCGCCCCAAATGAAGAGACGACGAAACTTGCGAGGGTGATGTTGAAGAATGACTACGAGTTTTATCATTTTATTAAACAAAGATTTTATAAACAATTAAGTAGACTTGAGCTCATATTCAACAGACATCTACTCAATAGTAAGATAAATAGGACATGAATTTAGCATTTGTGGTAAAGAAATAAGTTATTTGAGAACAATTATAAATCGTGTGGAAGGCAATGTATAGTCATTGTGGTAATACATAGTCATTGTGTAAGATGATGACCTAGTCATTGTGGAATAGTGATAGTCATAATTGTAAACTGTCAGTTTTAGAAGAGCAATGATCATTTTCGATTAAGAACAACAGCCCTGATAGCTATGATGTGTAAGTTTCTTAAGAGCAAAATAAATCAAATTTTTGTTGCGGTGAAGAACCGGACATCAGTCAAAGCACATGGATGATGTTTACCTTGTCTTTCCACCCTGCTGTGAAATAAAGTATAAACTCAATTATGAATGCATCAGTTTATTTCTTTTATCATAAATATATTCATAATACATTTATTTACATGATATGATTATGATTCCTAATTGAATGGTAATACAAATAATGACATGAAACATAATTATTTACATATGCTATGACATGAAACATAATTATTTACATAATCTCAAAATGGTATTTAAATGAAACAAAACTATTATGAACATTAACATACAATGCATATAAGTTATGCTGTGAACACTTTCCCAGTATAGTCTAGTAGTTCAGTCATTGTTATTCATTAATTGTATACTAAATGGGCACCAAATGTAAGAAAACTAGCACCTTCGGAAACAATGTCAGTGGTTTTGCTGAGTATGGCATGTACATCGTATACACATACGTATATACAAACATGATAGATATAATAGTATTTACACCACAATATACAATGATATATAAATGTACAAATACCGAATGACACAGCTGTCCTGCAGTGTGAATGAAACAACATCGGTCCTACATATGTCTAGATATGACATTATATATGTATAGATGTCGCACAATTCAGAAGTTGTTAAATATTCAAACAGAGACAATAAAAAATGTTTTACAAGTTTAACTCATGATTTAACACCTGGAAATAATGGAAATGTTAACATTGTTGCTTTCTAAAACTCTCATCATCTTCAGTATACATAGGCCAGCTATGATAAACCTATTTACAAAATGCAAGTTCGTACAATGACGTCAAAGAAAGGACGATTCTCGGTTTGGAGAACGAAGTTCATCAATATAAATGAGCATTATCCCTGCTTCGGACAAATTTGATTTTTTTTACATAATATAGAGTTGAAGGTCTGCTTTTGAATGGTCATAATTTAATTTGGGTAATATTTCTAGATTTTTCGCAAAAAAATATTAGCGCAGTACACTTATGAACTTTTTTCCCCAAATCGAGACTTGTATTTTATTGAATCGGTCTAATTGATCGTTATCCCTGCTTCAGACCAATTTGTTATTTTTACATCTTGTAGATTTAAATGTCCTCTTTTGAATATTCATAGTTTAATTTGGGTAATATTTCTATATTTTTCATGAAAAAAATTATTAGCCCAGGAGACTGTTCTCCAAACCGAGAATCGTCCTTTGTTAAAGGAAATAATTCTTGCACTGAGACCAATGGTTTATAAATTAAAGTAGGGTGTAGAAATAGTACTTGATCTCTCATTTATAAGACCATGGGCGTTAAAATAGGTTGATGTCATTGTGAGAATCTCGGATGAGTAATGTTTTGTTTTGAATCACCCTATACGTCTAAAGAGAAAATGTATATGTTTTGGTAAATTTTACATTTTAAAAATAGGTTATGGTTCTTTGCTTATTTAATCCAGCTTAAAAGACACTGTTCCATATTCAATTAGAGAGGGGTTAACTCCTATTTGAAGTTGAGGGTCTCACAGTTTCGCGTGATTAAGTTAAAGATACGTTTCCCATGTTCCATTGATTTCATCATATACAGTCTTAGTAGTTGCATCATAAAACATGACGATCTTACTACACTGTACGTGCTTTGGTTCAAGTGACGTCGTAGTTGGTATCCTTTCTATATTCTTTAAGTGACCCTTAATAGTGGCCCCAACATGGACGCCGGGGATGTTGTCTGTGGAACGATCCTGTAAGTAAACCACGCAATAGGTACTCTTCTCACCAAGATCATGGTTTTTTGCAGGTTAATCAGGCTCTAGCTTCCTTATACTAAGTGAGTACTAATCTGTCACCGGGGCCAGTATTTACTTCACCAATATCAACGTACGAAAGGCAGGGATGGGCATGACACAGACAGTGGGTCCAGGTGATATACTTATGGGATTTATTCACTTTCAAACACTTTATAAAACGTCAAGTTTATCACGTTGGTCCGTGGCGCAAACAAGCGGAGAAGCTCTACGATCAAAGGTATTGGGTTATCATTGGTTCCTTTTGACAAGGTTTTAATTGTTGAAATATTTCAAGAATAATTGAATCATAGGAGGTCACAATATCGACAAGAAATACAGCTAAATCTTGTCTTAAACAGGTGAAAGCGACAAATAAACAATCCTATTGAGCGACATTGTTATTGCATAGCATGTTTGAAGTCTTCGTGGGGTCTATCTAGGAATAGTTTGGGCGGAATAGTTTAGGGGTAAAGTATTAGTGTGGGAGTAATTTGGACAATAGCGTGCTGGTTGGCCGCTTTGCATAGCATGTTTCAAGAGTTTTTATAAATGTCCATCTAGAATTTAGTTTAGAAATAGGGGCAAAGCATGGAATGTTCCACAATCCAAAGGGTTTCTTCATTAAATCACTGTTCGATAGGCGTATGGCATAGCATGTTTCAAAAGTTCCCAGCATCAATCCATGTAGAATCAGTTTGGGCGACAAAGGTAGGGGACATAGCATGGTCCATAAGGCGTAATAAAGTCATTGCAGGTTGGACGATAAGCCGAGGCTATGGCATAGCATGACTTAATTAGAGTTGGGTAACCCATAACCCTATATTTTCATAATATAAAGTTTTAGTTCCATCGCCGCTAGGAAATATTATAGCTGCACCGTTATCACCATTGGCTGTGGCATCTTTATCAGTATTCGGGTGGGTTCCCTGAAGAGAGAGGCGAGCTACATAGAGGTATAACCCTATTAAGGCAAGGTTTATAACATAGCGTGAAGCGCTGTTTATATTAAAAGATGCACCTTGTCTTTCAAAGAAAATCAAAGAGCAAATCAGTCTAAATTATTACTGTATATAAAAGGGTTCATTCTATCACTGCAAAGAAGGAACTTAATTATGAACACATAGGCGAAGGTCATGGCAGTTGAGGTAAATTGAATAAAACTAATGTTAGCATGCAAAGCGTCTTTAATAAGATGATCAATTTGAGACAAATCAGAAGTTGGATATCATCACTATTAAAAGTAAAAGTTCGATCAATGCGCAGCAAATTCTGCAAATAGTTGAATATTGATAGTGTCGTTAATAAGATTCAAATAAGTCAAGAAGGAAGTTGTTGAATGAATAAAAGTTAATGTACAGCTATCCACGTTCGGAAACCCTGGCCAAGAACCTTTGCAAGATCTCCCTGCTGTTAGTCTTTCTTGTAAATATTCCAGTTTTTACCAAGTGGAGGGAGTATTTTACAGAAATTACAAAAATCCAACCGGTTTTTAAAAATATACCTGCGTGTGTACATGTATTCCATTTCCCTCATTTGTATATTCTATACTCGTCGTTCTATTGTTATCATCTTGTGGTTGGAAGGTCGAGAATTGTGTCATTTCAGTATTTTCCTTCATTTCAACATTTGCTTCCTCGTCAGGTAGCCACTGGTCGGACGCACCGTGCTTTTTATAGAAGTATGGGTTTTCAAACTCCCCATTGGTACCTGTCTGATAGGTGTCATCCACGGGTGGGTGCTCTTGTCTGGCTTGTTTACGCTTTCTGCTACACATCTGTACAAGTTACAATAATGCTAATTTACATTTTTTTAGTTTGCACAACAGGACTTTCTATGCGGTTTTCTTTTTACCTTTATATGATAAAAATATATCATACTGGATTCATGTTTAACAATTTCCAAATAAAATGAGCCGTATACTACATAGAATGATACATCAAGTCATCGATTTGTATGATATAGATCACATCTCCTTTCAAAAGACATTGATGAATTCTGATAAAAGGAATTCCACTTACGAACATGATCACGAGGATAATAACGAAGAGGACAATGATTGCCCCTACTGTTATGAGTGCAATTGCCCAGTTTGGGAATGCCCGATTTGGTTCTACCACGGGATCCGGTTTGATGGTACTCATCACTGATGTTGTTGGTATAGTTGGCGGGATATCTAGAACAAAGTCAAACTGAACGATGATGAGTGAATTAGACGTTAGCGAACAGTTCAGAGAAATAAAAGAGCAGGGGAGAGATATGGAACTCGGCCTACCTTAGAGTACGTTCCATATTTGATTCTTAATTCGAGGTATTCATCTACCCATCTCTTGTTTATATTGAAATCATAATTATACCATTTCTTGTACGAACACTTACACACGAAGTCATTATCAGCTGGATCAGTAGTAAAACGGCCAAGTATTGTTCCATTGTTCGTCGCTTCTTCGTAGGCTTCTCGTATCTCTGTTGTGTTCACAGGGTTACTCAGCAACAATATATAAGACACTCGTACACTCCCTTGACTGAAAATAGCGGAAAACACCCTCAACCATATCAATCAACTTATTTGGTATTTGATTTTATAAACAAATGTTTAATCGAAGATTCTACTTGTTTGAAACGACACATTACTAGAGAAGAAAAAGTATCTCAAAACATTGGACAAGTGGCTCATTTTGCTTACGTGAATTGCAGGATGTTTACTCCCAAGAATAATGGAGACAGACGACTTCTTTTGTAAGCACTTGTCAGCTAAAAGAAAAGTAAAGGCTAATGTATATTATATAGTGGAACCGGAATTTGCTAATGCTAACAGTTAGAAGATATACAACGAAATGCAAACTTAACTCGCATGAAATAGCAGGAATAATCATGTTATTTGAGTATCAAGATATATTAAGAAAATGTTTCACTCACCTCATTAACTGTCTCGCTTCTCAAAGCTATGTGAGCAGCACTGGACTCATTAGCAAGGTCATTAGTCCAGTTCGTATTCGTAATCCTTAAGCTTGAGCTATAGGGCGTTTCATTTGACATGGTGGTAGCTTCTGTCACACTTTCAGTCACTGATACATTAGTTGTAGCTTCTGTTACACCTTCAGTCACTGATACATTAGTTGTAGATTCTGTCACACCTTCAGTCACTGATACATTAGTTGTGGCTTCGGTCACACTTTCAGTCACTGATGCATTCGTTGTAGCTTCTGTCACACTTTCAGTCACTGATACATGAGTAGTTGCTTCTGTCACACCTTCAGTTACTGATGCATTAGTAGCAAGTTCTGTCACACTTTCAGTCACTGATGTATTAGTAGTAGCTTCTGTCACACTTTCAGTCACTGAAGCATCAGAAGATGTACCTGTCACACCTTCGGTCACTGATGCATTAGTTATAGGTTCTGTGACACCTTCAGTCACTGAAGCATTAGTAGTTCCTTCTGTCACACCTCCCGTCACTGATGCATTAGTTGTAGCTTCTGTCACACTTTCAGTCACTGATGCACTACTTGTAGCTTCTGTCAAACCTTCAGTCACTGATGCATTAGTTGCAGCTTCTGTAATACCTTCAGTCGCTGATGCATTAGTTGTAGTGTCTGTCACACCTTCAGTAACTGATAAATTAGTTGTAGCTTCCGTCATACCGTCAGTCACCGATGCATAAGTTGTAACCTCTGTCATACCTTCAGTTATTGATGCATTAGTTGTAGTTTCTGCCAAACCTTCAGTAACTGATGAATTAGTCGCAACGTCTGTCACACCGTCAGTAACTGATGCATTAGATGTAACTTCTGTCATACCTTCAGTCACTGATGCGTTAGTTGTAGCTTCTGTCATACCTTCAGTCACTGATACATTAGTTGTAGCTTCTGTCACACCTTCAGTCACTGATGTATTAGTAGTAGATTCTGTCATACTTTCAGTCACTGATACATTAGTTGTAGCTTCTGTTACACCTTCAGTAAACGATGCATAGGTTGTAGCTTCTGTCACACCGTCAGTCACTGATGCAGTAGTTGTTGCTCCTGTCATACCTTCAGTCACTGATGCATTAGATGTAGTTTCTGTCACACCTTCAGTAACTGATGAATTAGTTATAGCTTCTGTCACACCTTCGGTCACTGATGTATAAGGTGTTGCTTCTGTCACATCTTCAGTCACTGATGCATTAGTTGTAGCTTCTGTCACACCCTCAGTCGTCACTGATGCATTAGTTGTAGCTTCTGTTACACCTTCAGTCACTGATACATTAGTTGTAGATTCTGTTACACCTTCAGTCACTGATACATTCGTTGTAGCTTCTGTAACACCTTCAGTCACTGACACATTAGTTGCAACTTCTGTTACACCTTCAGTCACTGATACATTAGTTGTAGCTTCTGTTACACCTTCAGTCACTGATACATTCGTTGTAGCTTCTGTAACACCTTCAGTCACTGATACATTAGTTGTAACTTCTGTTACACCTTCAGTCACTGATACATTAGTTGTAGCTTCTGTTACACCTTCAGTCACTGATGCATTAGTTGTAGATTCTGTTACACCTTCAGTCACTGATACATTCGTTGTAGCTTCTGTAACACCTTCAGTCACTGATACATTAGTTGTAACTTCTGTTACACCTTCAGTCACTGATACATTAGTTGTAGCTTCTGTTACACCTTCAGTCACTGATACATTAGTTGTAGCTTCTGTTACACCTTCAGTCACTGATACATTCGTTGTAGCTTCTGTAACACCTTCAGTCACTGATACATTAGTTGTAACTTCTGTTACACCTTCAGTCATTGGTACACTAGTTGTAGCTTCTGTTACACCTTCAGTCACTGAAACATTAGTTGTAGATTCTGTCACACGTTCAGTCACTGATACATTAGTTATAGCTTCTGTTACACCTTCAGTCACTGATACATTAGTTGTAGCTTCTGTTACACCTTCAGTCACTGATACATTAGTTGTAGATTCTGTCACACTTTCAGTCACTGATACATTAGTTGTAGCTTCTGTTACACCTTCAGTCCCTTCAGTCACTGATACATTGGTTGTAGCTTCTGTTACACCTTCAGTCACTGATACATTAGTTGTAGCTTCTGTTACACCTTCAGTCACTGATACATTAGTTGTAAATTCTGTCACACTTTCAGTCATTGATACATTAGTTGTAGATTCTGTCACACTTTCAGTCACTGATACATTAGTTGTAGCTTCTGTTACACCTTCAGTCACTGATACATTAGTTGTAAATTTTGTCACACTTTCAGTCACTGATACATTAGTTGTAGCTTCTGTTACACCTTCAGTCACTGATACATTAGTTGTAGATTCTGTCACACTTTCAGTCACTGATACATTAGTTGTAGCTTCTGTTACACCTTCAGTCCCTTCAGTCACTGATACATTGGTTGTAGCTTCTGTTACACCTTCAGTCACTGATACATTAGTTGTAGCTTCTGTTACACCTTCAGTCACTGATACATTAGTTGTAAATTCTGTCACACTTTCAGTCATTGATACATTAGTTGTAGATTCTGTCACACTTTCAGTCACTGATACATTAGTTGTAGCTTCTGTTACACCTTCAGTCACTGATACATTAGTTGTAAATTCTGTCACACTTTCAGTCACTGATACATTAGTTGTAGATTCTGTCACACTTTCAGTCACTGTTGCATTAGTGGAAGCTTCTGTCACAACTTCAGTCACTGTTGCATTCGTTGCAGCTTCTGTCACACCTTCAGTAACGGATACATTGGCTGTAACTTCTATCACACCTCCAGTTACTGATGAATTAGTTGTAGCTTCTGTCACACCTTCAGTCACTGATGTATTAGTTGTAGCTTCTGTCATACTTTCAGTCAGTGATACATTACTTGTAGCTTCGGTCACAACGGCAGTTACTGATACATTGGTTGTAGCTTCTGTCACACCTTCAGTCACGGATGTATTACTTGTAGGTTCTGTCACGCCCTTAGTCACTGATGCATTAGTTGTAGCTTCTGTCATGCCTTCAGTCACTGATATATTACTTGTAGCTTCGGTCACAACGGCAGTTACTGATACATTTGTTGTAGCTTCTGTCACACCTTCAGTCACGGATGTATAACTTGTAGGTTCTGTCACACCCTCAGTCACTGATGCATTAGTTGTAGCTTCTGTCATACCTTCAGTCACTGATACATTACTTGTAGCTTCGGTCACAACTGCAGTTACTGATACATTGGTTGTAGCTTCTTCCACACCTTCAGTTACTGATGCATTACTTGTGGCTTCTGTCACACCATTTGTCACTGATGTATTGGTTGTACCTTCTGTCACACTTTCAGTTACTGATACATTAGTTATAGTTTCTGTCACAAGTTCAGTCACTGATAGATTAGAAGTAGCCTGCGTCACACTGTCTGTCACTGATCCATTGGTTGTAGCTTCTGTCACACCTCCAGTCACGGATGCATTGGTTGTAGCTTCTGTCATACCTTCAGTCACCGATGCATTAGTTGTAGTAGTTTCTGTCACACCTTCAGTCACTGATGTATTGGTTTTAGCTTCTGTTGCACCTTCTGTCACTGATGCATTAGTTGTAGCTTTTGTCATACCTTCAGTCACAAATACACTAGTTGAAGCTCCTGTCACACCACCAGTCACTGATTCAATAGTTATAGCTTCTGACACTCTTTCAGTCACTGATACATTAGTTGTAGCTTCTGTCACACCTTCAGTTACTGATGCATTAGTAACAAGTTCTGTCACACCTTCAGTCACTGATGCATTAGTTGTAACTTCTGTCACACCTTCAGTCACGGATGCATTGGTTGAAGCTTCTGTCACACCTTCAGTTACTGATGTGTTAGTTGTAACTTTTGTCACACTTTCAGTCACTGATGCATTAGTTGTAGCTTCTGTCATACCTTCTGTCACTGATGCATTAGTTGAAGTTTCTGTCACACCTTCAGTAATTGATACATTAGTTGTTGCTTCTGTCACGACTTCAGTCACGGATGCATTAGTTGTAGCTTCTGTCTCACCTTCAGTAATTGATACATTAGTTGTTGCTTCTGTCACACCTTCTGTCACTGATGCATTAGTTGAAGTTTCTGTCACACCTTCAGTAATTGATACATTAGTTGTTGCTTCTGTCACGACTTCAGTCACGGATGCATTAGTTGTAGCTTCTGTCTCACCTTCAGTAATTGATACATTAGTTGTTGCTTCTGTCACGATTTCAGTCACAGATGCATTAGTTGTAGATTCTGTCATAACCTCAGTCACTGATGCAATAGTTGTAGCATCTGTCACACCCTCAGTCAATGACACATTAGTTGCAACTTCTGTCATACCTTCAGTAACTGATGCACTAGTTGTAGCTTCTGTCACACCGTCAGTCCCTGATGCATTAGTTGCAGCTCCTGTCACAACTTCAGTGACTGATTCATTAGTAGTTGCTTCTGTCACACCTTCAGTGACTGATGCATTAGTTATAGCCTCTGTCACATCCTCGGTCACTGATGCATTAGTAGTCGCTTGAGTCACACCCTCTGTCACAGATGCATAAGTTGTAGCTGCTGTCACACCTTCAGTCACTGATACATTAGTTGTAGCTTCTGCCACATCTTGAGTTACTGATACATTAGTTGTAGCTTCTGTCACAACTTCAGTAACTGATGCATAAGTTGTTGCCTCTGCCATACCATCGGTCACTGATGCATTAGTTGTAGCTTCTGTCACATCGTTAGTTACTGATACATAAGTAGTAACCTTTGTCACATCTTCAGTCACTGATGCATTATTCGTGGCTTCTGTCACACCTCCAGTTACTAATGTATCAGTTGTATTTTGTGTCACACCTTCAATCATTGATATATTAGTTGTAGCTTCTGTAACAGCTTCAGTGATGGATATATTAGTCGTGTTTCGTATTGTAGTATTTGTTGCTGATACAGAAGTTGTCGGTTCTGTTAGAATAAAAATACAAATAAAATTTTAGTTTGTCGATAAGTTATGCTTTTTCATATTTACAATTTCATAATGATTTGGTTGTGTCATAAAATTGTATTTTAGTCTGGAAGGATAAAACTAAAGCCAAGTTGTACAGATATGTTAAAAAATCTATCACTTTTTATTAAGGAGGCATGGTTATTTGAATCTATTTTCTGAACTGATAAAATGATGGAGCAATCTAGTATGTTGGGATTAAGAGTCTCATTTCTTATCTTTAAGTAGCGGGAATCAACTGTAAGTTTATCTATGAACATAAAACGACAATGGTATTGTAGTATTAAATATTTCAAGTGTTTATTTACGATAAAACTGAATCATCATTAATAGCAAGATTGCGACATCACTTATGGAGTACAAGGTTATGCGCATATCGCGAAAAAATTCTATTTCATTAATTGAAAAATATAAAAAAGATGGCGTAATTCGCAATAGCGGCACTCTTTTACCAAGCTTTTACCAAGATGGGGGAAGCTTTTCGCAAGGGGGGGGGGGGGGGGTATTTTTGACAGTTATGACTAAACAAACATGCGAAAAGTGCTCAGAATGGTGTAAAACAGCATGATTTTTAAAAATATATATTAGCCAGAGAAAGCGAGCCCTTTGGATAAAGGATGCATATTGCGTTAATCACACATTTGTTAGACTGCTATTTCAGTGTGCATGCATCTTCGCAGGGTTCGGAAAATATCAGATTTTGACATTATTCTATCCGCGATAAGGAAGGCTATTAAATTCTGATAAGAATTCTGGGACAGGTTCATTTTCATGACCAGGTTTGGTTTACTGTGCTAGTTAGGTTTACTAAAAAATAATTTAAAATATCTTTCTAATGATTCCTAGCACATTTAAGTGGTCTAACAAACTAAATGTGCGACCTAACGATTTATCTACCATCATATGAATTAATTCTAATTCGCTATCTTCAATTGTGACAAACAACTCTATGATCAATTGTTCAAACAAAAGTAATAGGGTGGGGGTTGGTTGTGATAGCACTAATACCATGTGAAAATAGTCCAATCAATTGAACAGATAACTAAATCTTATCTAGCTATGGACGTGTCAGTTAGGTAACTTTGTTACTTTGCCTTGTGATATTCCAATGGAAAGCCGAAATAGGACCTTCTTTAATATACGTACATAGCCGATCAATTAACGTTGACCCAGATGATGGAATAGAATAAAGACCACAATAAAAAAACTAAGCCTACAGTCCGAGGCAGTGAAACTGTAAAGCCTCGGTCACGCCTGCTAGACCCGCTGCTAGAACGCCGGGTGTCGGTGTAGCAGCTCAAAGAACCGATACAGAAAATGAACATCGTACTACTTATTCCTATAGTTCATACTATATATTTCTCTCGATTTTTGGGAAGCTACGGCCGCCGTACGGTTGCCGCAGATGAAGTGTGACTGAGGCATTAGTCTATCAAACCTAAAGTAAGCAATCGATTCAAATGACCACAGTGCGATACAAAAATACATGCATAATTTAGATACAATTCTATTTTGATGACATGTTACGTGACATTCTATTAACGAATTATAAAGGCTGAAACTCCCTTTACAAGATCCTCAGGTTTTCTTTACTAAGATTGCGTTCTTCCGTAAAACATTGCACTGTGGTACTGCTTGCTTATATTTGGGCTTGATTTAACCTCCATGATATATTTTCTCTGGTACGTAACGAATGAATAGTTTATTGCACTTTTAATGATTTATGGATCATATGACACGATCGATCTCTCTCAACTCTTGGTGACGACCACTCTATGTTTTACACAATTTAAACAAACATACTCAACGTGGATACTGAAGAGAAGTGAACGGATTTAATAATTTACGACTTTTAAAGTTAAACTTGTATTGTCGCTCATAACCTAGACACAATTACGCTGGGCCATCTAATTTTTAATGATTTGTCAAGAACGTTTATCAGCTTATTTGAATGTTCGCTCTGACCTAATAAACTTTCTTACATTCAACTTGACTCGAGTAGCATGAAGTATTGCTGCCGTTTGATGTTCATTGCTTTCTATTGCTTCCCTACTTCTTGGGTGTACAGGGTCGTTAATAATGCATTGGGCAACCATGACAGTCACTGTATTAGACCATATGTCGTTATTTCAAACATAATCTAATTAAACTAACAATTGCATGATTAATCTACGCCTAGGGTTTGTGAATGTCGATATGGATATCATTTATTTATTTTTCGATTTAGGTGATAATCATAATCTGTGAATTACTACTGTACCACGAAGCATGTTTGATCTAGTAGAGGCACATTGAATAGGCCATTCATAATCGAGGTCGTTCGTTGTGAATCCCGAACCAGGGACGCATCGAGTTGGCTTTCTTGAAATATGTAGAGTTGGAAAGAATGGTCGAGCTGCATTCAGCATATCAACTGGTAGTTCTAAACAGGCCTACGCTATTGTCCCAATGATTCAAAAGCGTTATACAGAAAATTATAGTAAAACTGCTCTGGTCAGTAGTTCACGTGGAACATGATGCCCCTGCTGTGCTTCATTTTCGTGACTTGCCCCAATTTACTCGTTTTAAATTGAAAGTATAGTGTGTGATAAATGAAATGAGTAAAAATGGATAGACCCTTGTGACGAATTAGTCTTGCCTCAAGACTTTGTACCCCCCCCTGTACTTCACTTTCCCAATTATGAATAAATAGCATTCTGCAATGTCATACTGGTAATGGTATACATTGACATTTCATAATGGTGGAGATAACAAATGATATTAAGAGCATAAAAGCTCCTACAGTCTCGGCTGATTGTGTGAAAAATAAAATGGTAAAAACGAGAAGAATCTATGAACGGGTCACTGTTACAGTGTGAAAGGACATGACGAGAATAATACGACTACTAACATAACCATACTCGCTTACCAGTTTGATTTCCAAACGTCCTACCTTGGTAATCCAAGATGAACAACGATGAGAAGAATCGCGAACATGAGAACGTGAGACTGACGAATGTTAGTGGCCCGGGTTAGTGGAAGATATTGATAAACTGGGGGAGATAAGAAAAGCACGTGGTTATAGTTTGACACATTTTGTTGACGAATACAATTGTAATTATGGTGACATGATGATTAGTGATGTGACAACATCAATATCATAGTGCTTAATATTTGTACATAATCTTCATCTTGGACATAACCTCTTGTCTGCAATTATTGAAGCTTGAAAAAAGTATGTACTGATTTCCTTTTAAAATTGAAAAGGGTGCAAGAAGGTTCCATGGGGAGTAAGCCCCCCCCCCTCCTATTATTCCCTATATAAAAGGGTATGACAAATAGGGGAGGTCTCAAGCTATTGATTACGTACCATTATGAATTTAAATATGTATGCATTAGTACCAAAGGAGAAAGGACCAAAAATTGTTACAGAACACGGCAAGAAAAGGAAAACATCCAAGAGTACACCAATCATAAGGAAAACACAACTATCCCAAACCGTATTTTAAAGTGAAAAGAAACAATGTCTAATACCAAATCTGCCGCCATTCAAGTTCCATTATCACAATCCAGGACCATAGCACCAAGGGACATTTCATTCATACTGAATGTGAAGTCATAACAGTAAATGAAGAAAAGTTTGAACTGATAACCAATACTCGCAACATCACAAATAGTTGTAGATACTTAAATAGTATATAGGATTCGATTTAGTCTCAAATGATGTGGAACAAAATTAAGTCTCGAAATTCATAAGCGTATATGGTCAACATCCATCCGCAAAGCCGATTCAATGTCAATAAAACACATATTTCACAATGGTCATCGGGAGGAAACCATAGCTATGGTTTAGTTCTCAACCATTAATAGCATAGCCGGGACCCTACTTTAAAGGTGCCTAAATGAACACACTGTGAGTTCGTTGCAAATCTGAAAATTCCAACATCCCCGACCATGTCAAGTGGCAAAACTTGAAACATCAAAACTAGTGATTTATATTTCTAAGTAAAGCCCTAGAAAGTGTTTCTTAACTTGTTTTTTTTGTATAATCTTGACCAACAACATGCTGGGTTCAATCGAATATCGCTATCCAGTTATTAATACATGTTCAAGAACTCAAGAACATTTCCTACTTTTTAGTTTTGACCTAAGATAATTATTTTATTTATTTCATTTCATATATATTATTTATATCATATGATATCATTTTTACTCTAGACATTTCCTTTTGTATTGATCTTGAGAAATAGTTAGACTGAAGTAAGTGATGCGAAAACTTCGATTCTTGGTTTAAGTCCGATTCTTGTATACACGATGGTACTTTAGTTGCATAAACGTTCTGTTAAAACAGGATATAAAACATGTTTAATGTTGTTGGTGATGCTAAACTATTAGATTAATTAAAAAAGTCAATTGAAATAAAAAATAAGGTAAATATTTACAAATAATGAATATGTCAACAAGACGACACGAGGCTTACAATTCTCTCTTTCCCATTATTCCAATGACAAATTGACTATATTAATAACCTTGCAAACAAAAATAATCGAAATAGACCATTTCTATCGATTTCATTGTATTTATCCTTTTATAAAAACGAAACTGATAGTTCTATTCTAAACTCGCTGGAGGGTAATTATTTACCGTGGCCATTCATTATGTGTGGGATAATATTGTCTCCTAGCAACATATGAGGTCGCCATGACAATATTCCATAGCTTATTTTACCTGAGATATATATTGTATAAATACTGGAGACTGAAAGCGCCCCGTATCACCTCTGAATCAAGATCCACTTGACACTATTATATACATGTATATTCTTTGTCATTTTGTTGCAAAAAGCAAACGCCTTCGCCAAATAAGAATCACATATTGACAGGACGTAGCTTTGTCAATCAAATCATCTTATCCTCGATCGGCCATGTATGGAGTACATGTCTCTCTGAGCACGTGGTAGAACTGAAGTTCCATTGTTTTATAGGACAAGTTAACAAGATAAGTGGTTAATAGCAGTTCCTGTTTGAAAAAAGTTTGCCCACTGCGAGTTGTACATTTAAAAATTTCAATAATTCCCAAGGCTTTTTGAGGGGATCATCAATCTTTGATATCTTGGTACTATATTTGATAGCGAAAAGGACACATCAATTAGAAAATCTCAAATATGCTCGAAACTGCTACACACATGTTTATTGTCATGGGCCTTCATTAGTTCTCCGCTTCTTTATCTTAAAAATCATGTAAAATACCTGAAAACTCGAAATTCACACATCTTAGACAGCTCCATCGATGAATCAAAATATGCCATACATAGTTAAACGTATATTGTAAAGGTTATCATGCACTTAACTGTAACAAGGGATTTTATCAGGTGTTATATTGAATCACGAACATAAATTGTTATCATATGTAATTAAATAATTTATATTTATCAGAATTGGGGTTGTTCTTTATATTGCACCAATAGGATGTACTTTAAATTGTTAGTCTAGCATTTTAAAGGTACATTTATAAGTTAGACCTTGAAATTCGAGATTGAAACTTAATTAGGATGTTTCTATGCATCATCTTTCTTGTAAATCAGATCAATGTCTGATTTATCTATTTTTGTATTACTCTTAGTGTTGACTCGCATGTCATTTTATATTAATAATACACAAATAAATGAGTACATGTATATAAGATCTGCAATATTATGGCAGTGGCTTGTGCGCCGATGGATTACATGTGTTGTACAATATTGGCCATTGGGGGTTGTTCATGAGTACCTGATCGGGGCTTAACCCAATAAGGCTTTATCTCAGATCTTTAATTCTTTATGTATGAAGTGTGTCTGATTTTCCGACTCGATGTGACCGTTCTCATTGCAATGCTCCATCTCTGATATGATGGCATAAAAAATGTTTAATCGATCTGATGGGAAACAATTATTGGCTTGGTGATTTCGTTACCTAATATTGGATTTATTCAGTAATATGACAGCAGATATATTTATGTCACTTCAAGTAATATTCTATTAATTTCTAGGTATTTTGTTTTCAATATTCTTAGCATATTAATAAAGAAAGTATTCCATATTAGCCTCGTATACTGTAATTACTAAGGTATTCCTCAATCGCCAATTAATCACTGCATCAAAGGCTTGCGTCTGGAAAGCTAACTAGAACGCAACCATGGTGGTATATACTGTACACCTGTAAAAATCAGCTCATAAAAAATTAATGCAAAACTCATCACTCACCTGTGCTCTGTGCCTGAACTAATTGAATGTTGATTATGAGAATATTGCACAATAGGTAGAATACTCCTAATTTGAACGTCCGTCTTGTAATGTTTTTTATAAAATCCATTTTCAAACCACGTGTATTTGTAATGCATGTCCCGACCGACATCCTTGCTGAGTTGCTTGTTCGGCTAATATGAGATTTGTTGAAACGGTACCAATATTGGTTGTATTTGAAACCACATGGGCCCTAGGTATTGTCGACTGTCGAGACTTGAGCAATATGTAAGACCACAAAGTAAGGGTGTCAACTAATATAACAGCCTTCAATCTAATATTTCTTCCTATTACTATGACAGGTAATCCTAAGGTATGCAGGTATCTTATCTTTGAGTGGCCACCCCCTATTTGAGATTGCAACTTCTATTTCAATTCGTACGATTGTTAATCACTTCTGTGCGGAGTTCCTAATTCGACGAAGCCAAACCCTTTTGAACTGGGCTGTGTCTTTAGATGAGGTGACCAACCGTTACTCATTGGCCTCTATTGGCTTCTATTTTCACCCTTACCACAGTTCCTGTCCAGGTTTGGCATCAATTTAATGTTTGCGTGTCGTTCATAATTTTTGAAATTCTACACCGTCTATTGTTACGAGCAAAAAACTAAACAAATATAATATTAGTAGTTGTTTTATCCGTTATGTAGCCAATTGATTTTTATACGAGAGTATAGTATTATTTTTCGTACAGGAGAGTAAAAAATACCTGAACGGGTTATTCATTAAACATGAATGATATAGAGTGTAGGAGATATTGAGACAGTTATAAGATATGACGATGTAATCCCCTACTTAGCCCGACGAGGACAGAGTGAGTCTTACAGTGCAGCATAACCTAGTAGCATACTTAAGGATATGATTTATATCTACCTAATATTATAGGATTAATCAGCAAAATAAATTCTTGCGATTGTCGAATAGTGAACAATAGTCCGACCTACATTTTCGGACCACCTCTGAATACCTCCATTCATTATAATTTGTTCCAATAAACTGTTCAGTTGTTACTATTAAAAAGCGAGCAGCCCTTTTATTGAAATAACTGAATACAGTTTAAATAGTATTTGGGATAGAATTACGTGTATCTCATTTCCGGACTTTTTCATGTATTGAATTTTTGTGATCTTTCTATAATACCACTTTTCAGACATTTCGTGCTATATTGATCATGAATCAAAACTATTTAAAGCCATTTAATCTCAATTTTGAAGAGGGGTTTTATGTAAATGTCCCAAATTCTTAAGAAACTAATTTTGAAGATTGCTTTTTGACTTTTAAAAGCTTGACATTTCTTAAGCCAAAGTCTTTTCAGGATTTAAAACCACGTTTAAAGCATCGTTGTTTATAAGTTACGTTAAGCCCCCGAAGTTTAATTGTCTTTAATAAATAGTTTCTGCAGAAAATGCAAGTTGTTTAATATTTTGTACTCCATGCTAAATGGGAAATAAAGAGATATGATAATTAACAGACGTTTCAAAATGAAGCAATGCTCACTTCAGCTGAAAGTGATTGAACACATTTATACATGTATATAACACAATAACGCAATTTTACGATAAAGTTCGATATATTTGACTCGGCACATTAGTGATCATTTTAGATGAAAACAATACATTTGAAAATATCAAAACGCCTCCAAACCCTCGACAATCGTCCTGCAGTGTCATTGTCTAGAGCTCGAGGTCGAAATTGTTGAAATTGCCACTAAAAGTCTGCGCTCGCTTGCTTAGCAGAGATGCATTTTCTTCGTGATCACTATCAGAGATTCAAAAATCGAAACGGGCAAAGTGCTCAAATGGACCTGAAACGTATTGATCGCAAGGACACAAATGTACATTTAGATACGTGTTGTATCATTTATTACAGAGTCATTTCAATTGTGTTGTGGCGTCAATAAAACCTGAAAATTAATAAGCAATTGTCGTTTTAGACTGTGATAATGTTCCTGAATAATGGGGGGGGGCTGTTTCTTTACACGTTAGATCATTGTTTTGGGATATTTTAGGTTTGTTTTCCTTATGACTGGTTGTACATGTAACTCTTTGTTTTGTAACACTTTTCGTCTTATCCCTTTGGCTGTATGTTAATATTTTTGCATCGTAGTATTTTACAATCACGGCAAATACACCTAATAAGGAACGGGAAATTTTACAAACGTTTACAGTAAAATTTCAAATGTTGGAGACTAAGTTTTGTATATTTGAGCTTCTCTTGTAGCTTGGCTATCATATGTGTGGCCTCTTATATTTTGATGTTTCTCTGAAACTCCCTAAATAGTACAAAATGCCGTAGCTTTGCCGCACATTATACATAGCTATCTGAAATATACTGTTGCAATATAGTCATTTGATTGCTTATTTGTTGAATTCAAAGTAGTTCCAAACATTTAAAATGTTACTATAATTACATAAAGTATGTATCAATTATCATAATAAGGTGATCAATTATGAAGCGCTGTTGGGTACTGTTGCATTGAATTAGTTTGAATTTAAAATATTTATTTTTCAGGGAACTTTATTCACATGATGATGTACCTCATTTGTGAAATCATATAAAAGGAATAATGGCTGAGACTAACATAAAAATGTATGATGGTCTCAGATAATGATATGCAACTGATTAGGAACACATTATGACTAAGGATGAAGAAAAGATTATGACTAAGCTTTATTTACATTTGGATTTATTCAACCCATTCAAAAGTTGTCCACCTGTACTGGTACAGGTATTCAGCTTCATATAAACCATACAACATAATACAATACATACCTACTCGTATAAAACAACCACAAGGTTGAATGTGTGTATAACACGTGTACACTAATACTAAAGAGTACACTTGCAGTAACGTCGTGGATATAGGTAGGGCAATGCAAGAGGGTGTGGAACGTAACGTTGATAGTGTGACATAAGTAGAGACTGACGGCAAAGGAGTAGATTAAGAAGGCAGTTTGTTGTTGGAATACGGTCCTCGTGATGAGGTAAGGTAACAATTAGATAACATGCCCTTGTAGATGAAATAAAATGCTAAATAAATGCCAAAGTGGGTAAAGATGAGTGGTTTGATATATAAATGTATCAGACAACTTGTTCTTGAGTATGGTATTGGGTAAATGGTGGTCATCCAGTGATCCATTAATTATAGCCAATCATCTTGGGGAAAGTCAGAGCTTTGAATGAAGTACATAAGGAAGGTAAAATATAATATCCTTGAATTTGAATATGAAATATCCCCGGGAAAGATCCGACAATCAAATATTAATTCAAATCACTTTGACGTAGTTACTAGAGTCATGTTACACAGGACCACTCCTTTAAGATCAAAAACGTTGCGTATAAGTTGTGGCAGGCCCCGGGTGGCAGGCATCCAGTTCTCCCTCTCGCATTTCCACTCCTGGATTCCCAATATAAACATTTTGGTCATAGACCCTACTTGATATTGACGATTTTCGAGCAATATAATTTCATAATCAAAAATAACTGTAATGTTCAAAGTTGTTGATTTTCTTTCTCAGAGATATTTATTTTTCTTTTTGACGTTTCGTAGGATGTCCATCCTACTTCTTTAGAAATAAAATTATATTTGAATCAAACTGAAATAATTAATTATTACATAACAATGAGACAAATAGCAACCGTTACTATAGAAAACTTCATTGATGTTACAATTAAAAAATTATTGAGAAAAATAGCAACCGTTACCATAAAAAAAAATAAGAAAGAAAGAAAATCAACAACTTTGTACATTACTACCAGAGAGATGAACATTCATAGAACTGTAATATTGTAATTTTGGAAAAAGAGCAAATTACTTCTATGACTAACCACTCGTCGTCACGAAAAGTTTTCAACGTAAATAGTTTCAAAAAGTGTGACATGAATTGTTGAAATTAATCTCCGTGCAAAATTGATTTTTTTATTTACACGTCCCACCTCAGTATTTACCCAAATAAACTCATTTATAAAGTGCAGCCTTTGTGAACATGGGTAAGACAAAGATAAGCAGTCTAAATTGTCAAGGCTTGAATGATCAAAAGAAAAGAGCCGACGTTTTTGATTACTTAAAGAAGAAAAAATTCGATATCGTTTGCTTACAAGATATTCATACAACAAATGAATCTGCTAAAAACTTCGAACAAGATTGGGGCGGTGAGGCTTATATCAGTTCGTGCAGAAGTAATAGTCGTGGGGTCGGTATTTTCTTTGGGCAAAATTTTGACTACAAAGTTTATGATTCCAAAATCGATAAGGATGGTAACTTTGTGATTTTAGACATCCAAGTTGAAGATAGAAGATTCACCTTAGCTTCTATTTATGGACCAAATACAGACACCCCTACATTTTTCACAGACCTTAAAACAAAATTGGAACATTTTGAAAATGCATCTTTGTTAATTACTGGTGATTGGAATTTAGTAATGGATCAAGAGCTAGATACATTTAAATATAAACATATAAACAATCCAAACTCTAAAAAGAAAGTGAAAGAATTATGCAATCATTTCGATTTATTTGATATTTGGCGGGAACTTCACCCAGAAGAAAAAAAATTCACATGGTTCAGACGAAAGCCGCGCCAAATGGCAAGACTAGATTTTATGTTGTGCTCTGATGATTTCATCAACTTGACAATAAACTGTAATATTTTACCTGGATACAGATCAGATCATGATATATTAACATTGTCTCTCGAAAACGGAATTCCAGAAAGAGGTCGAGGATTTTGGAAATTTAATGTCTCGCTCCTTAAAGATCCAGCCTACATTATCATTGTTAAAGACTCTATTGAGAGAATTAAAGAACAGTACGCGCTAGCTGACGACATCGCTGAAGATTATACTGAAATTGATATCGCGGTTAATAATCAACTTATGTTCGAAATGTTAAAACTAGAAATAAGAGGTCAGACAATAAAATACTCAACGCGGAAAAAGAAACTTCGAGAAAAGATCCAACGCGATCTAGAGTTAAAAGCCGAGTCTATTGAAGCGGATATTCAAAATACTTTAAACTCAAACGAAGAAATTTCAATTAGCAACGACCTTATTGAATCTAAATATCAAGACCTGGAAAACATTAAATCTGAAATGAAAGAATACAGAGAAAATCAAATCAAAGGTCTAATGACACGGGCCAATCTTGATTGGTACGAACATGGTGAGAGAGCCACAAAATATTTCAGCGCTCTTGAAAAGAGAAATTATGTTAATAAGGTAATATGTCAAATAGAAACTGACGGTCAACTTATTTCAGATCCAAAACTCGTGCTAGAAGCTCAAAGGGCATACTATGAAGATTTATACTCGAGCAAAATTGAAAGCAATGACGAAAATTATGATGTTTTTCTCTCTGACAACGCTCTCGGGTCTTTAAAAGACGAGGAGAAACAATTTTGTGAAGGTAAGTTGAACGAACAAGAGCTAAAAGAATCCTTAAAAAATAGTAAAAATGGAAAATCACCCGGCTCCGATGGTTTTAGCGTGGAATTTTACAAGTTTTTCTATAGAGATTTGGGGCAGTTTTTATTGAACTCGCTGAATGCAGCTTTTGTTTTGGGTGAACTCTCTATAACACAGAAACAAGGTATTATTACATGTAAGGTTCCAAAAGGGAACAAATTGAGAAAATTATTAAAAAATTGGAGGCCAATTACTTTACTTAACTCTGATTATAAGCTTCTTAGTGCCTCACTTGCAACCAGAATGAAAAATGTTCTGCCACAAATTATCTCTCTTGAACAAAAAGCATATCTGCCTGGTAGAGAGATGGCGGAGAACACCCGCCTTGTATTTGATATAATGGATCATTTAAATAGAAAGCAACAAGCTGGTTTAATATTATTAGCAGATTTCGAGAAAGCTTTTGATAGTATTGAGTGGTCTTACCTTGATAAATGTTTGAAAAGATTCAATTTTGGCGAAAGTTTTATACGATGGTATCATGTTCTTTATAATCGATCCGAAAGTTGCGTCATAAACAACGGCCATTTTTCTACTTTTTTTCAATTAAAACGAGGCTGCCGGCAGGGGGACTCCTTGTCGTGCTACTTATTTATACTAGCTCTAGAACCTCTCTGCATGAAAATTAAGAATGATAATAGTGTAAAAGGTGTCCAAATCTTTGACAAAACAATAAAAACGGGTATGTACGCAGATGACACCTTTGTGATCCTTGACGGAACACCTCCATCCTTGAGAACATGTATTGACATTTTTCAAAAATTCCATTGTGCGTCTGGCTTAAAATTGAACGTTGATAAAACCTCAGCTATTTGGATTGGAAGCAAAGCAAATTCAGATGAGAGATTATGTAAAGATATTTCTTTGAAATGGGAAACGCAATTTAAACTATTAGGTTTGCAACTGCCTTCCGACCTACGAAATGTAGAAACGCTGAACCTCGAATCGAAATTGACAGAAATGCAAAGTGTAATTAGCAAATATAAACGACGGAATCTATCTCTACTTGGGAAAATAACGGTTTTAAAGTCTTTTGTTTTACCAAAAATAGTTCATTTGATGCTGGTTTTACCCAGTATATCGGGTGAGTTCCATAAACGAATTAAAAACCTTTTTACTACATTTATTTGGAATTCCCCAGTCTCTAAGGTAAGTTTTTCTCAATTGGTCAAAGACTACAAAGACGGGGGTTTAAGAATGATCGATCCACAACTATTTGAAAACTCATTAAAACTAACATGGTTGCAAAAATTACTTAGAAATGGCACCTGGCAAGATATTGCCATAAAAACTTTAGGGCTGGAATCAGGTAAGGAGCTATTTACATACGACACGAAATCATTACAAAGAATTGAATGTAGCGTTTCAAATACGTTTTGGAGAAGTTTTACTCGTGCCTTTCAACATTACACCCAAATTCAAGAGCGTATTGTAGAAAATAATCAATTTCTTCACGCGGAGAATATTTTGTGCAATTCCTGGTTAAAATATACGAGAAACGAAAATGTTAAGGTGATCATTAAAGAAATTAAAGGCGCAAAAGAAATACTTGTACTCCGAGATATGTTTCAGCCGAATAAACAAGTTCTTAACCTTAACGAATTTAACCAAAAATTTAAGGCAAAGTTAAACTTCCTGGACTTTTTATCTTTAAAAAACTCAATACCAAATGATTGGATTAAGACAATTTTAACTTGTGAACATAATATGAATGAAACCCGTACGGTTAAAAAATACTTGAATAAGTTTCTATCTCATTCAAAAATATGTAAACAAATCTACTGGGAATTTATCAAAAGTATACCAATAAACGGCACCTATTCGGAAAAGTGGAATATCGATTTAAATACAACAATTGAAACAGGAGACTGGGAAATAATAAATAAAATGAACAAAATAAGCAATTTCGAACCTAAACTTGCATCATTCAACTATAAAGTAATACATAGATTTGTTACGACCAACAAATACTTAAAGATGTGTGGTCTAACAGACTCTGATATGTGCACTTTTTGTCGGATACATGTAGAAACAATATGCCACCTTTTTCATGATGATTGTGCAATAGTCCAGAACCTTGTACAAGATATAAAACAATGGCTCCCAAAAGAATATGAGCATTTCTGTAACAAGCAAACTATCATATTAGGACCAAATTTAATGACCAAAGAGGCGGTTGTTTTAAATAACGTTTTTAGTATTTTTAAAAGATATGTATTCCTATGTAAACATTCTAGAGTGAAACCAACATTTAGAGGTTTAAAGTTAAATGTATTAACCTACTACAAACTAGACATAAGTGTTGGAAGAGGAGATAAATGGGATCCTCTAAACGATATACTTTCGACTGATTTTCCTTGATAATTAAGCATAATTGACTTTACAACGTGTATGCATCTATTTCGATATATTCGATTCTGTAAACATTATGTGACAAATATGTAGCTGTTCTTGACTTAAATAAATATATATTAAAAAAAAACAAAAAAACTCATTTATAAAAGGATTTGTCCAATGGGGTTAAGTGGTTGACCCGTGTATTTTACATTAAACGTTTTTAACATTCAATGTAAATGGTTAATGCCAACTTAAATTTTGATACGTTTCCATTATTAGGCTAACCCAACATATTACATCCTTAATGTGACAACTAAGATGCGTTTACTAATATGGTCAATCTAGTTTAGCTCTATCTAAAAGAGAGATTCATCGACATGTACCCGTGCATGTACAAAGTAAGTACTCGGCGCTGGGCCTAATTGTATCAAATCAATGATACACATAACAACAGTGTACCATCTTACATCATTATTTGGCAAGATGGATATAAGTGATAGATGATTCAATATCAAATAATGAATGTGTTATCATATGATTTTGAATGCGTTTATTAAGGTTGAATTCTAAATACTTAAAGTAGACTGGTAGACATGGTAGATGAATGTCTTATAATTTGTTCTTTCAATTTATATTACTGATTTTGGATATAAAATAGAACGGAATTAACGATTTTGGTCTGATTTTTTACTGTATTGCAACATTTCAAAATGCTTAATATAACTGCTTGCACTTTTCGATGTGGGGTATTCAGTTGGTTGTTTATATTTCTGTAATATATTGGCTATTCTGCCACATGTGCAGATTCACTATTATTTGATAAAAGATTAGAGACGCCTCAAACGAATGTTTAACAACGATTTAAAGGATAACTTGGGTACACTATTATTTTACAGATGTGTTTGATTTCTCGAAAAACCCGCTTATAGATCAAAAATTGTAGTGCAAAGTGCTCATCAAATGTTCTTAATTGGCTATGATGTGGCAAAGTAAATGTAACACATAGTCTGTGGTAAGGAAAATGGTGGGACCAATTTGGACATAAAAGTCTAACGAAAACAATATACGAAGGAATGTCGCAATAGAACGTATTCTTGAGTTTTTTATGGATCAACTATTTAATTACATTTCATAAGGAAGATGTCTTTATGATTAAGTTGGCCTTTAGCACAGTAATTGAAATAGGAAGTGTAAACCACACTGAGCTCTACATTTATGGATATTTTGTTTACTTTGTCGCCAGCGTGACGATATTTGAATGATTAATTTATCAATTGTTTTTCTTTTTTCTTTCAGGTCCAGACTTTTCGACAAATGTGATATATCATGTGTGAAATATGACTTGACCCCTAGGAAATGTTCCTGCTAATGTTCCGGTATCAATACACCTGACTTTCATGACTTGATATTCATTTATACAGTTACACTTAATGCAATGTAAGAGGATTGACAAGTAAAACATGATGAGAATGCGAAAATGCAGGATTGGACTAGTGGTAGATGTGGTATTGATACTCCTAATATTGATCTTAGGCTCATTGTTCATGTTCAGGAAAAACAATGTTGTCTCTAGCGATTACGCGTCCCCACCAAAGTTACAATTGAACATACAAGGGGATAACACCCCTCTATATATCCACCAGGGTACTACCAGATACACGTCCGAAGAGTTGCACAAACCTACACTATGGAAAGACGCTTCCAAAAGCAACATTTATATTCACCTACCACGGGTATGAGTTTTACGATCTCAAAATAACGCTTAATATACTTCTACAGCGCACACCAAAGGAACTGATTGATGAGATTATAGTTGTTGATGATGGTACCACAGTGGAGTACATACGTAAAGACTCTGAGTCTTTCCTTAGTCAGTACCAAACGTTGAGAGTTATAAGAAACAGTGCAAGATTGGGCCCGGCAAGCTCTCGTTTGAAAGGCGCTCACGAGGCCAAGCTTGGAGCCACTCTTGTGTTTTTAGACCATAATGTGGCGTGTAACGAAGGCTGGCTAGAGCCTCTACTGCACGAAGTGGAGCTTGATTCCTCCACGTTGGCCACACCACTCTTTGACAGCCTGGCAGATGCAATGACGATGAAGTACATGCCCTCGGGAGAGAACTTAACACATGTCTTCACGTGGGGTATGCGAACAGTATCATATATGACTCAACAATACCCAAGCGTCTCTAGCATACGCTCAACTGTGGTCATGCGTGGTCACGTCTTTGCAGTGCAGAACGAGTTCTTCCAGAAAATTGGAGGGTATGACCCAACGATTGAGCTCGGAGGAGGAGAAAACCTGGAGCTATCGTTCCGGACTTGGATGTGCGGGGGCAATATTAAAGTTGTCCCTTGCTCTCGGGTCGGTATTCTCGCTCTCAATCATCCCCTTGAAATAACTAATGGGAACAACATCAAGCGCATCGTTGAACTGTGGATGGGCGACCGTAGGGGGTTGGTGCTACGCGATAAACCAGATGCAGACATTGTTAAATCAGTTCAAGCGCGTAAATCTAGTCTAGAGACTTTGAAATGCCATGATTTTTCATGGTTTCTTAATGAAGTGGCGCCATTCCTGGAAACACCTAAACATATACCTAATCAATTTGGAACCCTGTATGTAAAAAGTGGCTACTGTGCGAGAAGGAGCTCAGATAACAATCTCCAGTTGGGTGAGTGTAGAAAGAACGAATATAGCCCAAATTCGGTGTTCCATCTCCATACAAACGGAAAGCTATTGTGCGGAGGAAATTGTCTCACATTGACTCACTCTAGATTTATCACAGTCCAACCCTGCAGGGAAGGTGACGATAAACGACAACATTGGAAATACGAAGACACTGGGGAAATCACCACAAAGGACCCACATAAGGAGGGTGATAAACTTTGCATGATGCACGTCACGGACCCCGATACCGCAAATCATGGGCGGCAGATACTCATGGTCCAACATTGCCACATTGGAGCAAATCATGATTTTCAAAAATTTGTTTTTAATGTTTTCTAAAAGTGATAAATCATGTAAATTGCGTATTTCAATATTTTACTTACGATCCTTATTTTATTTTTGAAAATAACAATTGAGATATCTGATCAAATATAGATGTTATTAAGATGATTTCATCAAGGTAATGATTGCAGTGGCTCACTATGTGAGCTAACATTAATAAAATTGATATAGGATACAATTGATATGATAGTTTTGTTTTGTTTTGATATTTTATGAATGAAGAAGGTCCCACGTGAGATCAGTCTCAATTCAAAACACCCTCATATACCATACAGCTCAAACCCTTAAATAATTTTCAATATCATTATAACAAAAATTCCTTAATTCCTCAGTAGATTTCAAGTTAAGACACCCAAATAGCACAACCCCTCAACTATACTAAGTTCAGACCTCCTAGACTTCCTCTTACGCGATCATATAGTTCCGACGTCGAACCACACAGTTTTGTGATTCGCGATGTGGTAACTCAGTTAGCGAGTGGGGAAATAAGTTCGAAAAAGATAAAATGACGGTTCGCGACTAAAGAATCGATATTATTGGAACAGATGATCGCGTTAGTGGAAATCTAGGAGGCCTGAAGTTGCAATTCCCTGATATCACTAATCTCTAAACTCATAGGTATGTTCAAGTACCAACATACCATGATGGACCCCATCTCATCCACCCATCTACCCCCTTCATCTTAAACTTGAGAGCACTTTTATTCATTTATCAAGTTTCAGATTTGATTAGCACCCTTCCAATAACATTTGGGATATTTTGTTCGTCTAAACTTTATGCAGTTCGCTTATTTTAAAAATATACCCTTCACGAACATAGGACTGGTAAACCATGTACCAGTTATCTATTCAGTTACGTCGTGTCACTTTCCCTCTACGAATTCGAAGTGTGTAATTGAATATCATAAAACCCTCATCAGAAGTCTTACCATCACCTCATTTTGACTCATTTACTTTATTAAAAAGATTAAAATATACTATTCAGAGATGTTTATACTGTAGCATGTAATTAGAGTCTATTCACGAACTGTTCCACCTGTAGAGCAGCATTGAGACATGATGCCTGATAAATTATAACTAAATGAATATTGAGCTTTTTTTTCAATGATTAATTTCATGATTTAGCAATGAGTTTTTGATACCATATTGGTCTAAATAAAATCCATTTTTCAAAACAAACCTTTCGGTTAAGCCTTTTAAGAAACAAGGACTTAATGAATCAATCAAATGAAATCATTAGAGTATGTTCCACATTCACCCGATTTGAGTATATTTCATTAGTTTGTTTTTATATTTGTTTTGCATGATAGCCTCATGACCAATATACATATTTACCCAGGAATAGAGGGATCCGCCGACATGGTTTAAATGTCATGTTCCGTCAACTAATTACTCCCTATTAGGAACGTCTGAGCTATAATGATAAATAATATAAATATAAAAAGGGCTAGATTGTCAATATTTGATGTCTGGAAACATTTCGTAATTTTAGTTATTTTTAAACTGGTTCAAAATTACAGTAACTTCACCTAAGACATATAAGTTATTTATATGTTTCAAGCCTGGTGTACATTGTATCAGCCCAATATACATAAGTGATCAAGACACCCTATAATATAAGCACATCTTTGATTTTGATGAAGTTGCAACGTTTTGACAAGATTGGACATACAAGTATAACACAATAAAAACACTATATTTGTTTATGTTTTACATTTATTGTGCATTTTAAAATTATTTACATCTTTGCATTTATTTTGTGAATGCATTAACTGAGCTTTAACATAGGACAAGTACATATAGTAATTTCCCTTATATTGCAATGGCTTTTTGATGCACATTTACCACCTAGAATATATCACATGATCAAATTGTTCAACAAGGAATACCATTGGAAAAGAATCAGAAATTATTAAAGTAAATAATTAGAATGTCAAGTTGACACAAGACACACTTTTAATAAACTAAGATTTGTTTTTATTTCTCTGGAGACAAGCTGTGAAAATAATTAATCATTGTGATTCATTTTAGGCAGTATATTTAGCTTGGCATACATGTTTATTTGACTATATACTAGAAAAATATTGACACCACATACAGTTACACGCTTAAATGATCCAGGATCAAAATAACAATTAATTTCATAAAATCTTAACATGTTTTAATATTATCCTTTAACCCTTTTTGGCATTAAATCATTGCAGAATCATGATTTCTTGTTTTTTTATTACAAATATTTCTCATATAAACTGTTGTTTCTAGTTTAGTTTACTTAAGTTGGGTAAAAAAGGCAGAGAACCTTTATAGGCCTATTAAATTTCAGTCAATTCATAGTTTAGCTATTTAGTACTGATTTTTCCTTTTATGAGGGATGGAACTGAAGAAAAAACTTTGGAACGGAACAGAATTGCAAACAGGCCCTCATATCAAAAACTAATATCAATTTTTTATTTGATTTTAACTGATGTGTCCTGTTTCATTCCTAAATTGCTACTAATTTCCCAAGTTCCCTGTACAATCCCATCCCTATTGTTCATTAGGCTAATTCATTGAGTATTACTACATTTACTTTCAAATAGATATTGAATTGAATGAATACCATTATTGTCATTTAGCCAAATGTTATTAAGTTAAAATAAATAGCAAATATGGAGAGAAGAGTTTGTGTTATTTTAGAGCAGCTTTGAAAAATAGTCTCCAGTGCCTCAGAGATAAGGTATCCTTATTGCTATGGAAATCACATCATATATCACTTTTACCATTGCATCAACTCAAGCTTGAATACCGATGTTGCCATGGTAATCAAACAATGTTACTTTTATTAAACACCAAATGTAACTATGGTGATCCACGATATTGTTCCAATTTTAATATGGTTAACTAGATTTCAGTATGCCATTGCTATAGAAACCAAAACTACAATAAATGTAATAACTAGGTTTCAGTATGCTGTTGCTATAGAAACCATAACTACAATAAATGCAACCATGGCTTATGTAGCTATATCAATATAACTAAAGCATCCCTCTGATCATGTAGTTTAGGATACCTCCATGTTTAAAGTACATCAGTTCCACATCTGTATCAAAGCGCGCAATTACCTTGAAACTTCTATCATCGTTCACCTGAAAAAATACGATTTCAATTTTCAACAAGTCAATTTATTTCAAAATTCACTCACATAGGAAATATATACTATTGATAATAATTGATGAGCTTTTCAACTTTGCAATTCTTCAATTTGCAATCAAAACTATCACAAAATTACCACCAGGTGTTGAAACATTCTAGAATTCAATCTAACACCTTCATCACTGAAGTGAATCACCAATTTGATTAATACAAAATGTTGGTCATTTTTATTCCTGGTTTTTCAAGAATAATCTCTTAACTTTATCAAAATATGATTTAAGTGCAGTGTAGTATTCCCCTTAAATATATTCCAAATACATGAACAACTGTGATCTATCAATACTATAGAATCACAGGGATTAAAAATGTACAAGAAATTAGTATTTTAAGTTCACATATGACACTGTTTCTCTGTTATGTATGATAACATCAAGTTATCAATCACTTACCTTGACATCGATTGTCTGTAATGTCTTCAAGTCCTCAGGTATCTCCACAGAGAGGGTCTCTCTGCCTGTAAGGCTATGTGTCTCTGCAGTCTCTCCAGGCATGTACTGCAGGGGGATGATACCCATCCCTACCAGGTTGCTACGGTGAATACGCTCATAGCTCTCAGCTATTACTGCTCTAATGCCCTGTAAAACATACGACAATTACATTACATGTCAGATGCAGGATTAAAGCAGCAACAATGTATAGATGACTTTTTAGACAGAATTGTCAAAATTAAAAATTTAGCACCAAGATGACAAAATATGAGGAAATCTATTATTATATATCATTTTCCTTATCATTACCATCATCATATAGATTCAATATTTTGAAAAGTTTTAAGATATGAATAAGAATCGCAACTATCTCTCTACATACCTGGATCCATGGTCCTTTAGCTGCCCAGTCTCTGGAAGAACCAGAACCATACTCCTTGCCAGCTAGCACCATGACAACCTTGCCTTCATCCTTGTAGCGCATTGCTGCATCGAATATATCCATCTACAAGTGAAAGTAAATATTGTACGTAGCCTGAATAGCCTTTTTCAATGTTTTTCCTAAATGAGGACCTGGTCAGTCTAGGTTTTTATTTAGTGTAACAAGTATTAGGGGTCAAACAGTTTGAGATTTCACGGTTCGCTGATTGTATTTTGCAAATGGTTTGGATCTGATTGCAGTTCTCACAGGCTACGTGAAATGCGACCAGATAGGAAATTGATCCAAAAATCAGAAAACATACTGAGTGTTTCACTGAGTATTTTATTGCTGTTAGTAACCAGTTTCACACGTGAACAATCATAACTCAAATGTCTATTGATCTGCTTGCTCAATGTTCTTGTTTTTTCAACAGATAAAATAACTTGTCTATTTTTTGGCAAACTTAGTACAGTACTTCACTAAATGAATCCATATTTTCTTCAGAAATTAAGTTTACTACTTTGTCCGAGGAAAACATTGACCAGGGGCGAACGTGGGTTTAATTCCGACTTCATATTTTTATTTTTTCTGAAATTGTAAAAAATCATGGTTCTCAAGAAGCGCAGTTTTCAAAATTGTGTGTGAGCCAACCGTCGTGGGGGTAGGAACTGCGGTAAGTCCAGACCGCGGTTAACTGTTTGACCCATAACAAAGTAATGATATTACCGTATATTGTACAGAATAGACTAATTTTTCAAAAAGAGAGCATACCTCATCCCCAGATGGCAGGTGAATAGTCTTAGGTCCTGGTTTACCAATGAATTTGTTCATCAACCTAATATTTGCAAATGTCCCTCTTGCCATTACTGCATCATTCCCTCTCCTGGACCCATAAGAGTTAAACTCCCTAGGGATGAGCCTGTATAAGAGAACTAGTATTATTCATGGTGTAGTTAGGATATATCTATGAAAATACAATAAACAGAAAACATCTTGGATATTTATCTATTTATTTAGATGTGCACTATATAAAACATATTTTAAATTAAGAACCAGTTGTAAATTACTGATGCTTGATTCTATTTTGAAACTATTTTGAATTATCAAAAATTAGAATCCGTTAAGATGAAGCCTGACTTACCCCTTACTGGCAAGGAATCTGGCAGCTGGACTGTTGCGTGCGATACTTCCCGCTGGGGAGATATGGTCAGTTGTCACTGAGTCCCCAACATTCAATAATACTGCTGCATCTTTTACACTTGTATACCCTGGTAGTTCTCGTGTCTACAATCATGTGTAGAAATAGCATATAACACAAGGCATTAACTAAACAAAATGTCACCTCTCTGTAAGTTATTGCAAATTGTTACAGATCCAGACTGTCTAATGTATTTGTTAAGATGCCAAATGCTGGATGCCAAACACTGAACACCATCCACAAAAAGTCTGACTAACAATATGTCACCATTTCTGGTGGTGACATAAAAATGTTATCAAGTCTATGCGTTGGGTAGATATCAATTTCATCATGAAGGAAAGGTTAAAAATATTTTTGAACTTAAAATATAAACATTTAAACATTCTGAAGGCTTCAACAGGTGTTCAAATCCCTTTACAAAAGATGTGACAAATTAATTGACAAGAAAGTTTGATTTACCATTGTCTCAAAGAATGGTGGTGACTTGATGTAGGTTGACTTAGGATCCCATGGATAGAGCATGCTGTCTGGAGCATCTAGAGCATTCCATCTATCATTGCCCTTCTCTATCTTGGCATACACTTCCTTGAACATGCTGGGAATGACAAACTGCTTCTCAATCTCCTAAAAACACAAATAATGTAAGTCATGAAAAATAAATCCAAAATAAACATTTCAAATTTCAACAATGAATTAACAGATGCATTTAATGAAATTATATTTCATAAAACTTCATCCAATATACATTCTTCAGGAAAAGAATGTTGCAGATACAACATATACCATATATGCAATAGATATTAGGCAAAGACATTTACCTGAATCTCCTCTCTTGATGGCCAGATATCCTTGAGGAATACGTTGTTACCATCAGAATCTGTACCTAAAGGTTCTTTCTCAAAGTCAAACAGGACGGAGCCAGCAAGAGCGTAGGCTATGACCAATGGTGGGGAGGCTAGGTAGTTAGCCCTGGTTAGAGGATGGATGCGACCCTCAAAGTTACGGTTCCCAGATAACACGCCTGCAGTCACCAAGTCACCCTGAAGATAAAATTCATAAAATTAAAAAGGCTGGCTAATAAACAACATTAGGACACACTAAGGCCGTCATCAATCATTCATTTTTTAAGGTTAAACCCAAAATTTCTCAAAGACTTATTATTGTATAAAAATACATTACAATATGCAATTTTTATCTAAAAGTGCCCTTGAATGGTCAAGGCAACTTAAAGGTCAACCAAGAAGTTCAGCTTTGCATTGTCTGTTATCAACAAGTAGGATAATGTAACACAGTAACAAGATCACAGTTCATTTTCATTACTATCTTTGGTTTTGTACACAAACATAGAAAAGGTAAATGACGGAACAGTAAAATTCCATTTAGAATTCTAAAACACATCACAATGTTGTTGAAAGGATTTTTGATTCTGGCAATATCAGTGTTCACCACAGGAGGTTTGCAACTAAATGATGATTTGTGGGAGTTAGATGACGACTACAGGGATGTGAAATACAGCATGTTCACAAATGGGACCACAATGCTCGTAGCCAATGGTGGTTGGTCTTTGGACATTCTAGACCCAATGGCAAGGAAAATAACCTGGAGAAACTATGATATCCGAGGAGCTGATCAGATGGCTATTTCACCATTTGGAGTTGGACCATTGATAGTTTCATTATCTTGCCCTTCTTATGATGCAAAGAAACCGTCAACATTGATTGTTCTGAATGTGGAAGCACAGAAAAATCAAAGTATATCTATTCCAGGTGACAATGGTAGGGTTATTGCCATGGTAGTCACACCAAAAATGACATGTACTTTCTTGGCAGCTCAAATGTATGGTAATGTAACAGAACTGATATGCTACAGTCATGTTGAAGCTAAACCCAAGAAGTGTCAAATTTCATTTCCGGTTGTGTCACAATTCCAAGGTTCAGTATGGTACCCTGGGGACAGTGATGGCCCATGGGTGTACACAGTCTGGGTCTCAGGGGGCCAGGAGTCACAAACCCAACATATATATAAGTTCATTGAAACTGATGGCTGCTTGAAATACCAACGTATGGGACCCATTATGACCAACACAAGCATATATGGACCAATTTACTTATTCAAACATGAAGACAATACATATAACATGTTCGCTGGTGGGGGAGAATCCTTGGTTATATCTGCAGACTCCAACCAGGATATGAAGATCAAAGCCTGCCTAAATCAGACATGTGGGGGCAGATACCAGGGTATAACTGAGAAAACAGATAATGGATATGATGTTTATGCCATACATGAAGGGACTCAGCAATATGATTACACAATAGATGTTTACAGGTATGTGCCATTTTTCAGATACTTTCTCACTTTTTACTTCCTTTTAGGGCTATATATGTTGGAATATGAATGCCCTTAATGCTTTCTCAAATCCTTTGGAATATTTATTTTTCAGATGGCCAGATTTGAAGCTCGTCAATGGCATACCATTTCCCAAAGGAGACGAGCCAAGTCCTGACAACATTTTCTATGATAAACCTCATAATATATTGTACACAGCAGGACATTATTTTGACTACAGTGTTAATAGCTCTGTATATGCTATCGGATATGCCCATCCTTAACTCAGCATTAACATGTACTTACAGAGGCCTGGACTCAAAGTTAACAAACACAAAGCCTTTCCCTAAGGGTCAGGACCCATATCCGACTGGCATATTTTACGATAAACCACAAGATATCTTGTACACTACAGGGCTATATCTTTTCTATGGGAACACTACTCTTTTTGGCATTGGATATGTGAAACCTTAAATTGGGGTTAAATTGACAAATTACCCAATTGATAACAACAGACAACTGTGACTGGACAAAAACTGAACACTTGGAACTCAACAATATGAACATGAACATGCATGTAAAATGCCTGAAGTGAATAGTTCTATGAGAGAATTTTCACATATCACCATGTACAATGTGCATAGTTTTTATTCAAGAAGCTTTTTCGTCCTTTACTTGCAGCGGACAAGACTTGAAGCTTACAAATGTGCTACCATTTCCAAAAGGAGCAGAACCTGATCCAAATGACATTTTCTACAACAAACATTACAATATGCTATACACTGCAGCACATTACTGGGACTATGGAATCAATGGATCAGTGTATGCTATTGGATATGTACATCCTTAACTTTTAACATGCATTAGCTGAAGTTTTAAGCATTAAAATAAATTTAATTTATGTTGAAGAAACAAATAGTATTGTAAAACGTGTTAATTTCATATACACAATTCCTGGATATGTGCAGATAAGTAAGATTCAAAATTCACTCTGACTGATGTCGAGACAATGGTTCTAGAATCTAATAAGAACTTATGTGTAGCAAAGATTTGTTTGAAAAAGAGTTGCTGTTTAATAAATATTGAATTTTTTGCCTTGCTGTAATTTTTATCCAAGTGCGATGTTAGTATTACATATTACACAGTCCAAGAAATGGTCTATCAATCAAAATGAATCGATTCATATCCACATGTTTAAGGATTTATTGGGGCAATAATTGAAATAAAAATAATTATTTAGTAGACATACCTTTTCTAAGGCCTGTGCTACATTTTCATCTAATGGCCCACTGTTTCCTATACAAGTCATGCACCCATAACCGACAATGTTAAACCTGGAAGGATAATATTGTACAATTTAGACAATTATGTGATTCAGATGCAATGGTTTCAAAACACACATTCAAATGAAACTCTAAATATAAGCTATTTCAACTATTTCAAAAGTTCTCATAAATAGTGCGTATTTCACATACAATTAGTCGTAAGCCTATAAACTTCATTTGGTGGGATTATAAACTTTTACAGGAAATTGAATTACACGCACTGAAATTCACAATGTTTTCAAAAAACAGTCTCAAGTGGGAGTCTCAAACATACCCTAATTTTTCTAAGAATTCTGTGACCCCACTCTCTTGTAGGTAATAAGTGACCACACCACTCCCAGGTGACAGACTGGTCTTGATGTAGGGGTTCACTGAGAGACCTTTCTCAACAGCCTTCTTAGCCAAGAGACCTGAAACAAATATGTCATATGGATAATAAACCAATTGTTCTGTAACAGTGAACTTATATACACAGATGTGTAAACAGATTCTCAACATATTGTTTGCATATTCTGTTTCAAGAAAATTGCTAAATGGGTGACATCTTTTAACTGAATCAAAAACACACCTATTTAACAAACATAATACATCTTATTTCTTTTAATCAAAAATATTCACATATGCAGGCAACGCATATGGTTTGATAATGATGCTGCATTAACTGTGACCATTAGCTTGCAAGAAACATACCTGCACCCAACATAACTGATGGATTGCTGGTGTTTGTACAGCTTGTTATAGCTGCTATCACTACAGAGCCATGCTTTAAGGTGTACTCCTTGTCCTCAAACACAAATGGGACTGTGGTTTCAAGCTTGTCTGCTGGGATTGCAAAACCCTAAAAGAAAAAGAAATAAGTAACCCTGACGTTATATCTATTTAAGGCATTAACATGCAAACTGTCACCAAATGCAATTTATTACAGATGCTGATTACCAACTGCCAAAAACCAAGTACTAAACACCAACCACCACACAACATCCACAGAAAAGTAGGAGACTAGAACAATATGCAGATATGCCACCACTTGTTGTGGTGACATAAAAATAAAGTATGACATCATGTTCAAAATATTCTCGTCCCAATTAAATGCCCATTTCTAAATTATTAAATACTACTTATCAAAAACAATTTGGTCTAAATTTCATAACTGTCATGATAATCACAAATCTTGGAAGTGGTTTGACACTGCATTAAATCCCATTAATTCTAGAGCAATAGACACACCATCCTATATGTTTTTCATCCAGGCTGATACCACTAATGTGTTTGATGAGAATTCTTGTTACATACCTTAAAGCCTACTCTGTTGGAAAGGCACTCTTTGAAGTCCTGCTTCATATCAGTTACGGCAACTTTGTCATGTGGCCTCTTAGGTCCAGAACAACATGCTACAACAGTAGCTAGATCTAGTTCGACAACCTAGGAACAGAGAAGCAGTTTAACAATACACATAAGATTGGAATGTTGCAACGAATGAATCTGATGCTCTTTAACACAAGTGTGGCTATAGAGATGGTGATTTCAATAGCTGAGAAAAACCTTAACCTTTAACTAAATGGTCCTCCCTTTTGCTATACATATAGTTCTTAAAGATTATTTCCTCCATGTTTCTAATGTTATATGTTTTTACATTAATGGCTCAATTTTAGTAGAGATGATGGTAATTTTAGTAATTGTCAATTTCATTTAATTTTCTTGTATCTATTAAATGTACATACCTCTGAAAAGACTGGGTCCTCAGCTTGGTTATTGAAGTTACGGAACATCTTCTGCGACTTAAGATAGCTCTCTATGTACTCCAAAGCTTTGTCATCTCTGCCAGTCTGGTGTAGATAAGCCATACTATAACACAAAAATAACATACAGATATTCAATATAATTCCAAAATATATTTTTCATCAAAGATTTTTATATTCACACGACTATTCCTGATCAAAGGTGAATCTAAAAACCTGCAATAATTTTTATTTTAAAACTACAGCTAAAATCTACAAAACTATATTCAAAGTTTTACAATAGACCTACCTTTGCTCATCGACAGGGAAATATCCAACAGTAGCACCATATTCGGGGCACATGTTAGAAATGGTGGCACGATCTGCTATAGACAACTCAGCCACTCCAGGGCCAAAGAATTCAACAAATTTTCCTACAACGCCGATCTGCCTTAAATGCTGAAATATAACAAGAACATGAACATATTCAAAGTTCTTCAAAATGTTTGCTTGAGAAAGTGTTACTACAAAGTATTAGTATGCCCATCAAAAAATATTTAGATATAGATCAAAAACATTTTAGGAAAATCCTCTCTACTGAACTATTTGTCTCCAAAAATGTATGATTCTACATTTTTTATAAAATTTTCAACAGACAGTCTTATTTTGTTTTCTTCACTTTCAGTTTTCACTTTCTACTCTAATGTAATGTTGTTTTGCGGTGAAATAACCAAACAAAGTGCCATACTTTACCTTGGTTATGGTAAGAACAATATCAGTGGATGTGGTATAACTGGCGGGTTTCCCATGTAGTTTGTATCCTATAACTTTAGGTAGCACCATACTAATGGATTGGCCTAACATGACAGCTTCAGCCTCTATACCTCCTACACCTAAAACAATAACATATCTTTCACTAATCAGTCATGGTAAATTAAAATATAAATCTAACAAAACCATGCACTCTAAATGTAAAAGTCAAAACTCAATGTTTTACTATAATGAAAAGTTCACAATTTCAAGTGGGTGCAAATGAGTTTTCAGGTAGTATAAGCTTACATATATATGGCTGTATCAAAAGCTCAAGTGGGTGCAAATGGGTTTTCAGGTGGGTATTATAGTTTTCAAGAGGGTGTTATGATGGCTGTTTTTTAAAAGCTGAAGTGGGGGCAAATGGGTTTTCAGGTGGGTATTATGAAGGCTGTTTTCAAAACACTCAAGTGGGTGCAAATGGGTTTAAGGTGGGTATTATTGTTAAGGCTGTTTTCAAAAATGCAAGTGGGTGCAGCACCACTCATTTCAATGCTGGAAGGATCAATGTCAGGACTAGAAGTAGTAGAAGTAGATATCATTCAAATCTAAATTGTTGCTTTCGACATCACCTATCTACAATGAGCAACTTACCCCAGCCAACTACTCCTAAGCCATTAATCATTGTGGTGTGAGAGTCAGTACCCACAAGACTGTCAGGATAGAGCATGCCCTCTCGGTTGAAAACCACCCTAGCCAAGTACTCAAGGTTCACTTGGTGAACAATACCTGACCCTGGTGGAACTATGAGCATATTTTTCAGAGCCTTGGCACCCCACTGAAATTAGTAGAGAAAATGGTTAAAGTATTGACATGTTACAGTAATGCTAAATTCATCATGCATTCTTGCAAATGGAGAAAAGGGAGATGTATTATGGTAATAAGCTAGGAAGACAAGAAAATACAAGGATCAATGGTTTTAGAATTCCCAACATACAGCAGTTTCAGAACTGTATATTCATTAAGATGTCAGTACTTTGAACAATCAACCAGTGTGATTTACTTAACAGGACTATGATCTCTCTGCCCTCGATGAAACCTTATCTGAACCTTTAACAAAAGTATGAGATAAAAGAATTAGGACAATTTTAGTGCAAAGTCCTCTAAAACCATGCACCTAAAACTACCTCTCATATTGTAGTGTGAAATCTAATACTGATACCAGATATTACAAATATTAATGTACAGTGTAATCGACAAGGCATAACATGCCAAAATGTCACAACTCTGTAAGTTATTAAAAATGGAAACAAAATGTTATAAGTCCAATTATTGTTGCCATGGTAACATTTCATGGTGACTATGCATTGTTTAGGTTACAGTATGTAAAAAATGTGAGAAGTATTTTGAGACATAACATTGTAACATATATTCATGGCCATCATACTGAAACTGCCAAAAATATCTTAAACATTGTAACATATTTAATGTGTTGACAAGACATCAGTGTTCCAAATTAAAAATTTGACCTATTTTTCGATTTGAAATCCACCAATATTTTCATTTCCTTTTTAGGGCTGGAATATTTTAGTTACTCGACACCAGAGTGGAAGATTTATTATCACCTTCACATATTTTAAATCAAAATTACATTAAATTGTATCCAAATGATCTTAGAGTTTTAACCTTGAGATAATGTTACAATGCGAACTAAGATACGACAAGTCTGGAATTGAGCTCTTGGTTAATTTTGCTATCAAAACAAAAGACAAATGGATCTCAAGATAACATAATAACAATGTCAAAAACATGTCTCGTCTGGAACATAGCCCTTGGCATTCTTCCTCCAAAAACAAATAAAAAAATACTAATGAGTTTACCTTGAGAAATAAGAATCTTTCTTTATTGCGATCAAACTCTAGTTCTTGGTTTTTCTGTAGAGCATCAGCACTGTAATAAATAAAAAAAATATATGAACAGCAACATTAGCTTAAAAAATAACAAACCTTTTTAAACAAAACAAACGTGATAAAATGAAATCGTATTAAACATACAAACATTTGTGAAGATTAAAAAGCTATTATATGTCTAGAGCAGTCAGGTTTTTGAGTTCAATGATCATTTTAAGAATCAATTTGGCTGTTTTTGTTACTTTTTGGTTGAAAGGACCACCTTGACATGTCTGCTTAAGACTCACATTACATCACACATTCTAGCTTAGAAAGAATCTAGTTTACATTCATAAATACTGAAATACCATTTTTATTGATCTCTCTGTACTCTTTATGCACATTTTATAATGTAATGTTAACATTCGTGAATTCTAGGTTATTTGAACACATGAAAAATCAATAACATATAACATGAACTTTTAAATGAAAAAAGGTAAACATGAACATTAATTTATAATGCATGTATATTTTCTTTCCTTTTTTAAGAACCAAATGTTCAAAGCTGCATAATCTCCAAGCCTTCTTGCAAAATATCCTGATTTTAATGGGCTTTCTAAATACCATGAACATTGATAATAATGTCAGAAATAACCATGTTTTTATCATTCTCTTTTTGGCTCCCACACTGAAGAACTCAGCTTTAAACATTCCAGCATCATGCAAAATTATCTAAAACATTTCCCTGTATTTCAGTTCATTAATCATTAATTGCATGATTAAAAAATAAAATATGTGGCTTGATTAAAATGTAGTACACGAAGCAAAACGTGAAGCACATAATACATGTACAGCATAACTTGAACATAAATGTATGAGTCTTTTGATTTAAGGAGACCCATTTCAAGATTTTACAAATCATTTTTTCTAAAGCATCTTGGTGAGATTTGCAGAGCCAAGATGCTTCAATGCTAAGGACATCACTACGGTGTATCAACTATCAATATATGCAATCTTAATCCTAGTTAAGCTGTACATATATAGATGGTGCAAGAAAAGAGGGTGGAGTTTTATAAATATAGGAATAGGTCACAATTACTAAAAATAGCAATTAATAATGAAATTATGAATATTGTAGAAGACCATTCAAAGGTAAATACTGTAGGTGTTAAGTATCCTCCCCTCCCTAACTTTGAATGGCCTAATGTGCACAGTTAGTAAGAAGCCTGAACATTGAACACTACCAACCCTTCTGTTTTTGAACCATGAAACGGACAATATTCATCGGCAATAGGCAGGCCGGGAACACCACTGCGACACATATTGCACGTAGCTGAGCTTGACCTTTGACCCGACCCCTGGCAAGCCCCTGACCTCCCGCCGCCAGGGTTGGGAGTATTCCGTAGTTGCACATTTTTACTGGAAAAATCAAGTGAATGACACAACAGAGTTCCTTTTTAAATTTGACGACTATTCTGACTGATGAAAGAATAGTGCAAATTGAAATAAACCGAGAATCTAAAATCATCTTATTAAATACAGTACAACATGTGAGATTGTTTACTACCATCACTCTCAAATGTTGGACTGAATAGGTTTTTCTAATATTATCTATGGTTGCTATAAGGCTCTTTTGTATGTGACATATTCAATAATAGAGCAATATGAAAGAACATAACGAGTTCAGTCACACAGCACTATTTATCATATTTTTAATCTAATCTTATCAAAATCAATACCAATTCAGAAAATAGTAAAGCTTGACATCTCTAGGCAATAAACTTATATTGAGGAGGACAGCTCTCACAAAAAATCCATGGTGGTCGAATAGTTCTGAATACGTCATCAACTGAAGAGTTGAAGCAAGGGTTAACATGACCACCATTACATTTTTTGCAAGGGAGAAGTTTATGATAAGGGTGATAAGTGCAAGATCCAAACCTTTGTTATCATTATTTATATTACTAAGTATTGGTTGATAAATCAGGTATTTTACAATCAGGCATGCATGAAAACAATTTATATTATGTAGGATTTTTTATCGTTTCTCAAATAAATCAGAATCAAAATGAGCATCATTCTCCATAAAGTAAAACACATATCGTGGTCCACTGAATTAACCCTTTCTTACCTCCTGGCCACATCTACTTGTACAGAATGATCGATAACCAGATCTGCTGGGCATTGGGGGTTTATTTTTTCAGGGTCTCCACCTAGACGTTTGATGGCATCCCTCATAGCAGCGAAATCCACTACAGCTGGCACACCTCTGGAATAACAGGGGAAATCAAATGACAACATTGAACCTTTCATATATCAAAAACCCTCTTGTTGCTGTGCTTTATGTTTAAGAAAGAGTAGAGACTGATATTACATCTTTTGGCTCTGAGCTATAGGCTTCATGCATCATTTCATCAGGCTGTGATATAATTTTATAAATATTAATTGTGTCAAGGTTCATAGTGTTAGTTTTCTGCAAGAACATTACATAAGTTAACTTGACTTGAATTTTGATAGCTCTACGTATTTATAGAAAATCATACTGATTGTTCAAGGAAAAACCTGTATATATTTACTTTAAGTTCCAAGAAATGTTTGAAGGCCAAAACAACTAATTGAATGTACAATTTGTCTAACACAGGAGAAATCACATAAAACCAACAACAAAATTTCCCTTACGTGAAGTCCTGCAGAATGACCCTGGCAGGTTTGAAGGGTATCTCCACATTGTGGCTTTGATTTACTTCCCAGTTTAATATGTTCTCAACATCTTTACGTAAGATATTGAAGTTATCACAGTTACGGACTGCTGATTCCAGCAACACCCGGATTGAGAATGGTAACTTTTCTGAAAGCAGAAATACATAACATTTTGGGATGTCTATCTGACTCTATTCAGCATCGAGATAACATTATAAATATGAAATACACAAACATTTTTTGACAAGTACTTAAAGTCAGTGCTTCGAATTTTTAACTGTTAAAAATGTCTTGAAATACAAAAACATTCATGTAACTCTTCTAAAATCCCGACTCATTCATTTATCAAATTATAAACATTCATGAATCATAAAAAAGCAATGCAATATCATAGACTTAAATCTCAGTGGTAATTAGCAGACTGAACTCACCATAGCGAGGATCATTTATACTAGGAAGATCATAGTATTTCACCTCCTCACCATCAACTACAACGGTCTTCACCAAGTTAATGTATGGGTTAGTTCCTGAAATATATTCAATACATAAATTGTATTATTTATATGCACCAATAATAATTACAAGCTCCAACTGAAATAAAATCATTATAGACTTGTCAAAGACATAGCACTATGACAGAGTCACTCTAAATAAAATCACAAAAGAAATCTAGGATTTTTTAAACCTGTGTAGCAATTTGCTCAAGTTTAATAGATCCACTCCACAGAGTAACTCATAATATGAGTAAGGAGAAGTAGATCAGTTAATAAACTTTAGACTAAGGCTGGAGGAAATGTAAAATGTCACTCAAATTTTTGGTGATTTTGAAATCATGTCTGCACTTCACAGTTCAAAATCAACTTCTGTAGTAATTTGACACGACCTTCTAATTTGCCTCACTGATTTTTTATCGTTTCTCAAACATATTATCTCAAAATCAGGAAATTAGGGTGATGAGCGGGGAAGTTTTGTAGGGAATTATAGTCGCAACCCCTTAAGAGTGATCACTTAAATTTCCTCCGAAGTGTATATTTTCACATTTAGATGATGTGGCAATCTTTGAATCTTTTATTTGCGCATGTGGGCACATGTGCAAAAATCTTCACTTTACTAACTTTTGGAAGGTAAGTGATCATCTCAATTTTAAGCTAAGTCTTATATTTTTCTGGAGAGTTAGTCAGGATGTGTAATAGATATTACTTAGTTCCAATGTAGAGGTATAGAGGTTTATTATTACACTCTCATGTCATCTGTATGATCCAGAAGGAAAGCATTCTATAGTGTCTAAAATTCTATGGTTAAACGGAATCATAATTTTTTATAATACACAGAGATTCAAAAGCCGTTCTCTCATACTACTCACTTTCCTCATTTCTGAGACAATAACTTTTCCACATTACTTTCGACACTGCTAGTGCTAGCGTTCAACTGAATGTTCGTGTAATAAATACTTCGATTCGATATAGTTTTACATCTAGACTAACAGATTAACCCGGAAGTGACCTTGGTACGGCAAAATGAAAAAAAAATTTAAATTCAAACAGCATGCTTTATTTCTTCAATTATCGAGCGTTTTATTAGAGGTGTCACTGTCCAAAAAAATTTCTGTATGGTACGGAACGGTACAAATGGTCTCAGGACACGGTACTTTTGGGACGGGACATTTTCACTTTTCAAAATATTCAGAAATAAAAAATGTCAATTAAAATCAAATATAATGCATTTGCTGCGAATGTGATAGGCATTTCACATAACATGCACGGTCTACTAACACCAATTCGTTTACCTTGTGCCAGCACTTGCATTAGGTTAGAAAATTTGTGAGTCCCAAGGACGCAATTTGTTTAAAAAGTGTGTCCTTCGAAAAAAGTGTGTCCCCTATTTCTAGCCTGTTTTGAGGTATAACTTTATTTTAAAAGCATTTTTTACCAAAACACCTTTCAGTTTTTGATTTCTTGCCGCGAATTTAAAACGGAAGTAAACGTTAAGTACGGACTGAATAAATGCATGTTCGTTCATCCGACAATGAATACATTTTATTTCAAGAATAACCTAATATTTGTTTCTGAATAGGATAAACTGTGGCGTGTCATGGTTTCAAATCTAAAAATAAACAAAGTCGAAAAAATTCGAGAGAATCATGATTATTTGTAAATATTCAACATGTTGAGCCTTATTTACGATTCAAATAAAGATGAGAGATCATAATTATTTGTTTTTGTTAGGTATCGTTGTAAACACATTGTAGTATTGACCTAAAAAAATTTTGCGTCCAAAAAACTGAAATATTTTCAATTTTTGCGTCCTCCAAATTATTTTTGAGTCCTTAACATGTACGGGACGCCGTTAATGCAAGCCCTGCCTTGTGCTATCGGAGTCCCAAAATACTTCTAAACTGCGGACTTTTTTGACTTAGATGCCGGCTCGATTTTTCAATTTCTTTTCCACATCCGGCATACTGATAATGCACTTGATTTGCGAACGACGATGAAGAAATTTACTAACAAGCATTACCATCTACCTGAAATCGCTGGTCCGTTAATAACACCTTTCAATGCAAAAAAGGGTAATCTAGGTTCGAGGTAAGTGAAAATATTTGATTTTTCTAAACGAAATTGGAGGTTTTCCTCGCTGTTTATACACGTTTTTATGCATTTTAGGAAAGGAATTTATGTACCGATATTAACCCTTTCTGTCCCGTGTCCCAAAGCATCTGGACCGAAATTGCAGGAAACCGTGACACCTCTACAGTTTGTGTGCCTAAGGTAAGATTAAATACTTTATAGTTGAAGCAAAGAAATTAATTTATCATTTGTGTGAATTTGGCTGGGTAGAAAGTGTTTCCTGCAATAAAGAAGAAGGTAATGTTTACGAATACCGTAACCAAGAAAATAATAAAAAATAAATATCCAAATAAGAAAAATAGTGGTCGGATTTATATGACTACGTACGCCATACATCCTGTCTATTGCAATTATAAGTTGTAACAAGGAAGTTGATTGGCTAAATAACCTCAGACCAGGAGAAACTATTGTGCACAAGTCAGAATGCTTTTTCGTAAACTTCATCGCTATTTCCAAGAAATAAAATATGATGACCATAGGCCCCGGGAACATGTATAAAAAATCGAGTCGACATATGTATTTGAACTTTTAAATACATATTTTGACTCAATTTTTTATACATGTTCCTGGGCCTATGACATGTTCCTGGGCCTATGATGATGACTGGATAAAACGTGATAATGCGAACCGATACGTCCGATAGGTGGCGGGTGTCTAAATTTTTGACAAGACATTTACAGTATGAATGAACACATTCCACAAGTTGTACAAATAAACTTATACTCCAATTTCTTTTCCCTAGCCTAATTCAACAATCCAAAATGATTCTAGTACCCGGATCCTAGGCTAGAGTTCATTTCACTGTTTAATTGCGTCAGTAAAACGTAAAAATAAGAAATCAAAATATCATTATGCAAGAACTGAGAATGTATGGAAAAATATATTCCTATTGTACATGAATGACATTTGTATAGCTTGGATTGCTTCTAGTTTGGCTTATAAAGTGTACGGCCTCTTATATTTGGATGCTTCTCTGCCATGTTATTTAAGATTAACATGGCTGAAATTCTTCAAATCACAGGCTTTTTGCACAAAAAACTAAAAAATCTGAAATTTTATATTTATAAATATATATTATATACAAATGTCATTCATGTACAATATGAATATACTTTTCCATATATTATTGCACAATGGTCTCCCAATTTCTTATTTTTGGGGTTCTACCGACGCAAAAAAACAGTGAAATGGACTCTTATCAGGGGCGTAGGAAGGTGTAAATTCAACACTACGCCAAAAATGAAACATTTAAAATCTTCTCTATCAAAACGCCTATTTTATGCTTGTAAAATGTCATTGTATGGCGATACCTTTCTAATGTACTTTAAATGTTCGAATGCAGTTCGAATGCATATAAAATCACCATGGAAAGCCGATCTTTTAAATCTCGACACAACTCATTCTCACTTTTCTCATGTTAAAGGGAATGCGAAGTTTCATGTTCTAATTTACACGCTGGCTACTTATAACCATCATCTATCATTTCAGCTCACTCATGGGACATATCGTGTTTGAACTAACATATAATTCAAGTTCAAAGTACCCATATCTGGATCGCTGCGGATGCCGCCATTGTTATGTATCAATGACGTCATTGATGCCTTAAAATTGATGCCTGGAAAATGTCGCTATATAATCACGTCATACTCGGATCGCAGAAATAGAACACATTTCACTGATGTTTTATAACTATTTCTGTCCGCTTAACATTGTTGCCGCATGTTCATGTCCATATCATATCATATATTTTGAAAAGTTGTTTCAATATATTCTTCATAGAAATTGAATTGTTGCAATGTATTTTTTCAAATGTTTGTATTTATTTTCTCCAATGTGATATAGTATAGGCTAGGTAGAAAAATCATGCTAAACTTATGAGATATCGGCTGCGCGATTCGGAAGTCATCGCATTATATTCCACTTGAAAAATATCCACTAGAATTATTTTATATAATGATAACATTGGGTCAAAAAGGATAAATCTGTTCAAATCCTGTAAATGCTTTCTTGTATATTTAACCAATACATGAGGTAAATGCATTAAAATATACAAAATGGCATTTACACATAATTATATAAATGCATTACAGTGCATCAATGGGGATTTATTTTAACTAAGATTAATGTGGCTAATGTGTTGGCGTATTTGTGGTGAAAATAAGTAAGTTATATCATCGGCTGAACGCATCCAACAAATAGTTGCATTTACCATATTTATGTAAATACACGACATACCATTTAAAATATCAAAATCTATGCTAATGTTCATTAATGCGCTGATGAGCATTTACGGCACATCGTGATTATTAACCTTAAGGTTTACGTCGGCAAATAGGCATACTGCCGCAATTCCTTTCTTACCTAATCATAAGTGATAGATTTCTTCAATCTGTAGGCTAGTATTCTATTCAAATATGAATAGGTGCATATTGGAGAATGAAAGAAATAAAACAAAAAGTAGTAATCCAATGAAACAGTAACTCCCCTAAAGTGTTTAGCCATTTAAATTCTGATGAAAAACGCAAACAAAAAAACGAAAAATCGATGTCGTCTAAATGATACGTATGTAAATGTCAATCTCCTAAATACTAAGATTGGCAATAGCTTTACAAGGACATGCCACTGTCATATTTTCAAAGAATAATACGTAATGTTTAATTTTTCTCAGTTGTTAAACGACCAATTTCAATCATCATATCACCGTAGCGACATTCGATATGACAAAAAAGCTTTTCAAAATTCAATGGTATTTCACCTTGGATCATGACAAGAGAAGGCTCATAACATTCAGTGATGCGGGGAGACGATGGGGTCGATTGTAGTATGATATTTCATTTCAACGACGATAAGGCAATTACCGTATTGATAGTATGCTAAAAACAATTCCTGATTTCGAGCTCGAATTTAA